CTCCCCGATAGCCTCACTGATCTGTGGTCAGAGCGCGGGCCCAGGAGCTCTATTTATCAGATCATGGTGGCTGAACTCAGAGCAGTCCTCTAACCAAGCAGACGCCGAGTAAACACGCCTGACCTCCTCATGAATGAACCATGAGCCTGTTTGACCCTCTCACTGTTGATGATTGGATGCTCCTCTTCTCGGGGGTTCTCCTGGACAGATGGTTCTGTTGGCCCCTATCCCCCCGACCTGATGTACTGTGATTACTCAGACCACTGTTTGCTTTTCCCAGCATAAGTAGCTGTTTGTTCCATTCAGCGGGATCCAGCCGGAGCATTTCTCCTGCAGCAGGTTCGGTCGTTTTAAATCCCCAAGAATGAATTTAGCTTAGGCTTTAAAAGTTCTGCTGGTTTAGTTTACGGAACTTTGCAGCTGAATGTAGAAAACTCCAGGATTAGGATTAAGTAACCCAAATATATTTAGGGATGAATTATTTTTAACCAAAAACAACTTCATCATAGCCACAAGATGGTGTAGGGAAATAAAATGTGTGTATTTTTTACTGAGTTTAACTTGAATTAGATTAAGAAAATATTTATGTTCAGTTTAAATTAAGTCAGTCTGTAGAGATAATAATAATAATAATAATAATAATAATAATAATAATAATAATAATAATAATAATAATAATAATAACAATAATAACAATAATAATAATAACAATAATAACAATAATAGTAATAACAATAATAATAATAACAACAACAGCAATAATAATAATAATTATTATTATTATAATAAATGAGCTTTTAATGTTTTATATGAAAAACAGTGTTGTTTAAAAAAAGATAATTATGCATTTTAAAAAGTAAAAATTCCTTTGTTGGTGCTTTCAGTTGTGTTTACATTTAAAAATTCACATCAAATATTTCCTCCACAGTTTGGACTAAAGACTTGAATAAATTCAATAAATCATTTTTATTGCTGGATTTGTTTTTCCAGGGGAAATCAAGGAGAAAGGTCAGGAATTAGCAGGTAATTTTCATCCCTAACACAGATATCTGCTGAAGTCTGTGAAGTGTTTCTGTTGGCCGACAGACAGGAAACACGAACCGCCGGGTCCAAGAAAAGCTGCTGAAACACTTCCATCGGCTCATTCAGGCAGAAGAAATGAGACCTAGAAATAAAAAGATAAAGTAAAGAGGATGTGAGGGTTTTACGAGAAGACCTGAAAGGTTTAAAGGCAATAAATAATCAAAACAAGTCTAAAAGGATCAATAACAATAATCAACAACAACTTTAACTTCATGACGATCCGCACGGCGAGTCAGAAAAACAGAGCTTCGCATCCAGATCTGCACCACACCGCAGCTGGTGTGAATGGCCTAAATTATTTTTGATCTTTGTGGAGGCCGCACGGAAACCCAACCGCATCCGTTCCACGATCTGTGGGAAACTTCACAGAGGAGAGAAGGTCTGAGGAGGTTCAGGTTCTGGAAGATCATGGAGTTTCCCCAGATTGTCGGTAGCACTGAGCTGCTGTGGTGTAGAGTTCAGAATAAACCAAGAAATCGAGAAACTGCCTTGTTTTTCACCATAAAACCACCACACTCTGCATATGCTAGCTTACTGAAGTTACGTAGGTGTCTGGGGCATTATGGAAGAAAAGGGGCCAACAACAGATCAAAAACATAAGTGAATGTTATGTTTCTGCTTGTTTGACAGAATCTAAGACCCGATCCTCAGGCCACCAAAACGGATGACCTCAACACCTTGGCTGCTCCTAGAAATCCTGTCCTTAAAGGTTATGAACAGAATCGGTGACAAAGGGCAGCCTTGGGAAGTTCTGGTAGGAGGTCTGTTTCGGACTGAGCAGGTCCACCACACCCACCACCAACTGATTGGCCAGTTCAAATACACTCCTACCTTCAGACGGAGCCTCTGATTGGCAGATAAAATCAAGCAGTGGGAGATTCCCGCATGCGTAATTCATTATTGTTCTGGATAAGAAGTCAACGTCGCCTCTGACTGAAGCCCTTCTCACTGCAGTGAGGAACGCGCGTGCACACACACACACGCACATGCACACGCATGCACGCACACACACACACACACGCATGCACATCAAGTTTCCATCTGGTGATGTTGGTTTCTGGTTCTGGTGGACGTGGCCCAGAGATGATAGCTGACAAGTGGGGTGGGTGTTTCGTGACTAGCTGGCGCTCCCTAGTCACTTGGTGCGTGATGCAAGTGGGCAGACTGCCAGCACTTGGTGTAGGCGTGGCTCGTTGACCTGTGGATGATGGGAAGATTAAGCTAAAGCTTCATTTTGGTCCAGTCAGACAGGGAAAGATGAGTGGAAAAGCAGCTCATTCCTTAATGTTGGAGACTCCTTAGGGGACAGGGGCGGGGACGGAGTTTCGGGGGGGGCTGGGGGGCAGTGGGCCCCCGGCCCAGGCTTGGGAGGGGCCCACAATGCTAGATAAGACGAGCGCGTCTATAACTTGTGTTGAGAGGAGAATGAGCTCCATTCTTAATAATTCCTCTCATGCAGATGTATTTAGGGTTCTGTAGGTTTCCCCAGTCAGGGTTGAGCCATGGCTGCTAAAGACGTTACTAGACTATGTTTATAGCATGTTGAGCTGCATGACAGGCTTTATTTTTACTCACATGTAGCTTAATGACCTGTAATTTACAAGTGGATCTCCAAAACCGTCTCCAAGTGTATTTTGGGTAAAACATAGCCGTCCGCCATCATCATCATCACAACAGTTAGCAAACTAGGTGGCTAACGGAGAAGAAGGAGTTGATTTGGTCTCAGGGGTTATTTCAGTTCCGTTGTCAAGATGGACTTTTTCAGAGAAGCTGATCATCTCGAGTCCGCCCAGCCCCGTCGCTAGTTTGTCTCACCCAGAGGCGACTCGGCCTCCATGGCCGTAGAAAAGGACTTACTGGTAAATTACCAAAAAGATGGACTGACAGGTGGGGTGGGGGTCAACACCGGCCGTTCTGGGCTTCTCCAGAATTCACAGATGGCCAGTCCGCCAGCACTGTAACATCTAATCAGGTAAACTGGTGCTGAAGGTCCAGTTACCAAATACAGGGTGCCACCTCGTCGTTTGCTCCGCCCCCTGATTTGTTTCGCTAGTGGACAGGGGGGGGTGCTTTTGGACAAAGAAGACTGATGCTTTGAGACAATAAAAAAACATCTTTGTCTAAAGAGAAAAAACAATATTAAACAGAGCCGAAGGTCTCGGGTTTCGCTTCTGCAGAACTTACAAAGCAGCTCTGATTCCCAGAGTGTTTCACAACAAAACATCCATCCTCAGGAATGTGATCCAACCATCCCACATGTGGACCAGGACTTCAGCGATCCTCTGGAGGGTTGGCTTTACCCACTAATGAACCTCTCACTACACGTTAAACACCACGGTTATTAAACTCCAGCAGCCTTCTTCCTGACCCCGTCCTGCAGGAGCGAGAACCTCCAGCAGCTCGTCCTCCTCTGCGGCGCTGCTGCTTGTCTTTATCTGGAAAGGTGCATGCTCATGATCTCCTAGCAACATGCCTGAGGTCTCACAAACACACACACACACACACACTCACGGCCTTTAACAGCACATAGCCCTGTTTGGAGGCTGGGAAGGATGGGGGTGGGGCCTACAAAAGTCCATTTACAGTACGGGTCAGTACATCTGAAAGCCTTTACCACTGCAGCCAGATCCTTTGTCTCCCTCTTTCACAGCTTGTTATCCACACTGCAGGCTGCACAAAGCCAGCGGCTCTGGATTGTCCAGACGGACATTAACCCCTGATATTTTCACTGCCCACCATTAAGGTCTCCTTTTCCTGCTCGATTAGCGAACAATCCCCACAGAGCGGGAGGTCAAACCCACCAGGAACCGATTCTCAGATATCAGACAAAGACGGAGGACTGGAGGAAACGGGTTTTATTTTAGGGAAGAGCTCTGAAAACCCCACATGAAGGAGCGCTAGGGTGACCCGGCCCAAACTGTAAGCATGTACCTTTGGAGGAGGGTTATTCTGAGGTCATGTGAATAGTTTCACGGCTTGGTGATAACGAAGGGTCAGGTCCACGCTGAAGCAGGTCAGAGGAGGACTATCTAATCTCCAGAGGTGTGATGAAACTACCCAAAAGTCACGCTCAGCGAGGAACATGTGATCAGGCCTAAAACTCCGGTCTGCAGCCAAAGGCAGGAACGTTTCTCAACTTCAAACATTTACACGAGGGATCGAAAAGGATTGTGTCTGGGTGAGAAGTTCAGCACCAACCTCTTCCATCACTAGAGGAGCTCTTTATGTTCCAACAGAGTCCCGGGCCCTGGTCCCACCTGGTCCCGCCTCGAGGCCGCTTGGGTCTTTGTTGTCCCCGTGCTCTGATCGGCCGTGATTCCTCGTGGAATATTCCTCCTGCAGCGTGTCGCGACAGTTTCACTCGTTTACAGTAGAAAACACGCTTAATAAGCATGCTTCATCTTAAATAGGTGATAGTACTCAAAAACACAGAACTGTAGTATTATTGCTAACATATAATTCTACAGTGTTTGTCATGATTGTGTGAATGACGCTAAACAATGGGAGAAACGTCCTGTTTACAGTATAATAACCATGTTTTATGAGCTAACAGCTAGCAGTGATGTAACAACTCCCAGAGGCAGCGCATCTCTCCAGGTGAACGACCTGTGGCGCAGTCGCACGGATAGTCGGAACACCGGTGTTTCAGCGCCACAGCCCAGGTGGGATCAGGGCAACAAAGAACTGTTCTGTTGTCAGACTGGAGGCGGAACATCTTCACCCAGCCGAAACTCATCCCGTGTGAAGACTTGGAAAGGCAGGAAGCTGCCTGAAGCATCTTTTTAAACCTCCCACCGCTCCAGTTCAGAGAGGTGCTGGTGTACCTGGGCAGGTGAGGCAGCTTAGCTTGAGCCGAGAGGTTAAAGGTCAATTACTGGAGAGGCTTACTGATAACACTGACAAATGAAGGTTTAGGATCATTTTATAAATACTTATTTATTTCAGTATACAAAATAATAGCATAGACATCCACACAGCAGTGGCATCATCACGTTGAACTGCCTGCACGTCAGACAAAAGGAGTTCTTGCACGTCCTCTCAGCTTCCACGGGGATGCAGGAACATCTGGATCCACTGAGAGCCACTACTGAGTCCCACCACTGGAAAGGTTCCCTTTGTGTTCCTCTGTTGTCCACGGCTGAGGAGGAAAAACGTTCCTCCGGCACCTAAGAAATTCATCCATGATGACCCTTTGAACTCCAGAATACGTCAGAAAAATCCCCTAGAATAAGATCCAATATTATTTCTGCTTAATAGAGATATGATGAGATACATGAAGCCTCAGAGTGTCTGCTGGTTGGTTCAGACTTCTGTCCCACCTGTGCAGGTTTGTCATTAGGATGGTCATCTCTTTCCTGGTCAGATATCCAGGATGAAGCTCTGGTTCTGGGCGCTCCAGTCGGAGGAGAGAAAAAAACAATAAAATAGAGATATGATGACCTTCAGGGTCCCCGTCACAGGCGTGGGGTGTCATTTATAACAGGAAGTAGGAAGAGAGCCCAGGGGATGGCTCGCCTCGTTTCCCACGTCCAGCAGATACAACATAAAGCTCTGGTTTGGAGGAGATCGGCTCCAAACCCACCTCTGCAGATATGCGTGCTAAGCGTAGGCAGAAGAGGGGCTTCTGGGTAATGTAGTGCTTTGCTCCTGGTGTGGCCTGCAGGCGGACTCATTTGCAGACATATCGCTCCACGGTTCGCTCACACTTCTTGCAGGACACGTAGCAGCACCAGTGGTACTTGCAGTGGCAACGCTCCACCAGCTTCTCCGAGTACGGGTTGTATCCGCGGCCGCAGCACATCAGGTCGCAGCTGTCGCTCCCCACAGACGTTTTATTACACTGCCTGGAAAGAAACAACATTTCAGCATTTAGGCTTATTTTGCTTTTTCATAAACAAAAACAAATCAAAGGACACTGTGGAGAACACAGACGGGGAATTATCTCGCAGCTTCATTTGAAAGGGTTCTGCTGCTTTCAGGAGTCCTAAACCCTCGGATGCAAACAGCTTTGTCTTTGTGTTTGTCTCAGAGCGACGGCGCCTCTCGCTCTGGAGGCCCGGGGCATCCTGAATGAGCTGAGAGCACTTCTGTCATAAATCACCCCCCCCCCACACACACCTTCAACATGAGTTTAATGATGGTGGAGTGTTGATGGGGGGGCTGAAGTCAGTCAGAGGTTTATTGCATCAGCAGGAGTCAATGGGACAAACATCCATCTTTAATGTCCCGTGGACCGAAGTACCAGCTGCTCCCAAACGATCCAGGTTGTTTGTTGGGGAATGCGGTGAGATTCCTTCTCTTTGTTGCTGATTGTCTCACAAGCCCATGAAGCTGGGGGAGAAACCAGACTCCACATGTAGACCAGCAGCTGCTGGAACTGGAGGAGAACTTTTTCAGGATGTCTGGTTAAACCTGTGGACATCTATTAGGCATCGGGACAAAGAGAAGTCCTCTCCTCTCTAAACCTGAGCTAGCCCTGATCCTGCCTCTGGAGCCTCTCAAGTCAGTATCAGCTGTCCTAAGAATAGCTGCATTGGTACGAGCTCCAGATAGCAGCACATGCTCAGGCACGTCACAGACACCACACACTCAAGCCACTGCTCCATATCAGACAGTGCCACCTCTGCATTTCACTCAGGTTCACTTCCTGGACGAGCAAACATTCATGTGTCATTTCCTGTTGCTGAGGTGGGTCTCACTCACAGGATCTCACTGTCAGCGTCGGCTCCCTCTCCCACAGGCAACAGAGCACGGCCGGATAAAGGACGCAGCGCCATTTAACACAGCTGGTTGCTTTAGTTACCCCCCCCCACACACACAGACCGGACACACACACACACACACACACACACACACACACACACACACACACACGCACACATGGCTCCACAAACACAGACACACACATATGCACCCACACATGCACCCTCCCCCCCACACACACACATGCACCCACACACACACACCCATGCACACACACAGGCACCCACCCACACACACACACCCATGCACACACACACACGCATACATGTACCCCATGTACCCACCCAGACACACACACACATGCACCCACACATGCACCCACACGCACACACACACGCATACATGTACCCACCCACACACACATGACCCCCCCCACACACACACACACATGAACCCACGCATGCACCCACACACACACACACACGCCCATGCACCCACGCATGCACCCACACACACACACACGCCCATGCACCCACACACACACATGCCCCCCCCACACACACACACACACGCCCATGCACCCCCCCCCCACACACACACGCCCCATGCACCCACGCATGCACCCACACACACACACACACGCCCATGCACCCCCCCACACACACACGCCCATGCACCCACGCATGCACCCACACACACACACACACGCCCATGCACCCCCCCCAAACACACACACACGTACATGTACCCACCCACACACACACATGTGTCCCCCCACACACACACACATGCACCCACACACACACCCATGCACCCACACATGCACACACACACACACACATGCACCCACCCACCCACACTTACACACACACACACACACACATGCGCCCACACATGCACCCACCCGCACACACACACACCTGAGAAGACTCACCTGTCCTGCGTTCCAACTGAACCCATCTTTTCGTTCTTGCTGCAGAAATCCGGGGAGCTGTGCAGGTAGACCAGCTCGTTGTCCCTCACCGGCCGGACGTCCAGGTCTTTGGGGACCAGCTGCTTGCGTGTGCCCATGGGCCGGTGAACCACCTTGGTGGCAGACAGGTACTTGGTCTTGAGATCCATGGCCACCTCTCTGAGGTCCTGCAGGCCTCTCCAGCAGGTCCGAATGGAGCAGGAACCAGAAACTCCATGGCATTTACACTTCATTACCAGCGCTGCTCTCAGAGACTGGACAAGAAGAAACAGTTTAACCCCCTGCCCACTCTATGGTGTGTCTACATATCCTCACTAAAGGTCTCCATCCATACCTGTCTCCCAACTTCGTTGTTGTGTAGATGCATGAGTTTGTTGGCGTGGGAGCCCGGGCGCTTCCCCTTCATAGGAGCATCAGAAAACTTGGATCCCATGTACAGGCCATAGTGGACGTTGTCGGAGCAGCCCCCCCAGCGATGGCCCGGCTCCAGGGCCGTTGAGGGGATGGGACCGCACGAGCATAGCCTCAGATCTCCAGAACTGCAGGACCGGGCAATGGTGTGACTGATGGTTGCTGCTGACAGGGCGTACACAAACGCCGCCTCCCGAGTTCCTGATGAGATCAGACAAACCATCTTAGTACTGGAAGTGGATCCAGCAGAGACGTGTTCCTGGTAAACACTCATCCTTCATCCAGCCGCTGTTTCTGTCAAACTTACCTGCTCATTCAGAGATGGAACCCATTAGCAAGCCTCATCAGCCCTAACCCACCAGCCCCAATTGTTAGCCATTGTAACCGCTCCTTCTGTTCACTAAACCATGGATTTCTCTTAAAAAGTTGCCCAGAGGCACATTTGGTTTGAATCACGAGTAAAAAAGTATTAAAACCTGAACTGACTCCATTTTTTGGAAGATCTGGTGTTTTTACGTAGCGCAACAAAAACAGGTGGGGGGTACAAACTCTTGTGTTTTGGAATTAGCAAAAGCATCAAAAGAAGTAAACATAAATATTGATGAATGCTGCATCAGTTCAATTCAGACTCTGGACCTCTCTCCCCCTGAGCCTGAGATCAGTGGACTCACTGGTCTCCTAAAAAACCGTGGCGACTCCAAAGTGAAGGTAACCCCGGCCTGCTTAGTAACAAAATCATAAGTAGCTTCCCAGAAAAGCTTATTCAGATCGCTGCTGCTAGAGTCTTAACAAGAACTAAGAGAACGGAGCACATCACTCCTGCTCTTAGATCCCTACACTGGTTACCAGTAAACCACAGAATAGACTTCAAAGTGCTACTACTAGTTTATAAATCACTCAATGGCATGGGACCAAAATACATGTCCGATCTCATTCCTGTATGTAAACCCAATAGGGCTCTGAGATCCCTGGGAACCAATCAGCTGGTAGAACCTCGGGTCAGAACCAAACATGGTGGAGATGCATTTAGTTACTATGCTGCTCACATATGGAATCAGCTTCCCCATGACCTCAGATCTGCCCCAACCCTAGTGTTGTTTAAAACACAACAAAAACCCTCATGTACTCATCAGCCTTTACATGAATTGTTTCTCCTGCTGCATCGTCTCCTCTGTAACCTGTGCTGTTGCTTTGTCTTCTCCTTTAGCTCTAAACTGTAATTCTATCTGTGTGTATTTTAATCTGTGTTTTTATGTTGTTTTCATATCATGTCCTGATGATTGTAAAGCACATTGAATTGCCTCTGTGTTTGAAATGCGCTCTAGAAATAAAGCTGCCTTGCCTAGGTAAGCTGACCACCGCGGTCAAAGATCTGCGAGTCCGCCGTTGACGATGCACTCTGGGAGCATCGACTCGGCTACTAGCACTGTGTCGACATGAACCGGGAGCCGAGTCGATAGTCTCAGCTGCGCTATTTCTGTGGTCTCCCTCAAAGATCCACAAGTGACCGGCATGACTACAGCCTCGCATCGGAGTCGGCCCACATGTCCCGGCTGCCCCGGGAAAAGGAACAGCCAGCCGCTTTCTCTAACAACTGTTCCCAGGCAGGAGACAGGAGAAGCTGGGCCCACGCTCTAGGTTCTTTATGCAGCCCCACCAACATGTTTGACCAAGCAGTTAAATGACACAGCCCCCCCCCCCCTCTCCACCCCCACCCCCACCATTCAACCAGCAAAATTAAATTCAGAAATATAATTTTATTTACTGATAGAAAGAAGCAGAAACTGCTGGGATGATCTGTTAGTAACCACAGCTTGCCCTCTTGGTATCACTTGATAACATCCGGATGCGAACACACAGACACAACTAAGAGAGTCAAAATGGCCGAACATCTATTAACCTGAGGCTGAGGCCTTTTCCCAGAGCTAGCTCTGAAGTCACGTGGCTCTGATGCTCATTAATTATTCAGATTTTTAAGCATTTAACACACTTAAACAGAAGAGTTACAAAAACATCCTCCCCCCGCAGAGTTGTCATTGATGTAAACTAGATCTATTAAACCTAGAATGGTTTTTTAACCAGGCTGTAAACATGCACATGCGTGCGTGCGTGTGTGTGTGTGTGTGTGTGTGTGTGTGCATGTGTGTGTGTGTGTGCGTGTGTGTGTGTGTGTGTGAGTGTGTGTGTGTGTGTGTGTGTGTGTGTGTGTGTGTGTGTGTGTGTGTGTGTGTGCGTGTGTGTCTGTGTGTGAGTGTGTGTGTGTGTGTGTGTGCGTACGTGTGTGTGTGTGTGTGTGTGTGTGTGTGCGCACGAGTGTGTGCATGTGTATGTGTGTGTGTGTGTGTGTGTGTGTGTGTGTGTACACAAGTGTGTATGTGCGTGACTGTGTACGTGTGTGTGCACGAGTGTGTGTGTGTATGTGTGTGTGCATGTGTGTGTGTGTGCGTGTGTGTGTGTGTGTGTGCGTGTGTGTGTGTGTGTGTGTGTGTGTGTGTGTGTGCGTGTGTGTCTGTGTGTGAGTGTGTGTGTGTGTGTGTGTGTGTGTGTGTGTGTGTGTGTGTGTGTGTGTGTGTGTGTGTGTGTGTGTGTGTGTGCGTACGTGTGTGTGTGTGTGTGTGTGTGCGCACGAGTGTGTGCATGTGTATGTGTGTGTGTGTGTGTGTGTGTGTGTGTGTACACAAGTGTGTGTGTGCGTGACTGTGTACGTGTGTGCGCACGAGTGTGTGCATGTGTATGTGTGTGTGTGTGTACACAAGTGTGTGTGTGCGTGACTGTGTACGTGTGTGTGCACGAGTGTGTGTGTGTGTGTGTGTGTGCATGTGTGTGTGTGCGTGTGTGTGTGTGTGTGTGTGTGTGTGTGTGTGTGTGTGTGTGTGTGTGTGTGTGTGTGTGTGTGTGTGTGTGTGTGTGTGTGTGAGTGGGTGAACTTGGAGGACACGCACAGTGAGAGAACGGGAAGAAAAAATCAGAGTCTCCAAAAGCAACACAGCTCACGCTCGCTTTCGTTTGTCTTAATAAGGAAAACACCACAGATTTTCCGCGTGTCTTAAACACCACACACAGGCTCAGGGATTGCAGCATTCCAGAGAACTCCTTCGGAACGACATGGGAACACTACACTGCCCGTGTGAGACTAAAGAAGAGGCATATGTGAGCAAAACAGCCTCACACAACCAATGAGAGAGGCGTGTGAAAACAGGGGTTGTCCAAGGGAATTATCCCTAAAATGCACAAATATATGCTACGAAGGGTGGAGGTGCAGGAGATGTAACATCTGAGCATGCGCAACCAACACAGCAGATGAGATGCAGCCTTCCTCAGAGTTAAGCTTAGTTTATGCTTCTACATCTGCAGAAGATACACAACGCCGTCATCCATCCTTGCAAGGGCTCTTCAGCAGGCTTGCAAGGAGGGATGGAGTCGAGCCCACTTTTCTGAACATTGGTTGAATGAGACGGAGAACGCAAGCTTGTGACTGGTCAGGACGCCGCTTCCTTCAGCAGAACCGCCATTGCGTACTCAAAAAAACTGAGCCGAAGATATCTAGCAGCAGACACGGAGCAGCTTGAAGAAATCCTCGTGGAAAAACTCTAAAAATATGAACGTTTTATTCACCCGTGACTGGAGGTGTAAGGAGAAAGCATTTATTCGTGGACGGGTTTAGAGGAGACACATGAAGAGGTGGAGGACAAATTTGTCCCTGCTAAAAAGTCTCTGAAATACAAAAAACACACTATCTTGGACCTGGTACATGACAGGATACCCCAGAGCAGCTCTACGCCCTTGATTGCCCTGGTGGGGCAACACTCCCCAGGAGATGGAGAAAGCCGAGAGCTAAATGTGAACGGGGGTGCGTACTAGGCGCTTGCAACCCGGAATTGGTTCCGGAGCGACCCAAGTGGTGAAATGGCAAATTAACAGGCTCAGAAACGGTGGAAGGTAGCTGACGCCGGGTTCTGATGAGGAGAGTGCATGAAATGTGGCAGCATACCCCTGCTACCGTTGGGAAACCATCAGAATGGATTCATCGTTTTGTCGACTAAAGTGAATGTGAAACTACCCCAACAAGCTGGTCCACATCGGAACCCGCAACCTGCTGAAAACAAGCTCCGTTTGGGAGGAAGGTGCGTGCACGAGAGCGTTGAGGTGCTTGAAGGCTTTGCGCGGCCACATGACGGGCCCGGACATCTCGTTGACCGGCCCGAGCTCCGGATGGGATGAGCAGGGTGGGTGTAGTTGGAGTGGATGAACAACCAGCTCTAACGACTAATTTATACTTCTACGTCTGCATCGGGACACAGACGCACAACGCCATTACGCTTCAACGCAAGAGCCCTCCGACGGGCTCGCAGAGGGTGACGGAGAAATGCAACAACTTTTGACTGTACGTCGAAAGTGAGACCGCAAGCTTGTGACTGGTCAGGAAGCTGCTTCCTGTAAATTTGTCAACACCATATTCTTAGCTGCTTCAAAAAGTAAAACGATATTTAGCGGCAGACACAGAACAGATTGAAGAACGCATCGTGGAAAAAGTATGAAAACATGAACGTTTATTCACCCGCGACTGAAGGAGTACAAAGACGTGCAGCAAGCATTTTACTGATGGACGGAATGATGAGAAACGTGGGTTTAGAGGTGCCAATCGCATGGAGAGGTGGACAGGAACGAGGAACAAATTAGTCTGTGTTAAAAAGTCTCTTAAAACTATCCAAACACACTATGGTGGACCGCAAACGCGGCTGTAATGGTGGCAGGACACCTCAGAGCAGCGCTACTCCCCCTGCTGTCCTGGCGGGGAATTGATTTGCAACACTCATGGAGAAGCCTGAGATCAAAACATCGCTGCCAATGCGTGTGCGTCCTTCCCTCGTGGAGCTGATGGAGTGTATAAGGATAAAGTAGGCTTAACCGGGTCATAGGCCGACAGAAGACCGGCAATGGCCCAGCCCGAGCCCACGAGAAGTGTTTGGGGGGGTTGCATGTGGGAAAACAGCAGAAGGCTTGTTCAAACCAGCTCTGGAGTAGGACTGTGATGGGACACTGCTCTTTAACGTGTGTCAGTGTTTCAATTCAAAACACAAGTCTCTTCTTTTGCAGCTTCTTGCCAGTGGGCGAGTTCCTCTGGCTGGCTGGGTAGAAGGCTGGTGAGCTGGGGGAAACTGCGGTGGTTGCCAGAGCCTGGATCTGTTCCAAAGACCAGATACAAAAGTCGAGGTGATCGCTCCTTCCAGACTGTTGCACACCTGACTCTCGGAAAGATCTGTTTCATTTCTGGGTGCAACGACAAGCTGGCAAAAGTAACTTGTATGTAGGATAAGTGACATCTCAGTGGTGCTAATGGTAATGTTTGATCACATGTTGTGCCTCCCTTTGCTCTAAGATGTTCAAATGCCACGATGTGGCTCCTTTAACCCTAAAGGTTTCTAGTGACACAGACTGACTTCTTCACATCTCTCACTGCTGCTCGTTCCTTTCCTGTCAGTGAAACCATCACACGTCTAACGGTATCCGCGAAGCCCGGCTCGTGAGGAACACTGAGTGAGCGCTGATGTAATTGGTGCTGATGTGCCTCACAGAGAGAACATCTGTCAAAGAATGGGAGCAATTGGGAGGAAGGTAAGAAATCCTTCATGAGCGTGAGCGGGTTAGATCAAAGAGAGATGGCCTCCTGCCCCGACCCACAATCCCACAAACGACTCCTTCCAACTCCAGAGCAAGCAGGTGTGCAGCCTGAGGATTCACATTTCAGACATCGTGAATCAAAATACTTTCCCAACAACCAGAACCTGATGAGGAAAAGAGGTAATAATTCTACTGGAAGAGGAAAAGTGAAGAAAACCAGGCAGAAAATGTAAATTCTGATCCAGAGTCTTGTGGATTAAAACTAAATCTGTCATCATCCAGCTCACTCTGAGGTGGGGGATGGGGACCGTACCTCTGTCCAGGTCCGGCCGGTACTTCGAAGCATTGGTGGGAATATCGATGGAGGAGCAGTTCCAGCGCATGTCGGCAAACGTCTTCTGGCATGTTTTCTTGACTTCCTGGGCCGCTTGGATGATGGTCTGCATGAGGTCTAGGTTGGTGCGGCACAGCTGAGCCTGGGAGGGCACGAGGCCCAGCAGCAGCTTACAGTGATGGCTCTGGTTGACGTGCAGCGAGGCAGGAGTGTGCGACAGCGCTCTGCAGAAGAGAAAGCACCAATCCTAAACAGGGGTACACTGTAAAAACAATAACCTCACTGAACTTTAAAAGCTGGTGTCCAGTTTTCACATCCAAACATCTGACTTCACAGAAACTAAACGTCTTCACGGGTTACGACCTGATTCTTCATGTGGATGTGAACCACGTTACTTCACTTGGTCCAACAAACGTTCTCCACATGTATTTTAGTTCTGAACCAACCTAATTATTTACATTCACCCACATTAACATGACTTAACACAGCTGACTCACGTAATCTTGCAGTAGCAACACCGACCAGTAACAGCTAGCTCTCAAACACCTGCAGACAGCAAGTCAGAATGACACGCGGATCCTGAGGTTTGAGGGTGATAACCCACCTCATGGGCAACGGCACTGCGGCGTCACGCCTCTGACCGACCTACGACTTACGTCGCCAACGTGTCATAACGAGTAACGCCACATTTGCAACGGTGAATGAAGCAAAAGCTGAGAGCAACACAACTCCCCAAAAACACACATCAGCACCAAAATAAAGCTAAATACACAAGAACACGACGACCCACAATGCAACTCACCCACTGAAGCTCCCATGGGTGTTCACACGCAGATCACACTGGACTAGTCCTGGTCAGTCGGGTCCTGGTCAGAGACGGGTCCTGGTCATAGTCAGGTCCTGGTCAGACTCCGGTCCTGGTCAGACTCGGGTCCTGGTCAGAGTCGAGTCCTGGTCAGAAACAGGTCCTGGTCAGACTCGGGTCCTGGTCAGAGTCGAGTCCTGGTCAGAAACAGGTCCTGGTCAGAGACGGGTCCTGGTCATAGACGGGTCCTAGTCAGAGACAGGTCCTGGTCAGACTCGGGTCCTGGTCAGAGTCGAGTCCTGGTCAGAGTCAGGTCCTGGTCAGAGATGGGTCCTGGTCAGAGCCAGGTCCTGGTCATAGATGGTTCCTGGTCATAGACGGGTCCTGATCAGACTCGGGTCCTGGTCAGACTCGGGTCCTGGTCAGAGTCAGGTCCTGGTCAGAGACGGGTCCTGGTCAGAGACGGGTCCTGGTCATAGACGGGTCCTGGTCATAGACGGGTCCTGGTCATAGACGGGTCCTGGTCAGAGACGGATCCTGGTCATAGACGGGTCCTGGTCATAGACAGGTCCTGGTCAGAGACGGATCCTGGTCATAGACGGGTCCTGGTCAGAGACCGGTCCTGGTCATAGACAGGTCCTGGTCAGAGACGGATCCTGGTCAGAGACCGGTCCTGGTCATAGACGGGTCCTGGTCATAGACAGGTCCTGGTCAGAGTTGGGTCCTGGTCATAGACGGGTCCTGGTCAGAGACCGGTCCTGGTCAGAGTCGGGTCCTGATTAAGTGTGAATCTCAGTGCAGAGACAAGAACATTACAGACTCCTTAAAGTGAGAAAAGCGAATCAATCTGAGTGAAAAGCCCAGGCTGCAGGTCTATAAAACACTTGTGACACCTTCCTGGCACGCAGAACGACAAATTAGACCCGATGGAACGGCGCTTGCACAGGAGGAGCTGGCTCATGTGTTTACGGAAATTAGTTAAAGGGAAAATATTCTTAATTATTGGTGGATTGAAACAGAAGGTCCAGGAAGAATTCTGCTGAGAGTTCGTGAGGACCCGGCGGCGCCTCCACCTCGGCCTGGTTTGCATTAGGAGGCGAGGGGCCGCTCGGTGATAAGCTCTGACTCGGCCCGACTCGTTGTAACCCAGCACCCACAGGTGTTTACAGCTGCATCTGGGTTTTATCGGACCTCTCAGTTAGATCTGGGCTCTCGTCTGCAGACCTGAACACAGACACCAGTCACATCAAAGAGGCCACGTTCCCACCACACAGGAAAACATCGTTAAAAACCCAGAATTCCCCCACATCGCCAGAGTTTGGTCCGCCGTTGAAACAGTGCAAGTGATCTGTTACGGAGGACTTTTTCTACCAAGAGACAGTTAATCCTAATCTCAATAATTCTGGTCAGATTAGTTGACAACACTGCTCACTGAGTTCTGCCGAAGCAGAATTTAGAAGTCTGAACTAACGAGTTTACTGAAGCGAAAACATCATCAAAAATGACCAGAAAACATTTCGGCTAATTTGGGTAAAAGTCAATAGGAATCTGTAAAATTCAGACACTTTAAATCCCGTTTTCACACCACATAGTTGCACGTCTCTGTGATCGATCAGTCAGGTGGATAAAACCGACAAAAGCAGACGGCGCTGCTACCAAAGCAGCAAAGAGATGCTACGGGAGCCCGGAGGTCCAAAAAGGATTTTAGTTTGAATGAAACAGAGTTAGTTCCGGAGTGTCGATGCAGAGTAACATCAAGGTAAAATAAGTCCACCGCGTTCACGCTTCAGACAGGAAGTGTGCATCGTTCTGAACGTCCGACAAAATAAGAGCTTGATTATCAAACGAAACAGGCCTAAATAATTGTGATTAGTTAGATTGTTTCTGTGATCGTTTGTAGCTGCGTGGTGGCGCAGTGGTTGGCACTGTTGCCTCGCAGCACAAAGGTTGCAGGTTCGAAACTCGGCTCGGCTGCGGCCTTTCTGCGTGGAGTTGCGTGTTCTCCCCATGCATGCGTGGGTTTCCTCCGGGTACTCCGGCTTCCCCCACGGATCACAAAATGCCCGATAGGTTATAAATTGTAAGTCGCTTTGGATAAAAGCGTCTGCTAAATAAATAAACATAAACATAAACATTAATCTGGATGGATCCGTCAGACGGCTTCACGAACAAGAGCAGACCCAACGGTTCCTCTCCGAGTTTCTGTTCAGGACGATTTCAGACAAACCGGGAGAGAAGGAGGAACAGCTCCATGAGATGCAGTTCACGGTTTTGTGTGTGTGTGTGTGTGTGTGTGTGTGTGTGTGTGTGTGTGTGTGTGTGTGTGTGTGTGTGTGTGTGTGTGTGTGTGTGTGTGTAACAAACTGCATCACAGCTTTATGGTACTGATTCCTAAGTCGTCGAGCCTCTGCACTAAATCTAAACATTACAGTTTTATGGGAAAACCGCTCCCGACTGGCAGCGTGGAAAATCTGTCGGATAAAAACAAATTGAGGAGGATTCGGCCGGGTAGACCGCTGAGACCCATCAGGACAGCGATATTCCCGTTGTCCTGAATCCGTCCTGTATTTCCCCGGTGGTTCGGGAAAAGGCCCTGACAGCCTGCACTCGTGCAACACTCCAGACAAATGAAACACCTTCTGCCTCCTGGTCTAACCCTGACCCTCCGACAGGCAAAGATCAAAATTCAAGTCACAGAAACACAAAACTGCCCCAGACCGCTCCCAGCACGTCCACATCCACAAACAGCTGCTTCATGGACTTTCCAAACTTACTCAGGAAATCTTTGTTTGTTCTCTACAACGATGAAAACACCTTCCTTCTGCAGCAAACTGTTTCGATGATTTGAGGCCCAACTAGACTACACACTTCCCCGGCGCTGTCTCCACCACCGTGGCACCTCCTCATCATCTCACCTCCCTGTTTGTCCTCTGCTGTCATCCACGTCTTGGACCCGGAAGCTGCACGGAGATCCTTTTTGCTTCTGGCTACACCGGAACTCTGAGGTTTCTGTTCATAAGCTGAGGAACCACCAGCTAATCTGCTGTCCACGTCATCGAATACACAAATACACACACAGTGGAAACTTAAGGAATGTTTGGGCTGAGTCCGAGCTCCATCCAGTTCTGGAAGTTACCAAAATGCTTCCTACACAAAGTCATCCGTGGAATGGAGACGCTCTGGGTATATGCAACAGGGACAAGATCTGCGGATTTGATCCAGGAATACGCTCTGGAGATACACACTGTGGATACACTCTGGGCTTACGATCCGGAGGTACTTACAGCCACTTGATGCCGGAGCAGACCTGAGACAGCAGCACGGCTGTGAGCAGACAGAGAGGCAGGAGGTGGGAGTTGCTCCTCATGGTGGACTCCACTTCAGTCGGGACACAAACACGAAGGCTGCTGGGATCACACTCAGGGATCTGATCTCATGGCACGGCCGCCCCTCTCAATCCTGGAATAGATTAGGGAAGTAATCTGAACAGAGCCACAGGAGCTTCCGGGATACAAAACACAATAAGAGCAGAGCCGTGTCCAAGCGGCAGTTCGGGGGCCGCTTGTGGCCCTCGGAGTGGTTTTGAGAGCCACCCCATCACATTTCTAGAATGATGCGTGTCGTCTCTTCTGTAAAGATGTTCTTACATTTCATGTTCAGACTCTCTAACAAGCTCTGGTGCTTTTTAGGGAGCACACATCAAACAAATCTCATCCTCCTCAGAAATCCAATTTAACATTTTTGGCCTTTATTTTGAAAAGTTTGAATACGCCTCACTTAGAAATGTGTGTGTGTGTGTGTGTGTGTGTGTGTGTGTGTGTGTGTGTGTGTGTGTGTGTGTGTGTGTGTGTGATCATTTACTTTTTAAAACCATGATCTTTTTTAAAGCAGCTCACCTCTGATCTGACTCCAGGACCTAATTAACAAAAGCACTTCCTGTTCATCACTTATGCAGCAGATTAGGATTACCGCTGATTATGTTATTATTTATTTATCCCAGGATCCGGGCCGGGGTTAGGGTGAGCTGCTCCCGCTCACAAATGTCCAAACTGCACCATAAAACTGTTTACAGACACTTTGCTGTTTTAAACACCGTTTGATATTTTAATGGCTTCTGGACCGAAACCACCGAACCAGAACCAGTAGACTAAAAACTGCTGAAACTGTTAAACGTGACTTTTTTGGAGGTGGACCGTGTCAGATCCGGTCCGGTTCGGAACCGTAACCCGGTCTGACCCGGACTATCCAGCAGCAGAGCAGCTGATTAAGGTCCAACATGTTTACGGTAGATCGGAGCTCAGCTAAGCCCAGAAGTCCCGAAGCAGTCCTGTGACCCGGTCCCGGACCCGGCTGTTCTCACCTTGCACCGCGGAGCTCCGCTCTACTCAGGCGGGGAGGTGACGCTCCAAAAGCGGGTCCGAATATCCGGTCCGTCCGCTGCTGATCAGCCTGATGCTGCGGTAGAATCCAAGCCGGGCTGGAGGAACGGGTCCGGACCGGCACGCATGTTGTGAGTCAGACCCAGAGCGCTGTCGGTGTCTGTGTGTGTGTGTGTGTGTGTGTGTGTGCGCGTGTGTGTGTGTAGCAGAGGGAGAGAGGTATGAACCGTGCGGGGGCAGAACCAGCTCTAAAGTACCCCTGGTCCGCTTTGATCTCACTGATGACGTCACAGCCACATTAACATGAGCCCAGGCGGCACCGGGACCCCCGCGGTCTCTTTACCTCATTAAAACATTAGATCAGGGTTAGGGTTCGTGCGCTATTAAAGATTCAAACTGTAAGTTAGTGATTGACGTCTGCTACAGAAATATTAATATAATAATAAACCCGTCTGCATAACAACCTAAACAATTAAAGTAAACTACCGGATGGTTATTATTATAATAATAATTATTATTGCTATTATTATTAATTTGATTATTATTGTTATTATAATTTTTATTATGTTTTTATTCGTTGCTCTGATTTAATAAACATGTTCTTGGTGTGGACCTATTATAATTCTACTATTTATTATGATTATATTGTTTATTATAATTATATAGTTTATTATAGTTATGTTATTTATCATTATTGCATTATTTATTATATTTATATTATTTATTAAGATTATATTATTTATTATAGTTCTCACACTAAAAACGAAAATAAAATAGATTTGTTTCCTACAGCAGGGAAACATTAATCAGTCCTGTTCTAGAAATGATGAACCATAAAACCTCATCATCATTCAGCTTTAATCAGTCACCTCGATGATTTGGGTTTATGGTTTTTTTTAATAATAATACCAACAACAACAATAATAATAATAACAACAATAATAATAATAATAATAATAATAATAATAATGTAATAAAGTGTGAGGGGATAAACCAAAATAAATTTGCTTCCCAGCTTCTGTCCAGTTCATAATTTATCGAACCGGAGCTTCCTGATGTTCCTGGTGGTCATAGGCTGGACCAGCTGTGGGAAACTAGCCCAGAACTGAGCTCTGGTCCAGACCTTGACCTCTGGTTCTGCTGGAGGCTCCAGAGGGAACAGATGTCCAGGTGTTGTCCTGCTGTCTCCAAAGGAGGCATGGACCACAACAAGCCGTCTTCCTCTGGGAGCTTCAGCTTGTATTGGCTCCACATGTCTTTGCCTTAGTTACAATCCTGAGGAGAGGAATCCGGTTTCCAAGGACCCGATCCATTTTACGTGTGTGTGTGTGTGTGTGTGAGTGAGCAGGGGTAAAATCACAGCAGAGATTATCCACATGTAGGACAACCAACGTCACACAGATAGGCTTACACTTGAAGTCAGAATCCTGAGAGTCCTCGTGAAGATGTCTTCAGTCACAAATACATGATAACAAACATAACAACGAAAATAAAAATCATAATATTAACAACAACAATAATCATAGTAATAGCAATAAAAACAACTATGACAAATTAACAACAATACTCATAACAACAATAATAACAATTGTAAAATTAACAACAAAAATAATCATAATAACAATAAAACAATAAAAATGTACATCAATCCCGATAATTATAACAACAATAATAACAATAATAAAATTAACAACAATATTCATGATAACATTGACAATAACAATAACAATATTAACAACTATCATAATAATAATTATAATAATACAACAATAACAAAATTAACAACAACAATAATCATATTATTTACAATAACAACAAAAACAACTATAACAATATAAACAACAACAATCATAATTATCTAAATATGATCATAATGATAATAACAACAACAATAACAACATTAACAAAAATAATCTTAACAATCTAAATATAATAATAACAATATTAACAACACCAACAATAATCATAACAATACTATTAACATTCATAAAAATATTAACAACAACAACAACAATAATATTATTAATAATATTATAACAACAAAAATTATAATTACACAAATGTGAGTTTAAAGTTTATAATCCACACTGATCTCTTTGGAATACCATAAAATCCCAAAGGAAGAGGGTTTGGTGGGACTCGTTCCTCAGCCTGACTCGGGCTTTGGTACCACCGATGGGATCATGGATGGGATTGAGCTCAGACCAGGAATCCTGAGCCTGGGGGGGGGGGGGGGGGGGGGGGGGGGTCCTCTGGTTCTCAACGTTCAAAGAATTTCATCCAGAGTTCAGAAGAACACAGTTCTAAATAGTGCCGTCAGATTTTTATTACACAACTTTAAAATGAAATCAATCTGTTTTTATCGACGTAGCCGTAACAACAGCCCACCAGACGACCTCCACCCTCCTGCTGCCAACCACGGCCAAGCCTTTGGCCAGGGATGACAGCCTTCACTTATGAAGGCAAGCAGGAACCCCCGAGGGCTGCCTGGCCGTGCCGCTCCCTTCTCTTCTTCCAGCACTAAAGGCTGCTTGTTGATAAGTAACAACAACAGCGTGTAAACAGGTTTGGACTCGGGCTGCTGTTGGCGTAGACCTTCTGACTGGTTGTTCTGCGGTGAAAGTCAGTCTGGAGGTCCCACAGAGACGGCATCTCAGTGAGTCTGAGGAGGTGTTTGTGAAGGGGAGCAAAAGGTGCTGAGAGGAAGGAGATGTCTCCAGCAGTCTGGGACAGTGCATCCATCACGCCTGCACCTCCTGGTCCACGTGGAGGCCAGGAGCCACAGCAGAACCAGAGAGGAGGTGAGAGCACCAAAGCATCACCGCTACAAGCTCAGCTTTTAAACAATCACAAAGGGTTTTCACGTCCCTGTGAAAACGTCCCAGAACCAAGTAAACGAAGGATGTTGTTCAGCGGGTTCTGACAGGGAGCCGCTTTGAGTTATTTCAGATAAAACCAGCAGATGCTCATAAATCCAAATAAACGACGGCCTCTTACGATCGTTTATCCAGCTCATTGTCCTAGGACTGCTGCTCAGATGATCCTTCATATTTCAGCCAGTTTCCAGTCCCAGGTTTACAAGCACAAGTAAAAACAAGCAACTAGCCCACATCCAAATAACTCAAACCAAAAGTTCAGCAGGGACAAACTGCCAAATCTCTCTGAGGGGGAACCTTGAAATAAAATCCACTTAAGCCCCACAAGTGTAGTTAAATCCTGGCTCAGTATGGACATGATTATGGCCCGCCACGGGTCTTATATCAGCGCAGAACCTTGACATCCAGCAGGAAGCCCGGTGCATGGGTCAATTATGGCAAAACCTCTTCCCAGAGTTAGATGTTCTTCGTACCCAAACAACCAGGCCACACCTGAGAGCTCACCTGCAACGCTCTGCGTGAGAGTAAATAAATCACCACTCAAGAGTCCACACATGTGGTTATTCTACACACACACACACAATCTGGGCTTCGTCATCAGCAGCGAAGGCCGCAGCAAGAATCTAGGAAAGGATCAAGTATCAAAGAGATGTTTGAAATTCGTGGAACATTTGTGACATCAATGTGACCCACAGAACCTGAAGACCAGGCTCTGCAAAGTGCTGACCTCCTTATTCAAACATCTCCAGGAGTGCGGAGCTAATGGTTAACAGGAAAGGTGACTTTCAGCAGCAGAATGCTTGTTACACATTAACCAGGTCCCCTCCAGCAGGCCTCTCCTCCTCAGGACAACTGGTGACATGAACATGTTCCTCTTACAGCAGCACACGCACACACTTCAAATTGTGATGACTTGGCTGGGTTTTTGAGGAGGAATCCTTACTTCCGGTTCTAAACCCACTCACACTGGAATGTGACTTGGCGTTTCTAGTCCTTCACCACCACCAGGAGCCTTTAATGTTTTAGTGAATCACAGCAGGAGGTCTCACCATACATGCTGGTGCTGACCCCGGAAACCTGCAGCACGGCGCCATCTAGTGTGGCTTTAAAGACCTGCGTTAGAGCTCAGACTGAAACAGGACAGGACACGATTCAAAACAACTTTTTGGATCATTTTATTACTTTTTTTGGACAAATATATATGAAGATTTTCCTATAAAGGAAACATTATTCTCAGAGAAACGTTACAGCAAATTCATTCCTGCGAGGAGAGGAAGGATTAGACCGCGCTAACCGCGTCTATGGGTGCCCAGGATAGATGGGGGTGCAGGTTTATGATTAGTATCAGCTCATAACAGGGAAGGAGAAATCAATCTGGCTGTTCAGGAAACAAAACCTGTGGGACATTTAAAACATGATCATGAAACACTGAGAAAACTAGGGTCTCATCAAGGCACACTAAAGCATCGACAACCGTCATCGGGCGTTTTCTTCTCGTTTCAGCCTCGACGTTGGTCCCCTTGGGCAGTTTAACTGTACAAACTACATGATCAGAAAAAGGAAAACAAAACACAGAACAGGGCTTCTGTGGGAGGGCAACCTAAGGAACATCCATTAATGTACAGTAGAAGAGGGGATTCAGAAGTTCTTCAAACAGGCTGGACTCATCAGTCCTGTGACTCTAAAACACAGCCCATGTCAGCCCACGGCTTCTACAGAGGATGGAGATCTGTCAGAGACCTCTTCTCCTGCTGGAGGAACTCCTGAAGACTCCGTTTCCCCTGCTTGAAGGTGCTCTCCCGTCTTGAAAACGGTAAGATGACCTGAAGCCTGAGGAGAGTTTCGATGTTGCTAAAACTCCTGATCTGTGACGCCTTGAGCGTATCAAGCACAGTGCTGGGAAGGTAACCTGCCAGAGGATCCAACCATTTCTCCTTCCACGCCTTCATCTCAGAGTGAAGGGAGGTGTGGTCTGGCAAATCCTCCTTGTACAGACGAAACACAAGACCACTAAGAATGCTGGTTTCTACTTTGGACATTGCGTAAGGCACAATCTCCAGACATCTCAAAGTATCCAGAACCTTCTCAGAGAAGAGGTCTTCGATTTCTGCTATTGTGTGCTCAACAACCTTCATGCTAACAGATTCTTTGTAAAACTCACTCAAAGGCTCAAGAAGAGTCGAATGCAACATTGAGACATGGAGTTTGGACGCTAGAGTGACAGCTTCCTCAAACCAGGACTTGTGATGAACATCTAAATCGCTCTTGAGTTTATCGAGTGCCGCTTTGACATCAGGCAAGGTGTTCACAGACAGCAGCATGTCTAAAGGCTTACCCTGAAGAGACTGGCTCAGCCTTTTGGTTATGCTTAGGACGTTCTTTTGGACCACAGTAGAAAGGACAAACTCAAAGGTTCTGATTGAATCCAAGAAGTGAGCCGCTTGCTGCCGGTCAGAGGGACTTCCCTCCACCTTCAGCTCGTTCAAGCTGAGCATGACTGCCTCTAAAATCTCGACCATGATCTCATGCATGTCATGACTCTTCTCCCAGTTCTTTACAAGTCTGTCACTCAAGTCGCTGCCCTGTCGGTCTTCTTGTTGGAAAACATAAACAATCATTTCTTCCAGCTTATTCTGGCGTTCTGCATCCTCGGTGAGCCAGTGCAACAGTCTACCGATGAGGGCCGAGCCGTCAGCGGCCTCTGCTGCCGGGGAAGACTTGGCCAGCCATACGTTCAACGACAAAGCGGAGCTGAGCGTTCTAACAGCATGGGGGTACTTCTTAGCTATGGCTACACTCACTGCCCTCATGCAGGCTCCGACTTCACCAACGCTTAGCAGTGCCTGTCCTCTGCAGTACTCCATGTTGAGCCCCCATTTCTCAGACAGGGCTGTTTCAATTGACTCGGCAAGATCGATCAAGTCTTCAGTAAAAGGGATGAAGGCCAGGGTTTCCTCACACTGGATGTCCTCCTTGTTTAAGAATCGGATGCACAGGGGGACATAGAGCTCACCGTCAATATCTACCACCTGCTCTGTGATCACCGTGAAGAACTGAGAGTCCCACAGTTCCTTGAGGATTTCTTCGCGTAGTTGTGGCTCGTAGAATGAGACAGTTGTTCTAGGTCCTGGAGCAACTGCTGGTTTTATCTCATTTTTATTTGGTTTCACCAATCCATCTGCAAGTTCCTCTGCTTCACTGGAGCCAGACGCTCCTGTTGCTTCAGCTGGTTTTACTCCATGATCTCCTGATTTTGAAAAAGGCAAAATATTACATGATTCATAAGAAAATAGAAACGTTTATAGAAAATTCCTAGCCTAGTGGACTAGACCAAATTCTTGCTTTACAAAGTTTGGTCTAGGAACGCTCCACTGGAACCTCTGCAGCCCCTAACAGCATTCTAGCTGGCCAATCACAGCTCTCTAGAGAGGTTTCAAACACATAAAGAGCTGTGATTGGTCCATAATAGTGAGCCAATCATAGTGCTCTATCTGCTTAGTGAACAAATCACAGAGCTTTATCCGCTTTGTGGGCCAATCAGGGCACTCTATATGCCTGGTGGGTGGGATGATGCAACAGAGTGAAACAAGATGGCGACAGCTCGTTTGAAATGGCTTTTACATCAATTTTGGACTATTAGAGCTTGGGTTTCATTAGAATCAGGAGCAGACAGATGTATTTTAGTGCTTTTTTTTTTTTTATTTTAATTTTTTTTTTAGAAAAAATTATGTGTTTCTCCTTCAACTGTGGACCGCCTCATTTACAGATAGCTGCTGCGGTGAGTATGTCACATTCATTGTTCAGTAGCATGCGGAGATCATTTGAATGACAACTGTAGAACCCGCCCCACAACCGAGAGCCGTCAATGGAGCGTTGCCAGACTAAATAATACATTTATGTAGTCTGGCTTGCCAGGCTAGAAAATTCCCTCAATGCACTGATTAGAAAACTTACTTGTGTCTAACTTCAGCCGTTGCAGAGCTTCCATCACCTAAAATACAAGGATGGTAAATTTGCAGCATTAATAATTGCAGCAGCAGATTGACTGTTCAACAACAGCGTGGGCTGTGACCTACACCATGAAAATACTTGGTTCCTAATTAATAAGCAAAGACATTAAACGTCTGGGAAGTTGAGAAAGTAAAACATTTCAGGATGTTTGTGAAAATAGGGCTGCGTGGACCTACCTGGGACAGGCACGGGCTGCTCTCTGGATCAACCTCCATGCATTTGTCGATGACCTGTGGTAGCTTCTCTAGTGTTGTGCAGTGAGAGAGAAGCATAACGTGACTCACTCTGCTGCCTCTACATACAGTGTTTTTGAACAGATCCCTGATGTCATTCAGGGTGGTCTTCATCAGGTCACACTCCATACTGACACTGGGCAGGACGGCAACCAGCCTAAGCAGTAACGTAACAATTGGGTGACTCTTGGACTCAGGATGAGCAAGTGCTTCTGCAATGGATGTTGGAGGAGCAACATCCTGGTATTTCTCTCTCCAGACAGACGCCCAGGTGGTAATTTCCTGCTCTGCTGCATCAGGCTCAGGAAGGTCTGTAAGGTATAAACTGAAGGGCTTGTCTGTGGACTCTGGCAGTATGGGCTGTGGGTTGCATGAAGGCAGCAATGCCAGGACTGACAGACCCTTGAGGTGACTGTCTGAGAAGCAATATTTCATTTCATCAACAAGACTTTTGAGAAGTGGAATGCTAAGATTTTCCCTGTAGTAAATCTCAGGAGAATCATAGCTGCCTGCTTCCTCTGAGAAGCACACTTGTTCAGGAGCAATCTTGGTGGCGAGCTGGAACGCCTGTTCAAACCAGGTAGAGTGCACAGTGTTCACGTTCTCCAACATCTTCTCTAAGGTCTCCATGATCGAAGGGATTTTCTCAATCTCACAGAGAATGTCAGCAGGGTTTCCACAGCGGAAAACGGTGCTGCAGTTACGGAGAGGAGAACAGGCATTCCTCAGAATCACCAAGGTGACAATGAAGTCCATGTTCCTCAGGGCAGTAGAAAGAACTTGTGCATGCACTGATTTGGCTCCTGTGTCACTAGAGCTAACAGCATCCAGGCAGGACAGAACACCATCTAGTGTGTCAGCCAGGATGTCAAAGAAGTCCTCTCTCTTTTTCCACTTTGAGCAGCACGTCTCTGGGAATTCCTCTAAAGCCTCTCTTGGCACATTCAAAAGCCCGTCAACAGCTTGTGCCAGCTGTTCCTCTAGACAAGGAGACTCGTCAAAGAACAGCAGCAAATCTTCTGTGACGTCCAACATCTTTGCCACAGAGGGGCAGGGAACGCTACTGGCCAACCAGTAGGAAAGGCCACAAGACTCGCTGGGTGTGACCACACAGAGTGGGTAGGTCTTCAGGAAATTCAGAGACATCTTCTTCAGGCTCTGAAAACCCAAACCCAAATGCATAAACGCCTGCCCTCGACACTGGGACATGGGTAAGCCCCAGTCCTCTGTAAGAGTCTTTGCAAGGTTACTTGCTTGCCTATCAACATTATAGTTTTCATCGAAGGGTAAAAAACCCATGAGCTCTACCTTCGGAGCAGATTCCCCAACGTACCGAACAAAAACAGGAAGGTGGGTCTGATCGGAGACTCTGACAGGTTTATCCGTGATAAGAGAGAAAAACGGAGATTCCTGTATTTCCTTAAGGATGACATCTCTGATTCCATTTATGAGAAGGTTCACCATTTCATCATCGCTAATGGGTGGGACTGATCTACTTTCATTCGCAAACCAGTGACACAACTTGAGCTCCTGAACATGTGTCTCTCTGTCTTCCTCCGAGAGGTCACTGAGGCTCATATTCTTCTTTCCCAGCAGCGCAGCCAGCCTAAAAACCGTAGCAAGACTTTGGCGGTTGTTTCCTACAGGCCCATCCTCGTCTGCTGTTTTCATGTCTTCATCCTGCAACCTTTCAGGAGATTGCAGAATTTTGGGCTCCTCAATATCAACTTTGACACAGACAACTAAATTAATCAAAGAAAAACAAATAATTAGAACCTTCATACTGCAGCTGAAAAGACAAAAATGTAGTCCAATTTCCAGAACTTACTTTCCATATTATTTTCGGAGTTCCTGGCGAGACTCTTTGATTCCTTATCCTGTAAGAATAGCAGAAAGATACTGTTACAGCATCAAAGAAAATCTGCACCTTCCCCAACAGCAAGCCATGGATGACCCAAGACGTCAGACCCGTGACAAAGCTTTCAGGTCTGGCGAGGCTCAACAACACAGCACTGCCAGGTCAGAGCTGAAGAGGGGCATCAGAGAGGGCCAAGGTGGCTTACAGAAGAAGGATTGAGAAGCACTTTGACAACTCAGATTCACGACAAGCATGGCAAGGGATACGGCACATCACAAATCAGATCAGTGCAAACTCAACACCCAACAATGCCAGACTGGCTGAAGAGCCCAACCGATTCTATGGCCACCATCAGACGACGACTGCTGGAACCATGACTCCAGCACCTAGCCTAGTGAACTACACCAAATTCTTGCAAAGTTTGGTCCATTGGGACCTCCACAGCCCCTAGCAGCATTCTGGCTGGCCAATCACAGCTCACTACAAGGGTTTCAAACCCACAGAGCGCTGTGATTGGTCCACAATGGTGGGTTAATCACAATGCTCTATCTGCATTGAGGACCAATCACAGCACTTTATCTGCTTTGTGGCTTATTCAGGGCCCTCTGGGCAGGATGACGCAACAGAGAAGAACAAGGTGGCGACAGATCAGTTTTGGACTCTTTGGACTTGAGCTTTATTAGAATCAGGAGAAGATAGATGTATTTAGTCCTTTATTTAGAAAAAAATCATGTATTTTCGTCTTCTTCAACAGCGGACTGCCTCGTTTACGACATCTGTTGCAGTGAGAATGTCACGTTGTTCATTGTCCAGTAGCATGCGGAAATCGTTTGAAAGACAATGTTAGAACCCGCCCCACAAGAGTCGCCAATGGAGCATTTATTTAGTCTGGCTTGCCAGATTATCCAGCTCCAGCTCCAACACCAACAGCCAGGTGCTTAGCCGGCAGACCGCTGAGGTAACACATACACTCAAAAGGTGTTAACACGAGGAAAGCAGCTGGTCCAGGTGGCATTTCAGGAAGGGTGCTACATGACTATACAGCGGAGCTGGGTGAGGTCCTCAAAGACATCTTCAACATGTCTCTGTCCCCACCTGTCTATAAACGTCCACAATAGTACCAATACCGAAAAAGTCAATCATAACAAGCCACACAGACAACAGGCTTGTAGCAGATATTGCGATTTCAGTTCAATTCACGATGTTCTTCAAACAAAGGTCCAACACTAGCCTGCCAAGCCATCCTGTATATTAAGTGAAAAGATGGTCTGGACTCTAATCTAGTACAACAAATCATTCACATTAATATTTACTATCTAATCATACAATAAAAACAGTTGAAGCTATTCATATTTTCTACCATTATTATGTTTTTATTATTTTATGTGCGTGTGAAGAACTAGTGATGTTTATCCAGAGGTGCTTTATAAAAACATGTTCTTGTTCTACTCCAACAATGCATGAGGAAATCTGAAGGTAGAAACAGCTTTCAGATGTATTAAATAACAAAACATCACACAGTTTTCCTGCATTACCAAGGCAGGCTTCTGCACGTTTTTCTAAGCCGTCTGATAGTTTTTCCTCACTAAAACTCTGATATAAAGCCTAGTTTATGGTGCGGGCAGCTCCGTGAGACTCACGCATTGAAAGAGACGCTCTGACATGTTAGCTTGTTTGAGTTAACATGTGTGTAACCCTTGTTTCAGGTATTAATCATACAAGACTGGAATAAACAATAACAAATGATCTGGGCCTGGGCTCGTGATAATGAGTTACAGCTTTGTATCCTATTTTATGCCACCGATGTTCTTTACCCAGGAATATTGTGGCCTATTTTAACAAGGACCACAACTGTATTGAATATTCTAATTTTTTACAAATATTTATTTATAAACAGGAAATAAAATTTAAAGGGTTCTTAAAACAAAATAACACAAAATGACATCCAGTTCAGTACTTGTGTGAATAGAGAATTTTCCTAAATTAAACAATTTCATGACCAAAACTTGGCATTTCATTTCCATACCAAATATTTCTATTAAAATGAATTTTGAACTCACACTATCCTCGTGGGCCTACACACACACTCTCTCTCTCTCTCACACACACAACACCTCTTAAACTAAACCTCCCTCCGTTGCAGGCCTGTTTGTTGAAAATTGAGTGTGGAGGGGCCTAAAAACTAATGGCCACTTCACTCAGGAACTGAGCATAAAACAAAAGCACGTGCATAAAAGGTGACTGTACTCACAAAGTCCAGGGTTATTGCAGCATGGGGAAAGGGAATTTTGGATGGGCTGTTCTAGGGCTGCTCAATTAATCGAATTTTAATCCCAATTACGACCTGAGTTTTGAACGATTATAAAAACAAAACAAGCCGATTATTTGCTCCTCCCACTTGTGCTGCCCTGAGTTGCAAATGAAGCGCTCCTCCCACAGTGTTGCCAACTTAGCGACTTTGACGCCATTTCTAGCAGCTTTTCAGACCCCCTTCTTGACATTTTAAATCTTAAAAGTACCTAGCGAACACCTCAGAAACATCTCTGGTAACCCTTAGCTACTTTCTGGATAACTGTCGTTGACATTTCCTGCAGGTTAGCTTAAAAACTCCGACTAAGCTCGGACCGATCTTCAGGACATTAGGAAAGGGAATGATGTAGTGATGTATCTAGATTTGTGTGCATGTGTGTGTCTAGATTTGTGTGCACGCATCTAGATTTGTGTTTGCGTAACTTACGATTTGTGTGTGTGTGTATCTAAATTTGTGTGTGCATCTAAATTTGTGTGTATGTGTGTATCTAGATTTGTGTGTGTGCATCTAGATTTTTGTTTGTGTAACTTACGATTTGTGTGTGTGTGTATCTAGATTTGTGTGCATGTATCTAGATTTGTGTGCATGTATCTAGATTTGTGTGCGTGCACCTAGATTTGTGTTTGCGTAACTTACGATTTGTGTGTGTGTGTGTGGGTGTATGTGTGTATCTAGATTTGTGTGTGTGCATCTAGATTAGTGTTTGCGTAACTAAAGATTTGTGTGCATGTGTGTATCTAGATTTGTGTGTGTGTATCTAGATTTGTGTGTGTGTATCTAGATTTGTGTTTGCGTAACTTGTGTGTGGGTATCTAGATTTGTGTGTGTGTGTGTGTATCTAGATTTGTCTGTGGGCATCTAAATTTGTGTGTGCATCTAGATTTGTGTTTGCGTAACTAAAGATTTGTGTGCATGTATGTATCTAGATTTGTGTGTGTGTATCTAGATTTGTGTCTGCGTAACTTAAGATTTGTGTTTGGGTATCTAGATTTGTGTGCATGTGTGTATCTATATTTGTGTGCATGTGTGTACCAATATTTGTGTGTGTGTGTGTGTGTGTGTGTGTGTGTGTGTGTGTGTCTAGAATTGTGTGTGTGTATCTAGATTTGTGTTTGCGTAACTTGTGTGTGTGTGTATCTAGATTTGTGTGTGTGTATCTAGATTTGTGTGTGTGTATCTAGATTTGTGTTTGCGTAACTTGTGTGTGTGTATCTAGATTTGTGTCTGCGTAACTTAAGATTTGTGTTTGGGTATCTAGATTTGTGTGCATGTGTGTATCTATATTTGTGTGCATGTGTGTACCAATATTTGTGTGTGTGTGTGTGTGTGTGTGTGTGTGTGTGTGTGTGTGTGTGTCTAGAATTGTGTGCATGTATGTTTCTATATTTGTGTGTGTGTATCTAGATTTGTGTGTGTGCATCTAGATTTGTGTGTGCATCTAGATTTGTGTTTGCGTAACTTAAGATTTGTGTGTGTATCTAGATTTGTGAGCATGTGTGTATCTATATTTGTGTGCGTGTGTGTACCAATATTTGTGTGTGTGTGTGTGTGTCTAGAATTGTGTGCATGTATGTATCTATATTTGTGTGTGTGTATCTAGATTTGTGTCTTCTAACTTAAGATTTGTGTTTGGGTATCTAGATTTGTGTGCATGTGTGTATCTATATTTGTGTGCGTGTGTGTACCAATATTTGTGTGTGTGTGTGTGTGTGTGTGTCTAGAATTGTGTGCATGTATGTATCTATATTTGTGTGTGTGTATCTAGATTTGTCTGTGGACATCTAAATTTGTGTGTGCATCTAGATTTGTGTTTGCGTAACTAAAGATTTGTGTGCATGTATGTATCTAGATTTGTGTGTGTGTGTGTATCTAGATTTGTGTGTGTGCATCTAGATTTGTGTTTGGGTATCTATATTTGTGTGCATGTGTGTATCTATATTTGTGTGCATGTGTGTACCAATATTTGTGTGTGCATCTAGATTTGTGTTTGGGTATCTATATTTGTGTGCATGTGTGTATCTATATTTGTGTGCATGTGTGTACCAATATTTGTGTGTGCATCTAGATTTGTGTTTGGGTATCTATATTTGTGTGCTTGTGTGTATCTATATTTGTGTGCATGTGTGTACCAATATTTGTGTGTGTGTATATAGAATTGTGTGCATGTATCTAGAATTGTGTGTATCTAGATTTGTGTGTGTGTATCTAGACTTGTGTGTGTGTATCTAGATTTGTGTTTGCGTAACTAAAGATCAGTGTGCGTGTAGATAGATCTAAGCAAGTGTAACTCTTTATTTGTAACTTGTGTTTACATTTTCGTGTCTAACTTCAACTCCTGCACACACAAATCACCTGGTCCCCATGGACAAACTATATAACACAGATCAGTTTACAAGTACAAAAATCCTTTTGAGACTCTTTTCTCACCTGACTGATTTGTGCGTACATGGTGCATTTGAATGCTGGGTGGAGGTGGGAAATTTGAACATCCTTTGGAGTTAGCCTCAATTTATGTTGAAGGGACAAATATGTTTTTTTGTGGAAAAATATAGAATCTCAGGATCTTGTAGTTATAGATAACAGACTTACATTTGACTTTTAATAATCCAAAAGTGTTTATTTAGGCATTTGTGTTTATGAGCCATGAAGAATGTAGTCAAAGGGTTATAGAAAATGACCACTAGATGGCAGAGTAGCTTTCTGACTGGAAAAAGCAGTCTTCAAACCGGGAGAAGGCATACAAGAAGATGGTGCGGCATTCTGGTGATCTTTCCTCTGAAGTCTTTAAAATTATGGAAACGCTATGTTTCTCCGCAGAAGTGTGTGTGTGTGTGTGTGTGTCAGTGTCTTTGCTTCCCACACTCGCTCCAAAGGGATTAGCAGGGCTGACACGCATTTACCCGTCAGAGGTGAGGGGCTCATGTGGCAATATTACTACAAGGCTAAGAGCATCAGAATCGAGTCTTATCACCTTTCCCCTTTGCTCCTTGCCGCATTTACGAGACCCACAAAGTCGGATTTATCACTCCGTAATGTCGCGATGGTCTGTCTTATAAAACAGGCTTTAATATTTCAGTTTGTAGTTTAGGCTTGTCTAATTACAAGTTTACATCTATACTTTTACATTTTTGCACTTTAAACTGGCTCTGTGTGTGTGTGTGTGTGTGTGTGTGTGTGTGTGTGTGTGTGTGTGTGTGTGTGTGTGTGTGTGTGCGTGCTTTTATTTTAGCCTGTTTTTATTTTACTCATATTTTACTACCTTTCACGTGAGCTGTCTTTAGCGAGTCATTTTCGTTGTACACCTGTGCAATGACAATATTGAATAAGCTTAAACAACCCTGACGTTTCTACGAATCAAAGAAAAATAAGAACAAAACACAATCAATTCTGTTAAAAAACCCAAAGAACATACCAGACAGATACCCTCCAGGGCTTGCGGAGTCACCTTCAGACACTGGGTCACCATGCGGTCCAAGTCTCTACTGAAATCTGTGCTCACATGCAGCATGGTCAAACATGGAGATCTGTCTCTGGGATTTGTGTTTCTAAGGTAGTCTTGGAACTTTTTTTGGCGCATGACAACACCACAGTCCTCCAGTTTGGTGCTGGGGAGCACCGACATGATTCTTAGCAGAGCATTGATGTTTCCAAAGTACTGCATGAGCGGCAAACGCAGCGTGTGAAATATGGAGCTCGGAATAGTCACTGAAGCCACTTTCGTCTTCCAGGTCACTCTCCAACAACACAGCTCTGTAAAGAAGTTTTCGGCATCGGGAAGGTCACTGCTGTAGAGGGGGGGCTTGGACTTCAAGCTCTCAAACATGTAACTCACTGTGATTGAGCATGGAACCAGGGACAGGAAGTTCAGAGCTTCCTTGTGGTCCTCTGAGAAATGGTCCTTCACTTCACTGATGAGGTTGTCTACAAGGGGGACACTCAAGCAGTCTTTGTAAAAGGTGACTGGCTTGATCATGCCATCTTTTGGGACAGCATTTTCAGGCACTTCAATCTGCACTCGAAGACACTGGGCAATCGCACAGGCCTCGTCAAACCAGTTCTGATGAAATACCTTCATGTTTGTTTTCACCCTGTTAAGAGTTGCCACTATACCACTGATTTGGCAAAGCTGGGATGCAACACTGAACTGGTCCTTCTGAATACCTGCGCTAAGTTCTCTGGTGAAGGACGATGCATTCTTCAACACCACCATGGCCATGATGAAATCAAACTCCATCACTTTGTGGAGAAGGACTGCTGCTTGTTCAGACACAAAAGCCTTCCACCTCTGTGGGTTGTTTTTGATTTTTTCTAGACATTCGACCAGCGGCTCAAGCATTTGCACAAACACCTCATAAGAGTCATGCTTCTCTTGCCAAGTGGTACAAAAGGTCCCTTGTAACTCCTGGACCTTTTCGTAACTTTCTCTAAGACCATAGGCTATCACATGATCAAGCTGTTTTCCTCTAGCACTACTGGCGCCAAAAAACATCAAGATCTCTTCAAATGTTTCTATGGCCCTTTTAACTGCAGGCACTGGGATAGATTTTGACCACCAGGTGTTGAAAGAGTAAGAAGAACAGTGTGTGCAAATAGCGAGAGGATACTTCTCCTGGACTTTGCAGGCAAAAGCTTTAAGCTTGTAGGAGACATCTCCAGAGCCAAGGTAAGCCTGGCCTCGACAGTTTTTTAAATCAAGACGCCACTCCACTGTTATTTTCTCAAGAAGAGTTTGTATCAACGCATCGCATTCCAGATTTGCCTCAACAAACCCTATCAACTCTAACCGCATAACATCAAAACTGTCCACAAATCTGAGGAAGATTGGGAGATAGTCTCTTTCTCCAAGTTTCACAACACGATCAATAATCAGAGAAAAGAACGAGCTCCCCACTTCCATGAGGATCCCCTCCTTGACAGCACTCTCACAAATAGTGAGGACTTCATTCATTTGAGACTTGGTCACATACTCCACTTCTCCATCCTGGGCAGGACAAGCCTCGCTATCTAGCTTGCTTTGACTGCTGCAGGCGGCCACCACAGCAGCCTGCAAAGCAGATTTAATAGCTTCTCGATCAGTCTCCGCACATTTCATCTCCACAAGTCTTTCAGCATCCATCTCTAGATTAATTAGCTGCAGTTCTTCTTCCGTATCCTTTTCTGCATGGTTTCCGTGGGCCACAACTGAAACACAAGGTGGGATTACTCTTTAGTGCTATTGTGAGAAAAAGCATAGTAAAGAGCCGTGTTTTTACTGTGACCATTTAGGTTAAAAAGCTATCTCACCTTGTGGGGGCTTGTCTGTGGAACTGTCATCCTGTGAAACAGTCACTCAGTTAGACATTGGTTCAGAATGAACCGAGTTGTGAATCCAAACTCACTCTGTAAACGTTTACTCACCACTTGCAGCATCTGCAGAATTTCTGGATGCTTCTGGACATAGGTCTCCACCATGTTTTCAACGTTAAAGTGCACATCCTGATTCACATACACAAACGCCATGTTGCATTGTCTTTGGTCCTTTGATGTGTCAGTCAGATAAGAATGGCACCGCTCCAGCACCATGTGGTATTGGCCGTAGACGTCCGCCTCTGCGTTGACACACGGAACTGTCCCCAACACCCTCAGCAAGCTCTGCACATTTGGGTAAAATCCGATGTCTGGGATCTTGAGAGTAGCGAACACTGTGGTCGGGAGGATTCTGCGCTTGCTTGCATGCCTCCACTTCACCTCCCAACAGCCGAGCTCCTCGTAGAAGGTGTCTGGGCGTGCCAGGTTGTTCAGGTTGGCGTCTGCTACTTTATCTCTGCGAATGCTAAAATTGTGGTCAGCCATGTAAGATGGCACTAATGAGAGCCAGCGGAGAATCCTCACCATTTCGATGCTGAAAACCCTCTTCACTTCTGCTACAAGGTACTGCAGGATGGGCCGACTCATAGTTTCTCTGTAGAAGTCCTCCAGGGGAGTCTCACTTGTGTCTGCTTGGGCCATCTCGGGTTTGGTGACCTCCACTCCGAGTTTTTTGGCTCGACCAACAGCCTCGGAGAACCATTTACGGTGAAATATTGCAAGTTCCTGTTGGTATTTGCTGATGAGCTTTAAGGCATTGGATATTGTGTACTGCAGAGTACTGCTGATGCTTATGATTCCCCTGAGACTTGAGTTAAGTATACTCACACAACAGAGGGTGTTCTTCAGAACAACAAGTGTCATGATGAAGTTAAAATTCTTTAACACGGGCTTGAGCTTGGCCATCTGTTCAGCGGTATCTTCATCCACTTTTGAAATGATCTCATTGATACAGTTGAGAAATGGCTCAAGAATCTCTAGCATGGTTTGGAAGGCATCTGTGCCACGTTCCCAATTCCCAGTGATGGCTGCTTTGATGCGGTCTACTTCCCCTTTTATATGGCTGTACGCCAGCTGAATTTTTCCTTCCAACCGCCTGCTCAGCTCTGGGGTTCTCCTGAGTAATGAAGCCACCTCTTCTACAGTGTCTGCCACCTTCTGGATGGAGGGCACAGGCATGCAGCGAATGATCCATATGTTAAATGCATATGGATCGCTTGGTGACAAGACTACTTGCGGAAATTCCTGCAGGATTCTGCAGGTGACATCTCTCATTTTCTGGCACATGCTGCCTGTAATGAGATAGGTGAGTCCTCTGCAGTGCTCCATCCTCAGCCCCCACTTATTTCGCAGCTCTGAGAGGAGCATATAAAACATGCTCTCTGCATCCAGGTCACATGGTAAAAAGCCTATCAGGTGCTTCTGTGGGAATCCGGCAATGGTGACGGATCGGATGAAAACTGGGATCTGATCCTTGCCCTCTATGCTCGTTACATCCTGAAGCAGAATAGAGAAGAACCGGGCCAGTCTCAGGCTGTTTTGGATCTCCTCCCGCATGAAGTGTTCGCTGAACTGAAGGACTTCTTTCTTGTCTATTTGTTCCAGACAAACTCGACTGAGCGCTTGCTGGCCGTTTGCACCAGCAATTGGCTGGTCAGAACTGATGTTGGCTCCGTTGATGCTGAATCCTGTCAGAGCCAGGATCTCTTTGAAATAAATCTTTAGAGTCTCTTTTGCTTTAGAGATGGCTACATCCTCCTGGGTTTGGTTTTCTTGCTGCAGTTCACCCCCTGCAGTGTTTAGTTTTGCTCCCTCTTCATCCTCATCTTTTTCCTCCTTCACGTGTGCTGGTGTATTTTCTGATGTGAAAAAACAGTTATGACTGGGGGGGTGATTCATTTTAGAGTTAGCTAAACACTCGCGTGGTGGGTTTTATGAGTGAACGAAACCAGTTCCCATACCTTTTGTTTTCTTCACAGCAGATGCTTCTTCTTCTGACTGAATAGACAGAGAGAGGTGCTGATTATTCAGATGGTTTTCCTAGCGGGTCTGACATTAAACAGAAATAAATACTCACCGACTCTGCGGCTCGTTTTCTGTTCCCAACAGACTGTTGGTTCACGGACATTGTCACATTAAATATAGTGGGAACAGCATCTTCTGTCAACACACAGCTGGATGCAGACTAAAAACAAAACCATAGCACACGTTAAAACCCTTGGGCTAGGAGGTTTGTGATCAAAATTTCCTAAAGGAAAAATAAAATCCGCCAAACCTGTCTGATAAAGGGTGAACAGTTACATTATTTGCATGTTAAAAGAACTCAGAGAAGTTATTTTAACATTTCTTCAGCCAAAACCTGCTAGTTAGATTTGGTGACATCACAGTTTATCTGGGAATGCAACTAAAATAATAAAATACACACATTTGAGACAGAAATTAAGAATTAGGCACACATCTTCCGAGTAGATGAGATCTGTTCTGACCGGACTGACCGAGTGAGTGTGTGTGTGTCCTTCCTTTCTAGCTGAATTTGTACATGCCTACAGCAGTGATGTCTCATTTCCCAGTAAAACAGGTTTTGTGAAAAACTTTCTTCATATGAATCGTTATGAAAGCACAAAGCCAGGTTTAGCGGTCTCCTTTTTGTGGGACCGCTGTGGTCCAGCACCAGAACCAAACCTGTAAGACTTCTTCAGGAAAATTGCTTTTATCGTGTGATTTTCAAATCCCAGATCAGAATCGGGTGGGAAAGATTGGATTTTACTTTATAAAACAACAAACATGATCTTTTAAATTCACCCTGAGGAAGAGACTTTCAAACAGAATAGCAATGGCTTAGTTTAAAGCTCAAGTCCTGCTACACCAATACTCCTTTTCATGGACAAAAACAACATCGTAAGGTCAACATCATGGTGTCTGAATTCAGACACCACAACATGCAGCTGTTATGGACAGGCATCACTCAATACAGCCGCATGATGATGATGTAAACCAATAAAAAAATGAGCTACGATGCATGCTACTTTAAAATATATTCATAATAATAAAAACATCATTTTTACCAATGTACTTCCTGAATAAGTGATGTTTCTGGCAGGTAAACTAAGGAAACGAGATAATACAGAAAGAAAGACCTAAATAACAAAAAGTTAAAGGACAACTTGGACGTGTTCCCTTTCTTCTTATGTTAATGCTTTGCTGAAATATCAGATCAGGACTCTGTATCAGCAGATACTCAAAATCAAATGACTCGGATTAGGAGCAAAAAATGCGATCAGAACATCCCGACGTTAAGCTTTGCAGTGATGTTGCAAAGATCTCGCCTCTGACTGGCTAACACTCTACCACTGTGTACGACATAGCTCCCAATCGACAACTTGGTAGGGTGATGGTTCTGTGTCAGAGCTCTGGTAGCGGGTTCTGGACGGCTCAGGATTTAACGTACCTAAATAGTTTCCATATTGATGAAACGAGTGATCTACACCTTTAAAGATGAAACAAGCAGCTGTTCTGGGTGTTCTCACTGCTCTGAGGTCAGCTGCTGACTCTCGTAAAATGTAAAGCACCACTCTGGATGTTACTTATGCGTGAGCCTGCTAACCAGCCTGCTGTTTTACTTCCATCTGGTGATTGTGGCAGCAATGAGATGATGATAAAAACAGATTTAATTCTATCTAATGGAATTAAAACTGTGGAATAATGTCTAGTTCTCTTCTGTTCTTACCTGGTGGGAAATCATGGAGGGCTCAAAGTGTTTAGCACAAAGTCTGTAAAGCTTGTGCAACTGCTCTGGAGGCTGAGATGCCAAATCCTGGCGATGACAGTTGTTCAGCCATTGCTTACAGCTGAAAAAAAAAAGAGGATATCAGGGATCTCTACATTAAATTTAAAGGAGCATTATGGAAGTTTGACAGCCAAAACATGTTTAGAAATAATAAATTTCTTCTTCATACGTTCTCCTGCAATGCCCTTGTCCTGCAGAATGAGCCCTGGCATTTTTACTGTGATTGCCTGTTTTTCTGTAAAATCACAGAAAAAGAGAGCTGCTCGGGTCGAGCAGGCTGCTTCATGCGCGTTCACGCTCAGGCATAGCCCGTAGCATTTGCTATCCGTAGCTTTAGCAGCAGAGAGAGAGGCAGTGCCACTTTGTCGCTGTTCCTAACGCCTAGTGACAAAGCTAGCTACATTTCTGAGGACCCTTAGCTACTTTCTGTAGAACTTTCTTCTAGATATTTCCTGCAAGTTAGCAACAAAATAGCCATTTTCGCCCCAAACCATTCTTTGAACGTTGTTTCAGCTGTCATCAAGGATATAAATGTTACAGATAAAAAATATGTCACTGGCGCTTTAGCTCACCTAGTAAAACGTCGGACTCTCGTGCAGAAGACCTGGGTTTGATTCTGGATGTGAACATAGTTTATTTAGAGTTTATTTTTACATTAATGATATATTTTTTTACAGTAAGATGCCCACATTTTTATTTGAGACTCGCCGAACGGCATTGAATTCACAGATAAAAAAGATGTGGGTTCAACTTTCATTTTGGAACAATTTTTCAAGCAAGGGAAGGGAATGATCTGAGCATGCAGGAGGACTGACCCATCATAAACCTTTGTCGGCTGTGCTGAGGAGAAAGGTACAGAACCAAATTATTTAATTAATTAGCTGCACGTTCTCCTGTCCTCTGTCCTCCGGGCCACACACACACACACACACACACACACACACACTGGACTGTCTCAGCTGTTATTGTAGTTAAGGAGTGTGCACGTACAGCATGCGCGCCTCGTGCACAAGCCTACTATTGAAGCTGCCGTTACGCTTTTGGCCTGAGGGGGCAATCGCAAGCATTAAAATTCAAAAGTCCAAAAAGTCTCTTTAAGACTTATTGCAATAAACTAATAAACTAACCAACAATTAAACACTTCCACTTCATCAATTGGTGAGATACGTCACATCCGGGACAGCAAGGCTGTAGCAACGGTACTGGGGATGCTCCGATAATGTCATTTTTAAAGGATCGGGTTCAGGAGAAATAAATTTAACCATTTTAACCTTTCTAAACAAGACATGACATTTTTTATTCATCCTGAGATAGCAATTTTCAAATGGAATAACAATGGCTTAGTTTGCCATCATATCACCCCCGTCCTCGCCAGTCTACACTGGATACCAGTGCATTACAGGATTAACATACAAACATACACGTTTGTAGCTGTATAAAGCAATAATTTATCAGCATGCAGTATTTATATAGTTGATACAATTCAGATCATCTTCAAAACTACTTCCCATGCCCAGGGGCGTAGCTAAGCATTTTGGGGGCTGAGGCAAAATAGACCCCTGCCAGGTATTTAAGTTGAAGTGCTATCTGTTTTTATATTAAACTTTTTATATTTGCAATAAAGTCCAAAAGTGAAGAATTGATGTTATTTATTACTTGATTGTTCAAGCTACCTCACAGAAGTGATTTGTTGTTAAAAATTAAAATAAAAAGGTAAATAAAAAATAAGGAACATTCTGGAACTGTTTCTTCCTTTTCTTCCTTTTTTTAATGTATCGAAAGTATGGATCGGGACTCGGTATCGGCAGATATTCAAAATCAAATGACTCGGACTCTAGGGCAGAAAAACCTGATTGGAACATCCCTAGGCTTAAGCCACTGATCCTGTGCTAGCCAGGGAAGTCAAGCAGACCTGGGACTAGCTTCCGGGAGAGGCGCAGGGCCTGATGACGAGACTAGTTTCCACTGACGCGTTACAGGATTTTCAAAGGAAAATTCCAAATTTGCAGCTGAAACAGGAAAATGCATGAATGCAGCCAAAAGCGTTGTTTCCCATGGGGAGATAATATCACATGGTAAAACTCAGGATTTTCCATGACATGGCCCCTTTGAGCTCATTTGTTTTCTGCAGTAGGCCACCTATTCCAAAGCGCAGGTAAAACACTGGCGCGTGCGTCCACCTCGGAGAAAAACGGAGTTAAATCCTGATGATGACTAAAATAACTGCGATGATGGTTTGATGCTTCCTCTTAAACGATCTCACTGATCAGCTGAACCCCTGAATGAGTAAATCAGGCTGTAGAGGCTTCAGTCCAACACACACAGGCCAGGCAGGCACAATCCTAACAAGTTCACTACAACAGTTTCCTGCTGATCTGACGTTCCGCCGACCCGTCCGGAGGTAAAACACTGGCAGCGGCGGTGCTTTTTAGCGGTAACGTCTTTATCCGTGTCCCGCTCACAAACATCTGAGCGGCCGGACCCTGTGCAGCGGGTTCCGGTGTTAAGTCTGAACCAGGACAGCGTTTCACCTGGACTTTTCTTTCTGGAGTAACGCTGAGTCTGCGCCATTTTCCACTGAGTTTGGTCTCACGAAGCTAACGCTAGTGCTAACATTAGCGAGCTAACACTTTGTGTTTGCAGGCTGCGCGGCTCCTGTCTCACACACACACACACACACCGTCTGATGTGTTAAGCCAGAATCTTACCGCTCCGGATCCAGAGGGAAGCTGAAGAGCTGAGCGCTGGGCTCGGATTGCCGTAGCTGGTAATCACAGTTCGCTGCAGCGCAGCAGTCAGTCATTTTGGACTAAAGGAAGTTAGCTATCTTAGCTCGCTGTTGCAAGCAGGCGAGCCTACTGTAAGCAAACTGCGTGCACAGTCATACTTTGGACAAAACCTGCAACAGATACAGAAAAGCGTTGATTTAACTGTCTTCTGACACCCCTCTGGGAAACTAGGCAACAACTATTGCCATGCTTTCCAAAGTTGGGGTTGAGGCAAAGCTAACCACTCGCCGAAAGCGTGTTATCCTACCAAGAACTGTCCATGCGTACAACATATTCACCAGCAGGGGGCAGCACGTCGTCGCTCAGTGCAGTCAAAGAGTTTGATTGTCAAGATGATTCTCTTCCCATTCTACAAGATCAATGTTTTCTTGGTTTAACAATTAACAGTTGTTGGCAGCTTTCTTTGTTTTGTGCAAAGTAAGAATTTAAAAAAAATGTATAGTAAATTGTCTTTATTTTCAGGAGTTACAAACAACCAGTCACAGGTCGTCCATAGGGGGGGGCTAGGGAGCCGCCCCGCCAGTCTCACAGGACGAAGAAGAGAATAGGAATCACTAAATATAAAATAGAAAATTAAACTAAACGATCTATACATCATACACACTGTACATGCTGTGTATAATCTGTATTCAAGTGTAATTTATCAATGTTATTTACACTTTTAACCACAGACATATACTTTTAACACGGCGGTGTTCGTCATGAGCTAGTTCTGCACAGATTGGATCGCTGGTGATCGGCGCGCAGTGCATGCCGGTTAAATTAGTGTCCAACAGTTTTTTTTTTTTGTATTGATCTTTGGGTCATTAACCGCATATGGATAAGGAACGCAGGATAAATAAACAGTGTAAACACAATAAGGAAAATAGCATCCAACGCCAGGGGTTACTGTATACAGGTTATGAATGATGTACAAGCAGGAGACAATATGAAACATACAATTCAGCATGAACTTTGGAAAGATCTGTAATTTGGAGCACAGACTTAATGTCTTAATGGCTTTGTTAATGTTTGAGGTGGAGATTGTTTTCAAATAAAGCACAACTTCTTTTTTCAAGACACAAAAAGAAGGTCTTGCGTTTAACACATTTATGGATGTGAAACCTGGTCAGCAATATGATTAGGTTAGATAGGAAAAATTCATTTTCCAATTCTTTCTGATAGTCTACAAATCCAAACACAACAGTGTGAAAATATAATGCAAAGGCCTCGTGGATATGGATGGAGCAACACCTTTGTGTTGCTCCATCGTTTGGAGTATAATGTAGGAATCTCTGGTCTGGCCTTAGACTGGTTCAGAGCTTATTTGAAGGATAGGACTGTAAGTGTAAGGATGGGTGGGTTCAGTTCTGGATTCACACACCTGCGGTGGGGGGTCCCACAGGGCTCAATATTAGGACCACTATTGTTTTTGATATACATTTTGCCACTGGGGGGACATCATGAGGAAGTATGGAATTCGATTTCATATGTATGCTGACGATTGCAACTTTACTTACCCTTGGATTATAGAAGCGGCTGTCCCATTATTACCGTAATGCGCTGTCTAACTGAAGTTAAGTCATGGATGATGGACAATTTTTTATGTCTGAATGAAAGCAAGACTGAGGCAGTGCTGTTTGGGTTACATCGTGATTTAGAGCGATCAAAACTGGATTGAATGCCTACCTACGTTCTTCGGCAGTCAACTTAGGAGTGACATTAGATAACGCTTTCACCTTTGACGCACATGTGGTTGCGGTTGTATCGTCCTCTTTTTACCACTTGCGACATCTGGCCAAAGTGAAGTCATTTTTAACTAGAAAGGACCTCGAGACTGTTGTGCATGCGTTTATCACCTCTCGTTTAGACTACTGTAACTCGGTCTTAATTGGGGTGAGACAGAGTACAGTAGCTCGTCTTCAGCTTGTGCAAAACACCGTGGCAAGATTCCTAGAAGGGAAAATGAAATATGATCATGTGACACCCATCCTGGCAGATCTGCACTGGTTACCGGTTGGTTTTAGAGTGCATTTTAAAATTCTTTTATTGGTTTTAAGGCATTGAACGGGATGGCACCAGAATATTTCTCTGACTTGTTACAGCCAAATATATACCTAGTTGTTCGCTCAGCACAGAGAGTCACCATATGCTCATAGTTCCCGCAACTAGGCTCAAAACAAGAGGAGACATGGCATTTTTGGTAGCAGGCCCGGAATTATGGAAAGATCTCCCATTATCTGTGTGACTCTCCACGTCAGTAGAGGTTTATAAGAAGGCGCTGAAGACTCTTTATTATAATCTGGCTTTTAAATCTGTGTGTTAACTGATGTTTTGTATTTAGCTGTTTTTTTATTTGGTTTCCTACATATTCTTTGTTTTTATCTTTTTTAGTTTAGTCTTGTTCAGCACCTTGGTGACATGATATATGTCTGTAAAGTGTTTTTATAAATAAAGGTGATGATGATTTGTGGTTCTGCAGCGAGCACCCTTTCGTTTTACATGGATTCACTAGAACAAACCTAAGGTGCTCAGATAGGTCTATGTTCACTTCTATTCATAAAACTTGTTCAGAATTCATCCAGGAAATGATATGCTTGTTGTATAAATGACCAGAATCAGCTGGTTAGCCCAGGAAGCAGAACAAATCAGGTAAAACGGATTCAAATCTTTATTCTTGATGTCAGCTTTCAGGAGAGGTGATCAAATGCTAGAGCAAGTCCGCTAACATCTAGCCTAGAAACCCGGTCTCAGAGCAGAAACCTACACGTTTATTCACAAACAGAAACATTTAGACACTAAAGACTTGGTGACAAATGCTGGCAGTGAAGAACATTAGAGTCAGTTTCAGATCTTAACAAGTGTAAATATCTCCTGCTCAGAAATCAAACGTATAAAACAATGACAACAGACCCTACAATATATTTACTTGCCCGTTTAGAGCCGGAATAAGCTAAAGGTCATCCAGATGTGAGCTCAAACAGCCTAACAACCAAACTCTACAGCCGTAACTTTATCAGCATCTGGAGGACTGAAGACAACTTCACAACATCCCGCCTACAGAACCCCGCCCTAGATCACGTACCGCTGAACCAGTCCGGAGGCTCATGAAACCTCTCGCCCAGCGGGGAACATCTTCAGGTGCATCTCAACCATTGTATCCAGATCAAAGTCAACATCATAACTTATGTTCAGAAGAGCGAGGCTTTTGGATCTGAATTTGTCGGGGGTGTTCTCCAGGTACACCTTGAAACGCTTGTATGCTACATCACAGCTGTCCTCCGGAGCTAAGCTAGGAAGGACGCTGAGGATGCTCAGGATGGCAAACATGTTGGGGAAGAACTTCACATCAGCCAGCTGCATCGTCCCACAAAGGCTGGACGGGAAGGTCTCGCCTTTGCCTTTTTTGCTCCATTTAACCAACCAGCAGTGCAGTTCAGCAGACAGGGTTCCTGCGTTTGGGATGTCCTCCTTAAACAACTCTACGGTTCCCTCTTCAGGCTGCGTGGACTTGTTCTGCGCTATGACTTCAGGGAGAAGAGACAAACACCTCAGAGCCTTCAGGTGGTTCTCACAGAAGAGCTCATTCATTTCCTTGATAACGTGGTTCAGCACAGGTACAGACAGGTGATCCTTGTAGTAGCCATCAGGCTGAATGCTTCCAGTTTCACCTCGATACTTCCTCGAGAAGGACCGAGGAACCCTGACTGGGATCTCCATGGCTGCAGCTATATTAACAGCTTCATCGTACCAGAACTCGTGATACACGTCAATGTTGTCGGACATCTCCTTCAGGGAACGCAACACAGCTTTTAGACTGACTGCAGCTAAAACGGCATCAGCTGCGTTGCCTTGCAGGTTCTTCCCAAAAGCCTGGGTGAGCACAATGACGTTCTTCAGCACAACCAGCGCCATGATCAACTCAAAATCTGTCAATGCTTTAGAGATCTCCAAAGCACTGTGGGTGACTTGGTCATTCCACCTCATGTCCTCATTGTCGTGGATGCTGTCCACACAAAGTAGCAGTGCTTCTATGACTTCCAGAGCCACCTCAAAGGCATCGTGTCCTTTGGTCCAGCTACTTTTGCAGATCTCCTTAAGTTCTTTGGCTTTGTCTTCTTTGTCTGGATAGAAGATAGAAATGGCGTGATCCAACTCCTGCTGCATCAGAGGCGACTGACGGAAAAACGACTCTATCTTCTTGAAGGTAGCCACGACAAGCCGAACCCCTGAGACTGCCATGCTACCGACTAGTGACACGTTTAGCGAGTGGGTGGATCTGAAGGTAAGAACCGCCTTTGGATACTTCTCAGTCACTTTGGCAGCAAATGCTTTGATTTTACTGAAATGTGGCCCTGAACAGGAGTGAGCTTGTCCTCGACACTGCTCCATATCTACGCCCCACTTCTCAACCAATTCAGACAACATCGTCTCAGCTAGGTCATCTTCCTCTGCTTTGAAGGCCAAGAACCCTGCAAACCTTTCTTGCTGGCATTTAGTTGGGTCCACATAACGAAGGAAGACGGGAAGGCACCACTGTCCAGAGATCTTTACCGGATCTTCGGTCAGCAAGGAGAAAAAGCCGTTGTGTATAACATCCTCCACCACCTTACTGCGCACATACTCCTCACACACCTCCAGCAAACCACTCAAATCCTCCGTGAAGCAGCAGGGCTTCAGCGAGTCGTACCGCTTCCGTAGCACCTCATCGCCACAGTTGATACGGTAATCTAGCAGTGCCTGAAAGGTGCTTGGCTTAAGGCTTTTGTCTCCATCGTCAGTGGCTCCTGAAAGAGGGATGCCCTGCTCTCCAAGCAGCAGAACAACTTCAAATAAAGACTTCAGATATTTCTTCTGGTCGTCTTCTGGATCCTGGTTCTGGGTCTCCTCCGGAGGGGCTTCTGCTTGTGGCTTTTTGATTCCTAAGAGAGACTCAGATTTAGTGGCGTGTGACTAATGGCTGTAGCCCCTTCTGTTTAACTCTCAGTAACTAAACATAAGATTATTCCTACTCACTCTTTCTGTCACTGCTGCCCACATCTTCATCTTTGGGCTGAAAAATAAAGAGACGGGAAAACGTTGATGATGTCAAACCTAAACATTCTAAAACAAATGCAGGCTTTAACCTGAACAGCATCAAAGCTGTAATATATGTGAAGCTGGGAAAATTGGAATATTGTGCAAAAGTTCATTTAAATCAGTTGTTCAACCAGCTTAAAGTGACAATGGCAAACAAATGAGCTTAAAACCTTCTCCAGGCCTCTTGACAACGTTCCAACAGAACAGCTATGAATATTAAGTGGAGATAAAAATAACAATAAAGTGGTTCTCTGACATTTGTCTAAAAACCTTCACTAATAACTAGGGCCCGACCGATATATTGGCCGATATTGGGGTCATTAAATCGGCCAAAAAGACGGCTGATATTGCAATACCTATCCAGCAGATGGCGCCAGCTTTATGAACTCATGTGTGGCTCCACTCCTTGGGGGGTAGAGCCACCGTCACAGCACACATCAAGCCCCCACAATGCAAATCAGAAAGTGGTCTCAACCTGGAAGTAAGAAAAATTGCAGTTCCACCCTCATCCGCTGGGGGCTGGTGTCAGAAGCGAGCAAATCCTCATCGACTCCCATGTTAAAAATACCAATTTCACAGGAGAAATACACATGTTTACAGCCTGGTACCAAAACATGTTTTTTGTCTAAATTATCTAGTTTACACTAGGGCTGCTCAATTAATCGAATTTGAATCACAATTACGATCTGAGTTTTGAATGATTATACAAACAAAACAAGCCGATTATTTGCTCCTCCCACTTGCGCTGCCCTGAGTAGCAAATGAAGCGCTCCTCACAGTGTTGCCAACTTAGCGACTTTGACGCTATTTCTAACAGCTTTTTAGACCCCCTTCTTGACTTTTTAAATCTTAAAAGTACCTAGCGAACACCTCAGTAACATCTCTGGTAACCCTTAGCTACTTTCAGGATAACCATCGTTGACATTTCCTGCAGGTTAGCTAAACACTCCGCCTGTGCTCTGGACCATTCTTCAGGACATTAGGAAAGGGAATGATGTAGAGATGTGTCGGTCGCTAAAGAAACGGCTCTCGGAGCCGGCTCCCTGTTGGATTAACCAGAGTGAGTGACACACACCGTACCTGCGGGCTCCTGAGCGGCATGTCGGTCGGGCCCTACTCATAACGCATTTCTGACCCAAACCAACCACTGGACCATACGGCTGTCGCCGCACTCCCCTGGGTCATCCACTCATCACCCTCAGGTAATCAGCACCAGAACACTGGTGGTGTGAGAGGTTCTCCGCTCAATAATTTCAGAGAAGGAGAAACAGCCAGCTGCTACCACCTCAGCTTTAGGACAAAACCATCAGAGTCCCAAAAAGAAAATCACCTTCTGCAGTCACGGTGCCTGGTGTTTAGCGCTATCTCGTTTCCTTCGGATTTGCGAATTTCCGGTTCCCGCAGAAGCGATTCAGGGAAGATATCCGAGTAGAAGGGTGTTTGTAGATTTGCCATAACAGCTTCACAAAGATAAAGTCGTCTATGAGACCGACTCACTCACGCAAAGCCAGCTGTTTCAGCCTTTATTATAACTGTGATGATTATGGCTTACAGCTGATGAAAATCCACATTCACAATGTCACACAATTAGAATATTGTGAAATGGTTTAGTATTCACAGATCAGCTCGTTCTCCATGGTCGAAGAGCAGCGGGATGTTAGCTACATGCTAAACCGAAGCTTCTGGGCGTTTTTAGAAATTAAAGTGTGGTAGAATGAGTCCAACGTCAGTGGCGTGTCCAGATCTTTTAAAATGGGGTGGCCCAGGTGAGGCATGACATTGTGCATGGGTGGCACCAATGGTTATGCTTTTTTTGTTTTACCCCCAAGCCTTTTGTGAACAATGAAAAGCCTATTTAAAAGTAAATTAGTGTGGTGGCACCTGGGGTGGCCAGTCAGATTCCAAGGGTGGCATGTGCTACCCCAGGCCACTCCCTGGACACGCCCCTGTCCAACGTGAAGGCACCACCGGCCTACTTAGTAACAAATTCATACCTAGATAATCTGACCGAGGATATCGGGCTTCGTGGGCCCACCGCGGTCAAAAATCCACCGTTGTCAACACATGCGACTCTGGGACTCGGCTCACGGTTTTGTGTCGCGCTCCCGACCGGAGACGAGAACGGTGGACTCGCGGATTTTTCACCGCGGTGGACCAGCAAAGCCCGATCCTCGGTCAGATACCCAGCAGTCACACCAACACATTACATGTCAACCGATTTCAACCATCTTACACCAAGCAGTGTTATGGTGAGCGCAGAGAAATTTCCCCATTAGTGGTCTTGAGCGACTCAGAAATAAAGCAGCAGCAACTAAAAGAGCTGCTGTGTTTCTGTGATCTCCCTCAGAAATCCACAACTGACCAGCATGACTACAACCTGGCATCGGAGCCGGTCTGCGTGTCGGTTGCCCCGGGAAACGCGAACAGCCAGCCGCCTGCTCTAGCAACTCGTCTCGGGCAGGAGACAGAAGACGGGCATCAGTTTCTCATCCAACCAGCAGCCTCACTAACATGTTTGACCAAGTAGTTCAATGACCCCCCCCCCCCCCCACACACACACACACACACACCCCACCATTGAACCAGCTAAATAAAGTACTGATATATAATTTTACTTACTGATAAAAAGAAGCAGAAACTGCTTGGATGGTCTGTTAGTGCAGTCAGTAACCACAGTTTGCCATTTTGTCCAACTAATCCCATGATTAACATCCAAACCAGAACACACAAAGGGCAACATAAAAGTTCAAAAGGTCAAAATGGCCGAAAATCTATTAACATGAAGCCGAGGCTTTTTCCCTGGAGCTAGCTTTGAAGTCACATGGATGCTTAACTTTCACTTAAACAGAAGAGTTACAGTAAAATTCACCCCCTCAGAGTTGTCATGTGTGTAAACTAGATCTATTAAACCTAGAATGTTTTTTTTTAAACCAGACTGTAAGCATGTTTATTTCTGCTGTGAAAATGGCTTTTTTAACATGGGAGTCAATGAGGATTTGCTCACTTCTGTTGCCAGCCCCTAGTGGATGAGGGCGGAACTGCAATTTTAGCCACTTCCTCTTTGGCTTCAAAAGATGTACCATAATGGCCCGCTGGCCAGGGCACACACAGCAGAGCTGGATGCAATATCAGAGTCAGTCTCCAAAAGCAACACTGCTCACGACCGCTTCGACACCACAGACTTCTCCACATGCCTTTGCCCCGCCCACATGCTCGAAGACACGCATTCCTGAGAAGTGTGTGTGAACAAACCCTACTGGTGCGCCATCTGGACCGGACCGGTGGACGCGGTAAATGTGCCACACTCTAATCAGCTAATGAATCCGGAACACCTGCAAAAGGTTGCTGAGCCTTTAGATGGTCTCTCAGGCCGAGCTGTTACTGACATAATCAGACTTTTGCACTGGATTCTCTTTTTTACTGTTTCACCTGAACTTAAGAAGCTCAGACCATGGACCCATGACATAAACGGTTAAGTCAGAGGCATGATGGGACTAATTATAGGTGAGAAGTAGAGGAAAATATGGAACCGTTGCTGCTCTTGGAAATGGTGGACGGGCCGAGTTGCTCCTAGTGGCGTTCCTGGAAAACCACCTTAAAGTACCAGTAAGATCTTTACACCCTTTTATGTTTTTACAGCACGTTCCACAAACAAACATCCCATAGGAAGGGATCCAAAGTCTGATTTAGTTGTCTTCATTTTAAACAACAGAAACAAAGTGATGTTTTACGCCACACCCCCGATGTAAAACACCCACCGTCTCCTTGCCGCGCTTCACTTGTCCAGTTTTAGGCTGGGCTGGCGGGTCAAAGATGGTTGGTACGGCGTCATCTTTCAACACTTTACCTGGAGCATCCTGAAACCAAAACACATCCAGGTAGCAAAACATGATCTGACGTTGGTCTGATTCACACTCACCCCGAGACCTGAGGACCAAACTCACCGTGTCGAAGGCAGAAGCTTCAAAGTGTTTCCCACACAGCCTGTAGTTCCTGTACAGCTGCTCCACCGGTTTGTCCCCCAGCTTTGTCCCCTGGCATGACTCCGCCCACGTCTGACACCTGACAGCAAAATACATTAGAATCTAGTCTCTCTCTCTCTCTCTCTCTCACACACACCCCCACACGCACTCACCCCCCACCCCCACCCCCCACACACACGCACCCCCCCCCCCCCCCCCCACACACACACACACACACACAGTGTGCCCCCTCGACGCGACGAGAGGGCCTACAGGAGGCAGCGACATCTTAGAGTTTGGATGTGTTAATAGTGTTTTTGGTAGTTCGTGCCTGCTGGTGCCGTCTGTAGATTCTGTCTGGAGGACAACACACCGATATTTTTACAACACGTCCCTACCAGCCTGTGACTCCGCTTTACTTCCTCAGAGTGCACCAGACTGATGCTTTTAAACATCAAATGTCCAAACGTCTCTTCCAGAGGTAATGCCCCCGGACCCCCCAAGAGTAGTTATAATTTTTATCACCTTTTCCGCCTCTGATCCTTTTTATGTGCTGGTGCAAACCTCGTGGTGGGGTATACCAACTGGAAGATATTCCTAATACACTTAAAAAAAGACAGGGCTCGGAAGAGTGTTGTGTGTCTGTGTGTGTTGGGGGGGGGGGGGGGGTCCTGCATACCCCTCTAAAGGTAGGTAGCTGTGCCCCTGACGCGCGCACACACAGAGTAAAACAAAGGACACAACACCCTGGTGAATTGTAAACCCAACATCAGACGCAGGTCCATCCAAGGGACCACCACCCAAACAGCAGCAGTGATGCCTTCAGTCCAGACCACCTCAGTAACCACAGGACAGCCTCAAGCCCACACCCCAGAAACCAGGGATTGATGCCCCTCTTAGGAGAGGACGCTGACTCGGAACTCGGAACCCCTCAGAACCCGATCCCAGTCTCACAGTAACCCACACCCGCTGACCGGAACCCCTCAGCCCTTCAAAACTGGCCCAGGTGAGATCCATGAGGGGTCAGGAGAAGGGTGCGCGTCACCCACCGCGCGTGGACTGCTGATGACGTTCTTTTCTTGGTTTAATTCAAACTCCATTCATCTGCCAACGTTTGAATGCCTAGCTAGCCTCGGTGTTAGCAGTAGTTACCTTTGTGGATCCTGAGGGAACCGGAAGAGCGGCTGCGGGTCCGCTTTACCGCCGGGGCAGCTCGGAACAGCGCAGCGGCTCTGCATCCCAAGACTTGAAGAACGCGCTTGTTTAGTCGTGCAGCTTTTGGCTGATAGCGTTAGCCACTTAGCTGCTTACGCAGGCAGACACTTCCGGCCTTGTACTTTCATAATAAAAGTCACGAAGTCGTCACGCGACTGTCATTATGTACTAGAGTACCTATCTAATTTTGAGAAATTGTAAATAGACATTTACTTATTTTAAACCCCTTCAATAAGTACCTGAAATACGTGCTCACGTTACAATGTTCTGACTTAAAATACAAAAGTTGACAGATTGTGCAACGATGCTGGATTTCTGAGTGTTTTCTCATTCTTAAGACTTAAGCCTTTATGTTGAAGGCTTTCGTCCCACCGTCACCATTAGGACAGACAGTGTTTAAAACGGGAGTAACGGACAGAGATGACAACACCAACTCAGTCTTGTGCTGTGTGACTGGCCCGGGGCGGTCAGAGCCGGGACACTTTAGGCGGGTTCGGTCCGGTAGTTCAGGAATTCTGTTTGGGTTCAAACATTCAAACCTATGGGATATGAACCATCCCTCAACCCTTCCTCGACTCACCACCTTCTGAGTTTAGCGTTCTTTCATTGGCTCCTTTTAAGTTCTCGCGAGACTGGGCAACCAATTGCAAGGCAGCGGCGCCAAGTCAAACTGAACCGTTTGCTTCAAGAACAGCGACGTGTTTTCCTACCGAGTAGTGCGCTACGGAGGCTCGTACCGGGTCATTTCGGATCGTTCTACAGAGGTAAGAGAACTTCTGATGGTAGTGAGTACAGAGTAACGGACGGTTTTATCGCACAAGCCCGTGCGTCCGTTTTTTCTTTGCTGTTTTTGTCTTATTTTACTGACGTCAGTTGTAGACCTGTCACGTATAACGTATAGATGTTAGCTGCGTCACGTTTAGCAAAAACACAGCTCTACGATCCTGAGAAGCGTCCCGCCCCGCAGACAGCGCGTGCAGTTGTGGTCTGATGGTGTCATGGTCTTCTGTTTCTAGGCTACAGAATGGACGGCGTCACCAGTTCACGGCGGAACAACGCGAAGCAGAAAGTAAGTTAGAAGGTTTAGTTGTTTGTGAGTCCTCCAGACCAACGCGTGCTGTTGTATCTGCTTCAGGGGAACAAGGAGAACAGTCAGCCTGCAGGTGGTGGTGAGCCATCAGGGAGCAGAGGGGGGAAGGCCTCTGTCGTTCCCCTCCAGCTGCGAGGGAACACCACGTCTAGAGCGGCGCTGTCTGGCGATGCCGTGAAGAAGATAAAACCTAATGCAAAAGAGTTCAAACGGCCAACACACAGCCAGGTCCTCCAAAAGCAGGCAGCGAAGCACCAAAAAGCCGCCACAGTACCACCAACCGCTGCTCCATCATCAAAGTCTGCTCTGGGAACGTACAAGGGCAGGGTGGTTCAGTCAAAGATCGGCTTCCTTTGGAAGTCTAGCGATAGTCTGAGCACAGCAGATCCCAAACCTCAGAACCCACAGCCTGAGAATGTTGCCAAGAAGAGCAGGTCCCAATCTGCTGCTCTGGTGTCGAGGCACGGCCTGCAGAACCCTGCGTTAATCAGGTCCAAGTCGGTTTCTGATAAACCTGTTCTGGCGACCAAGGCCAGCTCCGTCAATGGCCGTCGTGCTGGAGTCTGCTCTGGTCAGCCTCCTGCCAGAACCGTAACATCTGCCAGATCCAGAAACACAAATGTAGCTCCTGTTGATCCAAGAGGCAATCAGAAGCCAAAGGTTCCTGCTGTAGACAAGGAGGTTCATAAGCCTGCCGTAACGAGCACCCTGAGCCAGTACAGATGCTCCATGGAGACTGCAGAAGAGAGAAGGTACCGTAATCCTACAAACTCAAAGTTGCTTTGCGTCTCTCAGCTGTGTAACCTCCACCCGTTTGCTTTGCAGGGCCAGACTGGCCGAGTGGCTAGCGTCCAAGGGGAAGACCCTAAAGAGACCGGCCATGATGGCAGCACCTTCAAAACTCAAAGTTCCTGCTAAAGCTGAAGTTCAGCTCAGTGTTGCAGCTCCAGTGATGGCCGCTGAACTCCACACTCACAATCTGCAGTCCGAGGCCTCTGCGCATGATGCAGACGATGCTCCCGGGACCAAGGACACCACGCTGGACCTGCTCGATAGCTCTGATGCTGATCCTCAGGACCGGGTGGATGATGTAAGCTTTGTTTTTCCCTTTTTTAGTTTTCTGTCAGTTGTGCTGATGGAGCTGATGTCCGTTTCTTCCATCAGAACATGTCCAATATGGTAGCTAAGTCCATGTGGCGTTCCAAAGTTCTCTTGTTCTTTAACAGGTTGTGATGAACCTTTGTGATGCCTTGGAGGCCATGGTGACACCATCCGGGTGCAGTGATGGTGAGTTGGTTTGAGAATAAATGCAGTTCGCTATTAAAGGGTTCAAATCCCAGCTGCTGCTGCTTTTCAGCATGTGGAGGGAAAGCGCTCTCCCCGAGTGGGGGCGGGGTGTATTTGAATGGGAGTGTTGGCGGGCGCTTTGCTTCCCATAAGGAAGCACTGGCGTGGCATCTAAATTCACCCTGACAGGAAGAAATGATTCAGATGAATGAAAATCTAATTTATTTCATGTTATAAGACATTCCACAGGTGGAAGACGGATGTGACGCTGACCCAACTCGTGTGAAACTGGAGGAAAGCAGTGAACAGCTGGGGCTTGACATGAAGGTGGCTGCTGATGAGCCAGAGATGAGCAGCGCTTCAGTAATAAAGTACAGCGTGAAGACGACTCCTTTCCTACAAAGGTGATGTCTGTGGTCTGTAGCCCACCTGTTTGCTTTTGTGTCCCTCACTCACTCTGCTGAAATGTTTAGTGTGAAGAAAACGATGGACGAGGCCAGCACCTCCACCAGAAAGAGCAACATCAAAGACCTGAAGTTTCTCACACCCGTGCGTCGTTCCTGTCGCATCCAGCGGAAATTGTCACATCTGCCCGCGATGCTGGTGGACCCTGACCCGTGCGTGTCGTCGTTGGCCGAGCTGGTGAAGCTGAATGACGATCCCAACGCCTACGTTTATAGGAAGAACCCAGCGCTGCTGCAGGAGCTGCCCGACCAAGGACCGTGAAGAGGGCTTGAAGCTTATGGACTAACTAACCTGAACAATGAAGCTTTTTCTTCTGCTTGGGAAGAGACGGATTTTAACTTCTGCTTTAAACTTAAGATTTCTGCGGTTTTGTTATTTGTTACTTAGATTTCTGCTGTTTTGTTAACGCTATGAGGGTGGGACAAGACAGAGGGTGCTCAGAGGTGGACATCTTCTCCATTAAAGACACTACTAAATCTGATGTCTGTTTATTAGACCAAAAACAATCACATTTTTCACCTTTATTAACCACATTGTAGAAAACAGCTTTCATACACCCATTAGTAAATTATGTTACGACCTTTAATCTCCATCCCACCCCCTAAAAAAAAAATTTGCAGGAGTCTCTTGGATGCAGTTTCCCTCCTAAAGTATAAAAAGTACTTCTCCCTTCTCGTCTGCAGAGCAGAGGACGGTGTTCGGTGCTGCGCACCACCAGGACACCTCACCACTGTCTCAGACCTCTATGTCCTGGAAAGACCTCGGTTATCCAGATCCTTGACCTGAAAGACAAAAGTCATGTAGTATCCTAGTACAGTTACTATGGACTTAGTTCAACATGAAAATGTGTCTCCATGAAGAAACTAGAATGGTTTCAGAATCAGGTTTTATTGCCACACATGGGAGACTCACATTAGGAAATAGCTGCAGTGGTTGGTGCAAAAAAAAAAGACGATTCAAAATAAAATGAAGTGAGACCATAATATAAAGTGGCGATACTCAGAAACAGCTGCTATATCCAAGATCAGATTTAACTTGATAAAAACATGAATTCATTCAGCATCCATCTACGAATCAAACAGGATGACTGAAATGGGGTCAGATATCCAACGCCTGCATCAGGAACCCCGGACAACTAGAACAGCTTCCAACAAGTAGCAGTTCCATCTTCATCCACTAGGGGGCTCCCATGTTCAAATGACATTTTTACAGCAGAAATACCATAAAGCCTTTAATACAGGCCCGGTCCTGTATTTTACTCAAGCTCAAGGGCCTTTATTGGAAGGAGGGCCAGAATTAGAGGCAGGCCTCTATTTCTATTTGAGCAAAATGAACTAATGCAAAGTTAAACATTTCTTTTAACAACGGTAGTTTCTGCTTCAGCCCACCCTCCCCACCACCCCCTGCACAGCGGCCGCAAACTCACTGATGCACCTGCTGCCTCTCAGAGTTCCTGCTGCTCTAAACATTAAAATAATTATTTCATTTTCTGTTCCTCACTTCTGATGACCTTCAGTGGTGTCTGTTGCAACCACCAGGTACAAAAACTAACTTGTTACTATTTTTCTGTCCTGCCTGTTTATTATCTTCCTGCATCTCCTCTCAATCCTAAAGAAAAACTGCTACCTGGGTTCATATATATTCACCTTATGAGTTACCTTTGAACTGCAGTTCTAAAAGATCTACCGACCGCAACAACAGCGGAGTGCTCGCCGGCCACATCAGTTAGGTGCGTCACCGAGGACAAAACAGGTGATGCGCCGCGATCCACAGCAGCGAAACGCATCAGGCGCAAATAAAAGAATAAAAGACAGAAAACATAAAAGGAAATGAGCTGACATGAACGATCGCGTGTTAAATTAGTTTTTGAGGTGGTGACACCTGATTTGATAATGTTACTGTGGCCGTGCTCAGGACGCAGATGTCTGGAGCGCGTCAACGATCAGAGCTTTGCATGCACAAGCTGGTTAAGGTTAGGATGGGGGTGAGGGGAAGGTTAAATTGCAAGAGGGTAAATGTCACAATTTGGTTAAATGTCCGTTTTACGGCGGGTGTCAGTGCCGACGCTCTGGCACAGCGCGTTGCCTCCTGACGCGCAGGAGCTTGTCACCTGCTGACAGCAGGCTGCGGTCTTTTCCGTGGACAGCATATTGCCGGTCATTATCACGTGACAGCGACTAGTCGATGACAGGCATAACAAGTCACTAGAGCGGTGAAGTCGACTAGTGACTAGTTCTTACAGCACCTACTGCTCCCCAGAGTGTTCTGCAGCATAATCAGCACTTTCTCTTTGAACTTGATATCACATTTTCACCTCCTCTGTGTCTCCGCACGGTCAAAGTTACCCTCGCGGTCTATCACTGGCAAATCAAAAGTGAGATGGATGACCCCCATGATGACAATTGTGGTCCCGCCCACTCCAGCTGCTTAGTTTCAGTCACATGACCCGGTGTTGTGTTTGCACCTGAACTGACCCGCTCTGACCTGTACCTACACTGACTTGTATAAAGTAGCTGCTTCTCTACTTATTGATTCCCTATATTATTATTTCATTGTGTTTATTGTCTGAATTCTACTTTTGCTTATCGTTTATTTTTTCTTGCACCAAGTACCGCAGCAGCTTCCTAATGTGACTCTGCCACACAAACCCTTCTGGTTCTGACTCGGAACCACCAGAAGGTCCAGCTCGCCGCTCCCTACGGGAACGCGTAAAATGGGGGACAATTTTCACCACACATTACCGGTGTGTTTGACAACTATGGGCCTTTAACTTTTAACTTTAAGAGATCATCCAAGAAGTCCGCTTTATTTGATCAGGAAGTAGTTTCTGTACGTAATTTCCTGGTTGAAAGGAGAGTATGATGTGCGTTTACACTGCTTGGTCAAAGACGGACTGAAACACAGCATATTGGTGTGGCTGCTGGGGACCAAAACTAGAGCAGGGTAAGCTGACCGAGGACAGTGGAGGCTCTCGGGCTTCGCTGGTCCGCCAAGGTCAAAGACTGCTGTTGCTGTTTTACAAGAGTTTTCCTGGGTTCCAGTACAGTCTCTCTCTATAACAGCAGCAGCCCTGCACTCAGATTTGTGAATCTACCTCTCCATCCACCCAGAGGCAAGGCCGGCGCCTGGTTTCCCCTATCCCCGGCCAGAAGTACCTTCACTTTGGAGTCGCTCAGCTGCGTTTTTCCCCGATAAAAGGGCCCAAAAACCTTTGATAGCTTCAGGTTAGTATCTAGCTTAAGTTCCGCTGATCTCCGACCTTGGCGGAGGAGCAGAGCACAAGTTGACTGAAGCAGCCAGCGTGTCAGGCTCCGACCACAGCAGTCTGATGGGCTGCTTTTACTTTTACAGTGCACATTATAGCTCCACAGGCTACCAGCACGGCTACAGCCTCGCAGGGAAGCCAGGCGGTCGCGTCGCTCGGCTGCCCTGGCCAGGACTTTAGAAATGCAGAAATCCCCGAGCCTGTGGGCGGGGTTTAACACGCACGGGAAAGGCTGTGGTGTCCTCCATTAGAAGGTAAACACAGGCAGGCATGAGCTGTGCAGCTGTTGGAGGCTCTGAACCACATGATTTTATTAATTTGCTGTGTGTGTCCTCATGATCTTGTGTCACACACACACACACACAGTGCTACAGACAGCAGATTACTCAACAGCTTCCAGCATGAAAATGAATCGTGCATGCGGGAAGCCCCCGCAGATCGGAGGCGGTCGGCGTAATTTCAGGCGGCCAATCGGTCCGTAGTGTCGCCTCGGTCCCAGTCTGACCGCTGGGGAGAAGCTCTGAGAAAAAGAGTTGCCTCGGCAACGAAAACGCAAATCTGACTCTTATGAGAAAAAATTTCCGGTCCCGTACCGACGCTGATGTCTAAGTACCATATGTCTACAGACTCGACCCGTTTACCTTGTATATCCGAACCAGCCAGTGTTCTGTGGTGTAGGCCTCCTCCAGCACATCCAGTTCAAAGTCTTTGTTCCCAATTTCAGCATTTCTCACTCTGTCGTAACCCGGTGGCCTCTCTGCAGGAAACGGCATAAAAACCATTGTAGCTCCATGTTTAATAAGCTGCAACTCCAGCAGAAACATCTGCTGCATGTGTGAGAACCTAAAAGTTTGTTGCTACAACATCTAATGGAGGTAAAACATCCACCCTGCAGTGTAAACAAGCTAGCCGTGCACACGACCCCCAAAAAGATCCGTTTACTCCATTGCTGTAGCGTGCAGCGGTTAGCCCCCACACCGGGATGTCGGGTTACTTACTGCCCTCTGTGTAGACCTGTCCGAAGCGGTAGTAGCACATCTTGTACATCAGACAGTTGAGCAGGACGGGGGAGCCCTCGCGGTCCACCCTGAACTCCCCGGTGGGGGTGTAGTAATCATGCTCCTTGATGTGTTTGCCCGTCTCCGTGCTTCCACCAATTCGGACCATCCATAGAAATTTATTGATGTCTGTGAGGAACAGGAACAAGCGTACGCCGTCATCTCAGACCAAATTTCATTTAGCTTTAGTCTTTTGACTAGAAGTAAAAATAATTATAGTCGCAATTTAGTCATCCAATCCGTTTTAGTTTGAGTCTCATTTTAGTCTACTAAAATGCAAGTATGATTTTTCTGATGCAATTATTTAAAACTTGTGTAAAGGAAATGTTTACACCTACTTGGAACCGTAAAGAAATTGTAAAATTTACATTTTGGCTCAATAAAACTCGACATTTATAATCGTTTCTGTAACAATTACTGAAATAACCAAAACGAACACCGACTGTTTGACATTGCGCCTCAATATTAACAAAACACACAATCTGTAAAATGGGCAGTAGTTTTGTAAGCATGACAGGAAGTGATGTCATCCCATCAAACAATAAAGTGTATTTCTCCAACGGTAAACCGAAGGTAAGAAGGTGTATTTATTAGACCGGCTGAAGGTTTCTCCTCTCAAAAGCACCGCTGGAACAGCAAACGATGACGAGACTAGCCGTAACGGCGCCTCACAACATAAATGATCAGACAACAAGATGTGTCTGCTTGTCCTCCCCGCCGGACATTTTCTCCTTTCAGATATGACTTACCGACATAAACATCAGTATAATTACCGGTAGCCTGCTCAAACAGCGGTCAGCTCCGGACTCGGAGTGGTTTTTTTTCTCGTCTAGTCTCGCCTACACCCCCCCCCCCCCCCCCCCCCCCGAAAATAATCTGTCAATGAAACGGACACCGTCTCAGACGAATCCAGCCCATAATTCTGGTTAAAGCTTTTATTGACGTACCGTCTGAGGAGTAGCCAGTCAGTCCTCCAAAGATCACCAGCACGTAGCTGACATCCAGTTCCCTCATGATCTCATAGGCCTTCTCCTCTGTGGACGCCATGGCCTGCAGACCAAAGCAGGACGCAATTACCATGGTAACACCTTTTACACCTAGGCAACCCAATGGTTAGCTGACTCACCTGTCCCACTCTGGAGATATGCGTGTTGTTCCACGTGTTGTTGTCCACTAGGATGGTTCGATTAGCCATGGCGGTTATCTGGTAACCGTAGTCCCACCAGGACATGACTTTAGCATCCTGTGGAAACAGGGTTTAGTGCACTGGTCTGACTGGAGCCCAGCCTAACGGTTGTGAGTCATTCTGTGGACCTCAGGGGTGTTGTGGCGAAGCCAGTAGTACGCCTCTCTAAAGTCGTCAAAAATGATGCGGCTGCCGTCGCCCCCCCGAGCTGACAGCACGATGGAGGGGGAGGAGTACGCTTCGCTGGTAACCCAGGTGGAGTGGAAGGTGTAGGTGATGAGGAAGAAAGCCATGACCAGAATCATCCCACTGGCGACCTGGTGGGTAAATAAAACAGGTTGGTTACTGACCCGGGCCTTCAGGTCAGACATGATGTACAGGTGTGTTGAGAGCCCACAGGTGCAGCTTTTGTCCTTGCTGCTGCTGTAAAGGTGTGGAGTTTTCACAGCAGAACAGTACATGATCCTACCAGCCAATCAGATCCAGCTCCAGTGCCACACACTCGGGTGTTTATCATCATCATCATCATCATCATCATCCATGAAGCTGTTACAGTCAATACGCAAACAAGCCGAGTTTTGAATGCATGATTGCTTTTGGTCCAAAACGTGTTATTGGCAAATGAGAACCTTTATAGCTAAACTAAGGTTCCATATTGTGAGAAATGAGTTTTTGGAGCTTTTTACCGTGTGAAATTTCCATTTCCTCATGAGACATACACCAAAACCATTTTTGGCTGCAGTCGTCCATTTTCCTGCCTCGGCTTCAATTCTTCCTAATTTAATTTCAGGCCTACGTCCAGGAGAAAGAAGCTCAAGCACATCATCAGGCATTGCTGCCCCCCTGAAACCCACCTTCCCTAGAAGTAGGTCACTAACCTTCTCTTAGCTGCAGGCATGGAGCGGTTGACTTCATGAGAATGTGACCTTCATGTTACAGATGACTAGCCTCACCAGCCAGCCCATTAGGTCGGGGAACTCTTCCAGTCAAATAACTCCGCCCCCTAAAAATTTTAACTGAGCCAATCAGCGCCTCTTCCCACTGCTCTACATGACTTGGACACGTCTTTAAAACCACGCCAGACGCCATTTTTGACATCGATGCTAATAAACTACAGCGTCACGCGGTACAGTCAGCATTCCTGCCTTTTTCTAGTTGGTCATTTTTGAGCTGGCTAGTCCCGCCCCTCATGTGCCTCTACGCCTGTGAGTGGCCAGACTGTGTAGCCAAGCCAACTTTATTTATAGAGCACCTTACAACAGTGCAGAACCGACCAAAGCGCGTCACAGAGTCAAAATACCAGCTCCCCCCACCCCCCCACCCCCACCCATTGAGACTCATGTCTGTGAACGGTCTGAAGTTTGAGTTTATATGTTTGAGGTGTTCTTTTGCATAGCATAGCTAACCCCTGTTGCAAGTACGGAAATGCCTCCCCCCCCCCCCCCCATCCTCATGTCTTCTATCTAGCAGCAAATGAGCGCCTTGACAGCAGCTCTCGTGGTCTGCCTGCATCGGTTTGTGTGTAACCTTGGTCAGGCTGTACTAAGGAGATAATTTTCTATGCTTCAGGACGCTGGAGCACTGACAATAAAGTTGATTCTGAGTGATTATCACACGATGGGAAAATAGTCTCAAAACAAGACACACACACACAAAAAGAAAGGAACGCGTCTCAAGCATCCTGTGAGGGTTTTAATGTTTTTGCAGCTGACGGACAAACCTTCATAACAGGCTGGATTAAGAACTTGCACGGCCCTGAGAAGAAGCCGAGATGAGCGACGAAGCTACCCACCCGCACACGGGTGCACACGTACCTCGTTTCTGATGGGGTAGGTGGAGTCCTGCTGCTTCTTGCTCTTCTTCTCTGACCGGCTAATGTCCAGATTTTTCATGTAAGTGGTCAGCACCTGAGACACACCGATGCCCGACAGGATGCACATGACTGGAGCCAAAACCAGCATCAGACGTACCTGAGGAGGCACAAATGAACCAATCAGAACATCAGTCCGGGTTCTTTGGGCTCACCCTCCTCCTGTCATCGACGAGACTCCGTTAGAGCCTGAAAACCCTCCAGATACGGTAAAAAAAACCTGGATTCTGAAGATCGTTGTGTTAGAAAACCAGATCAGTCTCAGATATTCCCATCCATCACCCAACTCCACCTGAGAGGCATGCTGATGCTTCTGCCTTGTTAGCAACACAAATATTTCCTGTGACAGAATGACTCGGTGCAAAATAAAGATGGCTGCCACATCCTGACATTCAAAAAAAGAAATGTTTTAGCTCAGCCAATCACAGCCTGTCAGACAGGCTGGAGGGATCTGATCATCCTGGTGCTACCCAGGTGTAAACCTCCAACGCCAGTGCGGGGGTGGGGTCTAAGGCGGGTCGTACCATGACAGCTGAGAAGTACATGCTGGTGACTCCATACATGATGATGAAGATGCGGGCGTCGGACAGGTTGTTGAAGCAGTAGTAAAGACCAACTGCAAGGAAGGAAATAAGCACAAATAAGCAGGAAGACAGACAGACAGTACCGTTTCACTTTTGCTGACTCACCTGGAAACATGAAGACCAGCAGCTGGAGGTCAAAGTAGTAGGAGGACCAGGTGGTGGGCTGGTGCTCGGAGACGGAGGCGATGATGGGGATGTTGTTTTTGGCATAAGAAGGGTCCAGAAGAGAGTAGAAACGACCGGTCCAGGGAGAGATTTTACCTGAGACAGGCCCAGTGAAAAGGGAAGAATCACAAATGTGAATAAAGTAAAAGATGTCTGAAGAACCTTTGTAGCCACCTGTAGCCTACCTGTCAGCATCAGAACAGCACCTACAGACAGCAGGATGAAGCCCACCAGAGAGATGACGCTCTTGAACAGAACCTCAAACTGCTGAGCGTTGAGTTTGCTGCGCAGGTAGTCGACAAAAGCGTGGATCTGACACAAGCCAAAGACCCCGAAGGCTGCCATGTGCTCCGACGACAGCACCGGCTGGCGTCAGACAGAGACCACGGACAAATGAGCGAGCGTCAGAGAAAAGACAACTAAATGCTGCTGTAGCAGGAGGCTGCTCCTCACCTGGAAACCAACAAACGAGATCTGCATGGACAGAATGGTGCCCAGGCAGTAGACGGTGCAGTAGGCGACATAGATACGGTGAGAGAATCGGCCCGTGAGCATCAGAACCAGAACGTGGAGGGGGATGAGGTTGATCAGAAACACATAGCCTCCCCAGGAGGACACCTGAACAGACACACACACACACACACACTGTACCCACCTCTGAACTGAATCAGGTAACAGGACAGTCCTCCTTACCATGTAGAAGTATGCCAGTGCGCACATGGCCGACCAGTACACAGAACCGGTTTTGACAGCTTTGATCCACATGTAGTAGGTCAGCAGCATGCAGAAGATGGCAATACCTGAGTGGGAGAGTCACGTTAGACCCTTTTAAATACGTTATGATTAGGGTTGTCACGGTAACCGGTGTAGCGGTAAACCCCGGTAAAAACATTGACAATAATAACGGTCTTGTTTTTTAAAACTATATTATCCTGGTGGGTTACCCTTAAATTCCACTACCTCCGCTCCGCTGCGGTCCGCCCCCGCCTTCCGCAGCCGCTCGCTTCCGAACTCAATTTTTACTGGTACCCGCTCTACAACGGCTCCGCTCCGGTGCGGAGACCTGAGGGGGCCAAACAAGCATGCGCGGGATTTTCAAGATCTTGCGATACAGTCCGAGCAATAAAGGCGGAAGTTAGATCCAAACACCCGTTGTGTGGGAGAAGCATCGGCATGAGCTGTTTAATCTGCCCATCATTTGTGTTGAGAGATCAGCAGTGTTTGGATCAACAAAGTGTGACTACTTCGATAGCGGAAACTGTATTTATTTTTGTGCATTTAAACTTCAGCCGCCATTGATAGTTGTTAAAAGTTGTTAAACCTGTGCATATGAAACAAAAAACGCCTTTTGTTTATCGATTTATTGTGAAAAACGGAAGTTGTGCTTGCTCCTTTTCCTGTTGGGCCGTTGTGATTTCTGTCCATTTACTGCGGAGGTGTTCCGGCGTCCGGCAAAAATAGGATCGATTCTATTTTTGCCGGACGCCGGAACAGAGGGCGGCGCTGCACTGCCGGAGCACGGCCGCAGTAGTGGAATAGCTCTGATTGACTACAACGGGACCGATTTTGCTCCGGCGTTCGTGTCGGAGAGGAGCGGAGCGGAGGTAGTGGAATTTGGGGGTTACCGTGGCTGCGGTGTAGGCGCGGTGACCCTTACCAGCCACCGTATCATCTGCTGAAGTTGCCGGTGGCACATGCGCACTTTGTTGTTTACAACCAAAACTTTCTTGAAGCTAAAGCTGAAATAATGACCAAAGGAGGAGACGGCAGCGCTCAGGACATTTATTATCCCTCAAAGAAGACAAGGTGGGAAGCATGGGTATATTTTGGATATTTGAAGAATGCCGAGGGACAGCTGATAGAAGACGGCTATCCTGTTTGCAGCACGTGCAGAAAAAGTGTCTGAGAAAGGCAGCAACGCTTCAAATCTCATGACACATCTGCATGACCATCACTCACAACTCTACAGTCAACGCAAGGCAAGCTAACGTTAGCGTTTTAGCTAAAATGCGTGATCCGAGTATTTGGGTTGAGGGAGAATGCAACGAGTCGCTACATAAAGCAGCCGCAGCGCCGCTACCTGCATATAAACCGTGTCACGGACACCCCCATGTTGAAATGACGCTATGCATTACGGGGCTCCCAGGGGCAGATAAGAGTTGGTCTCTCTCCGAGAATAATTATGAATTTAACAATGATTACTGCCTGATGACATTTCCCCACATCTGCAAAGCTCACTGGAAGAACACAAACCGAGGACAATATTTTCCTGATATAGGGTTTATTACTCAAGTAAGGGTAAAAAAGTATCTGATTAGAAGGCTACTTGAGTACTGAGTATCATCTGATCTAATATTTTTAAAATGATGACAACAGATAAAAAATAAGAAGTTATGGGCAAATATTGGTATTTTAAAGACTAAAGGGGAAAAATGTAAACAAATAAACAACATAATTACAAAATAACACATTTTAGGCAAAATTTAGACACAAACTGAGGACAATATATTCCTGACATACAGGGTTTATTTAATTGTGTGAAAATGTAGCACATTTAAAAAAAATACCGCGATAATACCGAAAACCGTGATAATTTTGGTCACAATAACCGTGAGGTTACATTTTCACACCGTGACAACCCTAGTTATGATCCAGCTATAGGTGTAGCCCAAAGATGCCAACGATGACATCACAGTCACACAGATGGCGTTCCTGTCATGTGACTAAAAGGGGAAGCCTTTTAGTCACATGATCTGAGCCAGCTCATCGCAGGTCTGGTACCTTCGTTATCGTAGGAACCAGCAACAGAGCGGGAGATGTAACCAGGAACCACAGCGATCATGGCAGCAGCCAGGAGACCAGCACCTGCGTCCTGAAGACATGAATCACCAGTGGTGAGACCATCACCAGCAGAAGACACCAGAGCACTGCCTTACATTCTAGAAAGACCCACTGTTAGCTGCTTCAGAGTTAAATTAGTAAACAGCTTCCGTCAAGTTGTCTACATGTTAACATCCTGCTCTTTGGACAAAACACCAACATCTACATCAGCCGTGAGCTTGTTCTGCAGCCACTGCACCGTGAACTCCTCATGACTCCATCCGTTTGGACCAGAATGGGTCATAGAACAGAACACACAGCTGAAGTAAAGTCAGTCAGACTCTAGACTTAAACCTGCTGTGCAGGAGCCCAAGGATGTGAAGAGCGGTGACCTTTACCTTCAGCTCCTTGGTGAGGTGGTAGGTGACGATGGCGGTGAACGAGGAGAACAGGGGAGCCAGGAACACACAGACGTTACGGATGTCAATAGTGATGTGAAAGAAATGTAGAACGTGGTAGAGGACAGCTGAGGTGACCATCAGGCCTGGGGGAGGAGAGAACGGGAGGATTACCCACTGAGTAACTTCTGCATTAGAGGTAAACACCCATGAAGGCCTCACCTGGATAAATGGTGCCACCAATGATCCTACCCAGAGGGTACCAGGCCCGGTCATCAAACCAGTTGTGGAACTTGTAAAATCCTTCCTCAGCCAGGAAGCGGGTGGTACGGTAGTTGAAGTACCTGCAGGAGACAAAACAAGTCTGCAGACACTACTTTACTGGATAAAAACCTTCAGACTTGCAGCACTTACGGGTCAAACTCATGGATGACACTTTCAAACCTCAGCACAGAGAAGAGCCTGGTGGAGAAGGCTGGGGAGGAAGACAACGGCACCATGATACAGTGTGTGTGTGTGTGTCCATCCAACAGAGGACTAATGCTGCTGAGTGACAGGAGACTCACAGAGGACAGCAGCCATGGACAGGATGAGCAGCTTCAGCAGCGTGTCCTGCTTCTCATAGGAAAGACGCAAGAAGCCCAGTTTGGTCATGATGGCGAGGTTAGAGACAGCTGGCCTGTTAGGAGACAAACGCAGCAGCTGTGGTGAACCTGGGAAAAACCTGGCAACCTCCATGCTCAGCCCAACCACGTAAGGCCACGCAGTAGTTATGGCGTCATGAAGCCGGAAACAGCCATCCTGGGCGCCTGGAGCAGGGATTCAGCCCATCAAGTTCACATTAAAGCCATCTTCTCCACAGCAGGAACCCGAACCACAAACCTAAAAGCTCCATTTGATGCTACGTGTCTGGGCAGACCTTAGAAAACACTGGCCGCTATCAACTTCTCCAGACTGGTAATTCCCAGGACACGTTAGCGTAAGCAGGCACGCGCCTGGACCCACAGCGGAACTTGTCGGCTGGTTCCGACGCCTTTCTCACCCATCTGGTGTGGAAGTGTGTTGCTAAGCTAACCTGCTAGCAGCTGCTGTATGAAACCCGCAGATAAACGCTCATTCTCACACTCCTCCTCAGACCAACTCGAATCTCACAACATCTCTTCACATTTTTACTAACGGCTCTGAATAAACTCAAGTTCATTTGATGTTTGATGCGACTCACCCGCTCCGCTCCTGCCACTCAGTTTTCACTTACACTACCTTCACTATACGTAAGCGCGTCACTTACGCAGCTTTGCGTGTTCGTTCATTGGTTAGATGCACGTCAGTGATACTCTCTTGCCGATTTGATTGGCTACTTGGTTTTCAGTCCAATGTCGTTTCCTCCCTCACCGATGTAGTGTAGTGACGTGTCCTTAGAACGGCGAGGACAGAGGGTGCTGCCCCCTATTGGTTCAACCTGATCTGTGTGGCAGAAATGAGAGCACACATTCTGGCACTGGCCTTGTTCGAGATGAGCTGCTGGGGCCTCATTTATCAAGCTTGCTTACGCACAAAACGGGGTCGGAAAACTGCGTAAGCAACTTTCCACACAAACTTTGGGATATATGAAAGAAAACTTAGCGGAAAAATGTGCGCAACTTTAAGTTGACTAAGGACCTGGCTTACACACATGTTGGACATGGAGAACACCTCCAGTGCTGCTGCTGAGAAGATACAATTATGAAATCCTGCAGCGTTATCACTTGTACTGCTTCGTTTTCACACAGAACAAGACCCCCCCCCCCCCCCCACACACACACACACACACACACAGCCTGAAGCGCAGAATACGGAATGCAGAATATCAGCAGGGGGACAGATTGAGACAGAATGTCATGCGTCTCTGACAGTCTGTGTCCTGTCACTGTGACCTGATTGATTATACGCCCTGGCTATTTGAACAGGGAGATCCCAGTTTGGCTGACTGGTTAGCATGCCTGACTTTCATCTGGGAGTCTGGGGATCAAATCCTGATTGGACCATTTTTTTATATCCGCCACAGATCTCTCTGAAGAACTCAGCATTGACGGCTTCAGCAACGCTGTGCCACTCCGTGGATTTTCTCTTATTTGTTTTGCAAAAGCACTTCCTTTCATTTCTCCACCTCACCCACAGGTACCTCAATTTCTGCTTCTGTTAAATTGCGCTTCCTTGATCTACGGTCACCATCGTCATTGGCGGAGCGCTGCAACAGCCGGCTTATGTATATGCATGAGATCCACAAGGCACTTTGCATTGACTATTTATGGCAGTAAGTGGGCGTGGTGAGGGCGGGATGAGACTAAAATGCAGCTGAGAAACATTCTCGTTAGTCTCTGATTTATGAAGCGGAGATTGCGTGCAGCTGTGCGTACTCCATGTTTGATAGATCACAAACCTACTTGGTTTAAGTACTTTTTTTTGCTGAGCTTAAGTACGGTTTTAGTAAGGATTCTACACAATGTTTGACAAATGAGACCCCTGACCTGTTTGAATGTTTACTGTGTGAAGGCCTTTGAGAAGACTCTTGTCGTGATTTGGCGTTTTATAAATAAACTTGAACTTAAGGTGTAAGACATGAAAGAGCAGACATGAAAAAGATCAGGGGTGAAAAATGATAAAATTATGATAAACCTTGAACCACTCTAAGGGGGTCTGGGTGTATGTCCCCCAGGAAGAAATTTTTGGATATTTTATATTTAAAAGCATCAGTTTGGTGCATTTTGAGAAGATAAAGGTTGCGTACCAGGCTGGTAGGAATGTATAGTGAAGTATCTATGGTATTACTATCATTTGTGATGGATTATATATCCTGTCCTGCCTTTAATCCATCATGAACACCGACTACAGCAAAATCCTCTGATGCATCCATGCTGCTCAGTACCAGAACTGTACTGATGTCACTAGTTATGAAAGAACCAATCAGCTGGCAGAGCTGCTGTTGAACATGTGAGCTGCAGAACTTGTTCAACTACGTGACTCAACTTGAGTAGAATCCAGCTGCTGTTATTTATTTGTTGTTGTTGTTTATAGAAACTAAAGCTATCTGCCTGAAAACAAAAACACCGACCAGACCGACCCACTGGGAATTTCCCCAGTCCTCCGCCGTCCCCGTTAGACAGGAGCTGCTCATCGTTAACTCTCATTGTGTCACCAGAGCTCAGCTCATAGAGCTCAGGAAATGCAGACTAAAATATTTTTGCATCATTGCTATGGCGCCCCCTTCAGCCTGGCGCCCCTATGCGTCACATACACTGCATGCCCACTTTTTGAGCCACTGCACCTAACCTTTTAGGCAATCACTGCAATCAAACAATTCCTGTATCTGTCAGAGTCTTCTGCACCGCTATTTTGGCTCATTCCTCATGAACAAACTGCTCCAGTTGTCTCAGGTTTTCCAGACGGCATGTTTCAGCTCCTTCCAAAGATGCTTAATAGGATTGAGGTCAGGGCTCACGAAGGCCACTTTAGAATAGTTCAATGACTTCCTCTTAGCCATCCTTGGGTGTCTTTAGCTGTGTGTTTTGGGTCATTGTCTTGTTGTGAGACCCATGACCTGCCTCTGAGACCAAGCTCTCTAACACATTTCTCTCTGTACCCTGCACAGATTCAAGACACCCTGTGGCAGATGCAGCAAAGCAGCCCAGAACATGACAGAGCCTCCTCCGTGTTTCACAGTAGGGACAGTGTTCTTTCTTTGATAGGCTTCCCTTTTCCGTCTATGAACATATAGCTGATGTGCCACCTTTGCCTCATCTGTCTAGAGGACATTCTCCCAGAAGCTTTGTGTCTTGTCAGCATGTAGTTTGACATACTCCAGTCTGGCTTTTCTATGATTTGTTTTCAGCAATGGTGTCCTCCTTGGTCATCTCCTATGTAGTCCACCTTGGCTCAAACAATGACGGATGGTGCCATCTGACACTGACGTTCCTTGAGCTTGAAATTCTCCTTGGATCACTTTAGAAGTTTTTCTGGGCTCCTTTGTTACCATTCCGTGTCATCCGTGTCTTTGATTTGTCATCCATGTTCCTCCTGCGGCCATGTCCAGGGAGGTTGTCTACAGTCCATGGATCTGAAACTTCTGAATAATAAGTGCAGCTGTAGATGCGTGGAGATGGTCTGATAGCGTTTACCTTTAACATGCTTCTTCTGGCCCATGCTGAGTGTGGTGCACACCATGTCGTCAAACAACACAGTGACTAGCAGCGTTATGCACTTTTAATATTTCACTTTGAGTTTGCTACCTCAGCCTGCTTTCTAAGATTGTTTAATAATTTCCCATAAAAAAACTGTTCAAATTGTGTTTTCCTCGTGTTGTTGAGAATATACTGTAGGGTAAAAACTGCAGTTGGGTATGACTGTGGAAAATCATTTCATAAGTTTTATATATATATATATATATATATATATATATATATATATATAACACACGATCGTCCATGTCCGCACATGTTCTCTACTTTCTGTCTTATTTACGCCTGAAGCGCTCTGCTACTGCGGAGCTCATCACCTGTGCTGCGGTGTGTGACTTTCATAAGCGATTTGTGGCAAAATTAACAAAAACATCGACTTTTTTTTCTTTCATTTTGAGTGTGTGCATGTCTTAATCAGCCAGGCCAGTTAAAACTAGGATTGAGAGATTCGTCTATGGGATTAGATTTGTTCCAAAGAGATTGAGAAAAACTGAAGATCAAACAAAAATTAAGAAATTGAGGAAAAAATTGAAATGAAAAAAAAAAATTCATTTGACAATGAAGTTCCATTCAAAAAGTTTCACACTTTGAATGAACTACTGAAATAAAAAACCTGTCATGATATTTTGTGACAGCACCTGTATGTAGGCCCACTGACTGTGATGCTTAGTGGACACACCTTGAACTAAGACATCCCTTTGGTCATGTTATTGTCGGTCTTTCTAGGGGTGCCATCCTTTTTGTCCAGGCCTGTTGCATGAGCTTATGTTGTTAAATAATTCTGTTGAAGCATGGTTGAAAAGCAATGTCTGACTTTTGTTTTTCTTTTGTCAGACTCAAGTTGTCTTTGTGGATATTGAGGGTTTTCTATCATTGACCAAAGGGTACCAACAACGTTGTCCACGGCTGTATATTCATGCAAAAGTACCAAACAGATAACCGTCATTTCTTAAAGAGGGAAAAAGACCACAAACAGACCAAACTTCCAATACTGACCAATTTTACTGAAATTAGATGAGTTACTTTTACAAAACCCTCTGATCCTCTTGTAATTGCAAACTGTTGTAAATCACTGCCCCGATCCACAGCCTATTTTTCGTGTGTGTGTGTGTGTGTGCTCGGTGGAGTAGGAGTAGTGCGCTAGGTGGTGTGAACTTTAACTACAGCACATAACAACCTTTGGGGATGTCGTCATCAGCTCTCTGGGCCTGTTGTTCCAGAGCGCTGCACCGTAGTGGTCAGTGTAGAAAACAGCGTAGATGCAGCGTTTTGGCAGTGTCGTCTTCCTGTGGCCCACTAAAGTCACACACATCCCATTAGTGGTGGTGAAGGGGACTTGTGCACTGAACTACAACAAACAATGGATGCAGGAGACACCAAGCAGCACTTCTATCAACACATACTCGTTTGGTTTCCGTTACCAGAGGTAACCAGTTCTTCGTGTAGCAGCTACTGGATGGATGTGAAACTCTACTAGAAACAGTCAAAACAGAAGAAAACAAACAACTCTCTGAGTTTGGGACAGTCCACCTGGGATGAAGGATGCCACTCCTTGTACAGAAAACACACCGCAGCTAAAACATGAATCTAAAAACAGTCAAACGTGAAAACAATATGATCTTTTGTGCAGTAACGTTAAAGGGGAGACACATAGATGGCACATAAAAAAAGACAGGTTGATCAGAGGAAAGCATCCGAGAGCAGGTAAAAACACAAACCTTCCATTCTACATTGCATATCATCTTCATAAGTTCAATCTTTCTGGAAGAATCACTTTTCCAGCTGCTCAAGCTACACAATGGTTGACATCTTCAAGTTGATCCATTAGTGAGTGGGCAGCAGTCTGTGGCGGTGTGGGGAGGTGTGGGGGGAGGACAGCTTCTCTAAGGAGGCCGAGGGGGTCAGGGAGGACTGGAGGTGGACGGTCTTGTGGAACAGCTTGTTGCTGATCAGCACCACCAGGGAGAAGAGACGCAGCTGGAAGTGGCTGAGGGCAAAGACATGTGATGAGTGACCAGCAGAGACACAAAGCCAAACCTCAGCCCAAGTCCACAGAGCCAGACTCTCCTGTGAGCGTGGTCAGAGCGGTCCTGGGTAACAGTTACTACTCTTTTCTTGAAATGATTTTCCAGGACATCCTTAAGACTTTCTTAGCTGCTGCAGGACAAGTCAAGTTATCACAACTAGGACTGGGCGATGTACAGATATTATCATATCAGGACATATTTGAAAAAGAGGATATTGTACCTATACCAATGTTATTAGTGTGCAAATATTGTCTTTCACAAAGCCACCTGCTGCCCTCTATTTGCAAGGCAACACAACTGAAAGAAGTTTTTCTCCACTTTAGTTCATACACTGCTACAGTGGGGCAAAAAAAGTATTTAGTCAGCCACCAATTGTGCAAGTTCTCCCCTTTAAAATGATGACAGAGGTCAGTAATTTACACCATAGGTACACTTCAACTGTGAGAGACAGAATGTGAAAAATAATCCATGAATTCACATGGCAGGATTTTTAAAGAATTTATTTGTATATCAGGGTGGAAAATAAGTATTTGGTCACTTCAAACAACGAAAATCTCTGGCTCTCACAGACCTTTAACATTTTCTTTAAGAAGCTTTTCTGTCCTCCACTCGTTACCTGTATCAATGGCACCTGTTTGAACTCATTATCTGTATAAAAGACACCCGTCCACAGCCTCAAACAGTCAGATTTAGAAATCCATTATGGCCAAGACCAAATAGCTTTCGAAGGACACCAGGAAAAGAATTGTAGACCTGCACCAGACTGGGAAGAGTAAATCTACAATAGACAAGCAGCTTGGTGTGAAAAAATCAACTGTGGGAGCAATTATCAGAAAATGAAAGACATACAAGACCACTGATAATCTCCCTCGATCTGGGGCTCCACGCAAGATCTCATCCCGTGGGGTCAAAATGATCATGAGAACGGTGAGCCTCACCCCCGCTGATACTGACCATACTGCTTTTAGCTACTACGTGGCACACAGATAAATCAGCTTCCTCATGACCTCAAATGTGCCCCTAATAACTTTTAAATCACAATGAAAAACCTTCATCAGCTTTTGAATAAATATTCTTTACGCTGCACTTTTTGCACTGTGACTGCTAACCCTTTTTGTTTGTTGAATCTGAAATTAATAAACTACATTTCTTTGACTTGTGTATGCTGCTCTTGCTTCTGTGAAGCACTTTTAGAGGTGTAACGCGATGAAGGAGCTGTTTCTGCCAAGGATTTAACCTTTTCCACAGTGCTCAGTGCATGAGACAGCCTCAAGGTCATGCATTTGCTTCTAAACTGTTTACTTTCCAGCAAGAGAAGAAAGAGGATGAAGAGACTCTTTTCTTTTATTAAATCAAAGAACTCTATTTTTAATAAAGCTAATCAAAACAACTGTTAGTCAATAATACAATGTGACCGATCTGTGAAATCACAATGTTATGATTAATATGTTTGAATAAGTAACATGACTTAATCTAGTTCACTAGACACACTGACACACGTAATGTAAACAACCACATGACACATCGCTGTTACTGATTCAATCAGAACCTTCCTAGTCTGAAGTGTGGCATAGTCTCTGTGGTGTTTATAAATCTGCCAGCTTTTATTCGACCAGAATTCAAAACATCCAGATGAATAAAACCAGTCCAACGCCATCTTAGTTCAGTTCTCAAGAACTCACTGGAGTTCACCGCATGCTAAGCGAAGTATCGGACCGGCCATCTGTACTTCCCTTTTAAAGCTGAGAACCAACAAGCTGGAAAAATCTGTTGTTTTTACCAACCAAACAACGGTTCCTTTCAGAATAAAAGCAGAACTCACTGACCGGGGGGGGTGGGGGTGGGGGGGTGGGTGGGGGGTCCCTTTTGACGCTGTGAACCACCTGTCGCTTTTTACCTGGAGACAATCCAAGCACTAGTTTGTCGTGCTGTGACGCTGTACTACTGGCTCCAGTACCGAGAGGAGGGTCCGTGGACCTGACATTCTGGATCCGTGAAGGAGGTCTCCCTGAGGGTATGTGTGGATGCGACAATATGGCGTCTCATGTGTTTATGACTACTCTGGTCAAGTCTAATCATAGTTAGGCGCAAAACATCATCCCACTCAGACTTGCCTCTCTGGATACGAGAGTTCTGATAATAACACTCATTCACACACACCATCCATCTCACACTTCATTCATACCAGCTACATCCATCATTAGAGAGTTAGTATTGTTAAATTGTTTGAAATGATTTAGTAATAAATCATCTTAAACGTTGAAGGACTCTCTCTCTCTTCTCTTGTCTCTCAGTTAATACAAAGTGCTATCTAATCCCTGCATTAAAAAGTTCCAGTCTTCTGATTAAATAACCCAGGGGTCCGTAAGATGGATTTCATACTCGATCTTAACATCTCACGGCCCTTAATTAAATGTAAATTACTATCATTACAGAGGCACACTGAACACCACTTCAGTATCTTTTGACATTTGTTATTAAGGAAGCCGGGTTGTGCTCAACCACAGTTAGAAAAACCAAATTAGAGGGAGCCAAGAAGACAAGTAGAGAACGAGACTAAACTGCGCCTGCAGAGGCACTTCTTCTAAGCAGAGCACAACGGGCGATTAAGGTGAGCAACGGCACTCCTGGGACGTCATCGTGATGAGACGCATGTTCCAGAACTCTGCTTAGATCAACCATCAATGTATTGGCTTATTCAAAGATTCCTCAATCTATTTTTTGCTTCTGCTGAGTCCCAAAGGAGGGTAACCTTATGCAAGCTATCAGCCCCGCTGTGCCGCTGTTCCTGATGTGCCGTTGGGAGATGGCTTAATATTACAAATAAATTCTTTAAAAATCCTGCCATGTGAATTCATGGATTTTTTTTCACATTCTGTCTCTCACAGTTCAAGTGTACCTATGATGTAAATTACTGACCTCTGTCATCATTTTAAGTGGGAGAACTTGCACAATCGGTGGCTGACTAAATACTTTTTTGCCCCACTGTATCTATGCTCTGCTCCATAGACATGTACATACATATACATACATACATATCTATGCTCTGCTCCATACCGCTGCAGCTGCAGAGATCCACAAATAAACGGGATGGTTGGCATTTTTCTTCCGCTTCTGGAGTTTAGTCATTCACAACCATCATGTTTTTATCTGAACTCCACCTGATCGTGTTTCGTGAGCGTGCTACGTGCTAGCTTAGCATTAGCCATCTGCCAGTATTTTAACTCTTGATCTTACACTTGGGACCGTTTCTGCTTTTTACAGTGGTTTCTGTCCTTGCTGGTGTCTCTATTTTCCTCCACAGCATCCAGATTACAACACTGCTCCAGTAAAATGTGTTCAGACTACGGTGCGCACATTTAACGAAGCTTGTAATCAGTGCAACATGAATGGAGTCGTTTAATGAATCTAAGCATTCAATGATTAGTTTCAGCCCTAGAACAAATACACATCACCCCATCACCCTCTGAAACAGGGAAATGGAAATAAGATGGAAAAAATATCGGTTATTGTTATCGGCCCAGTTTAATTTATCGATGTTAAAAAAAAACGACTAACTTCGGCCGATACCGATATATCCTGCATCCCTACAGAAAACACTTTTATCTTCTTAAGTGAAAAGAAAGGTGACGTAACCCCACTGCACAGAAACTTGTTCTTTTTGAGAGTAGTCACCATTAAGAGATACTCACTAGAGCTTTGTAGGAGCCTTCGCCTCATTTGCACTGATGATGAACAAAGGAAAGAGGATGGAGAACAAGCAGCCACTGGGTAGAACCAACAGGAATTAAAACATCAGATGGAAACCTCTGAAAACTTGATGGTTTACGTTTTAGATTAAACATCAACGCTGGAGCGTGAGCATATGAGAGCTGCCTGAAATTCAGACTCACCTGATGATGTAGGAGGAGGGCATGGCCGTCAGCAGAGCCATGGGTAAACCGAAGCCAAAATAATACGGCCAGTTTCTCTCGATGTTGGAGAGCCGCTGGTGCATCTCGATGCCTTCAACAGAAAATACGTCTGTGTTTGAGCTGGCTGCCAAATGAACAGGAGAGCGACGTGAAGGGTATCCTCACCGTGGTTAAACCAGCGGTACTCGAAGCAGTACAGCGAGTAGAGCAGAGACATGTGGAGGAGGCTGACCATCTGCCCGATCGCATCAATGGGGAAAAGGCTAACAATCACACCCTGGCACACGACAAACAAGCCTTTTATTCACCACATACGGAGGCGACTGACCCATCTGGTGGTTTTCGGTAAAAACTAGGGCTGGGCAATAAATCGAACATTTATCGTTATCGAGGTGAGATCCTCAGTATACCGTGGTGTCAATTTTAGGACATATCGCCCAGCCCTAGTAAAGAGAGCTGGAGTGTGTGTGTGCGTGGGTCAGGGATTCTCAGTGAGGAGGACGACTTGTCCTGTACCTGAATGAGGAAGAGCGCCTGCAGGAGGAGGTTAAACAGCATGTCTGCGATGATCTTACTGACGCTCGGGAAGGGCTGAGCTTTGCAGCCAGACACCTCAAATGCTAGGTCTGCTATGTCCTGCAACACACAACACACCTGGTACCTGAACCTGGAGAAACAGACTTCATTCAGGCATTTTCAGAATTTTCTAAGTGAAACTCTAAATTTGCAGCCGATGCTGGAAATGAATGCAGACAAAAGGAGTTTGGGAGTGGTTTTCATGAGGAAATAATATCACATGGTAAAAAGTGTTTTTTCCATGATATGGACCCTGTAAGTTTTGAAGTCAGTGCATAATGAAACATTGGTTTTTGGACTGAAGCAGGACTAAACCTGGAACCAGATGGCGTTGACTATCTTGCTGAGAACAAACAGGGGAAGAACCCAGAGAGCGCTGAAGACAGAAGTCAGGAGGAACTCTAACCAGGACCACACGCTGCCGTGGAGGGACGGGTCACCTGGAGGGAGCACACGTTACAGACAAAGCTAGGTTACTGATGCTAGCTGCAGGGTTAACGTTTATGCCCTGTGAGCTACTGCCATATGGTTTATTCACATGGATACTTTCCATGTGTGAACATGCTTACCATGTACACACTAACATGTTGTCCACCCCCCAAGGATGTGCATGTTTGTATGATGATGTGAGGGAGCAGGAGGAGAGAAATGTGTAGGGATGGGGAGGAATGGCTGGTTAGGCTTAGCCCTCCAGGGAGCCAGCTCCCCCACTGGCCCCAATAGGCACCTCTGTTGTCAAAATGCCACCCAGAGCATGGAGACCCCAGCCCATCCTGCCAGGGCCCAAAGCAGCAGCATCACAGAGCCTCACAGAGTCCGAGGGCACCAACCCAGCCCCACCCCAGCAGAATATCTACGCCCATCCCTGCATTTGCACAACTTTCGGACTATAAAAGACATAGGACATCCAGGTAAGGTTGGGTCCTCCCCCTCCTGGACTTCCCCCTCCCCTGTGATGGGACAGCAGAGGAGCCAAGGTCTACCCGAGGCCCCAGAACCCGAGTCAGGCACTGCTGCATGTTCCTGCCTTCTCCTCGGCAGCATACATGTCAGGACCCGACCCCCAAGGCCCCGCCCAGGGGCCATGCAGCCACCGGGCAGTAACCCATGGCCACCGCCAAGACCTCCAAGGGGCCCCACTCACAACCGCCAGTAGTCCACCCCCCGAGGCAACCTAAGCACCTCCAGAGGGGGGCAACGGCCCTCCAGACCCAGACACCCCCAGTGAACCCACCTCCAAGGAACGTCCAGATACTGCAAACTCAGACCCTCCACCCCCTCACCCACATCATCTCGCAGGACAACATCAATGGCCCCCGTCATCGCTATGTGATGGAACCGATCAAAGGGGCCCAGAGAGATTGATTTGAAGTGGAAGCAGAGGCTATATCAAGTGCAATATGATCTAACAAAAGATTTCTATACTGGTTAATGCAGAAACTTTCTCTATTTTTCCAATTCAAGAGGATAGTTTTCTTAGCGATGCACATGGCAGTCAGAACCACGTGAGCCAAAGATGTTTCAATCGGGACATCGTCCAGGTTTCCCAGTAAACAAAGAGAGGGGGTGGTTGGGATATGACATTTCAGACACTTTGACAGGTCTTCACACACTCTACCCCAAAATTCCTGGACAGGTGGACAGGACCACAGTGCGTGAATGTAATTGTCAGGAATGTTGTTTGTGCAGTGTGTACAGGTGTCAGACGACACAAACCCCATCTTGAACATCCGATGACCTGTATAGTGTACTCTGTGAAGAATTTTGTACTGAATTAATTGTAAAGTGGAGTGTCTGATCATTTTAAAAGTTTTTAAACAAGTTTGGGACCAGAAGTTCTGGTCAAAGCTGACTGATAGATCCACCTCCCTTTTTCAATAGGGATTGCTATTCTAATGTCTATTTTGGACAGTGTCTTATATACTTTAGACAGTAGTTTGGGGGGGGGGGGTTGAGATTATAGAAGTCTAATACCCTTGATGGTGTTTGTAATTCTATTTTATTGAGCTTAAATATTTGTTTGACTACAGATTTAATTTGGTGATATTCCGAAAAGCTATTCTTATCTATTCCAAATTGGGAGACTATTCTATTAAATGGGATGAAGTCCAATCCTTCATATATGTGTTCCAGGTATAGGATTCCTTTATTTTCCCAGTCTGGAAGGTTAATCATTTTATTATTTTGCAAAATATCAGGATTATTCCAGATAGGTGTGCGTCTGCATGGTACTAGTGAAGACTCTGTCATTTTTAGATACTCCCACCATGCTGCCAGAGAGGTGCTGATACTAATACTTTTGAAGCTTTCATGTTTTCTTATGCTTGAGCTAATAAATGGTAAGTCTGAAAGCTCTATCGTATTGCAAAGTGTCTGTTCTATATCTAACCAAGACTCATCTAGTGGGTTATCTTGCAACCATCTTGGTATATATTGCAGCCTGTTGGCTAAGAAATAATAATGAAAGTTGGGTAGATCCAGTCCTCCTCTGTCTTTGGTCTTCTGAAGCGTTTTTAATCTAATTCGTGGAGGTTTATCCTGCCAAAGGAATTTGGTAATTGAGGAGTCCGGAGATCTAGATCTTTGGTAACGGTACATTTTCAGTTTACTGCCCAGCCCTAGTATTACTGATAATGGCCACTTCCCTTTGTCTTACACCTCAGCTGCAGGGTGTCCAATGCCTCTATATCATTCAATAGCATGTCTGTTTCAGTTCCAGTGAAAATGCATTTCCTAGACCTCTCAGTTGCCATGGTTACCTGTGAAATGCCACCAATCAGCTGGTTTATTTATTTGCAGAGTATACATACATTTGCATTGACCATTTATGTTTCAGAGCTGTGTTGAGGAACTCACCTGCCTTCAAAGCTCAGCAGTAGCCTGTATTTTTATAGCACCATCCAGAGTCCTAGAACCCCCCAAGGTGCTTTACAACGCTACAGTTTGTCACATACTGGTGGCGCCACATTGTAGCCACAGCTGCGCTGGGGCACACTGACAGCAGTACGCAGTCTCTGCAACCACCATCACCTGGCAAGGAGCGTGAAGTGTCTTGCTCAAGGGCACAACTACAACAGACCAAGCACTCTCTGGTTAAGAGCCGAGCGTTTAACTCCTCAGCTATCGTTGCACTACTGTTGCCGAGTCAAATTACTATTTTCATAACAGCAAAGACAAGTTTTGGTCTAATGGACACCACACTGTTTAACTCGCATCCTATAGTCTCCATCCTGGACAGAGCTGTAGAAAACCTGCTGCCTTTGCACTTTCAACTTAAAAGGAAATGCTCTAAAAGATGAACCGACAAATGCGTTAAGAGCTCCAAGTCTGTGTGCAGGGACAGAGGAGCTGGTGTACAACATGCATACCCAACCACGAATAATTCAATAGAACAGAGGACTCCTAAGCTAGCAGTCAGCTGCAGCCATACATACCGATGATTTTAGCTGTGAGCGTCTGAAGCAGAGGGATGAAGACCCGGTAGAAGAGAAACAGGCTGAGCTGCAGACACAGATAGATCTACAAGTGAGGATGATGATTGTGGGAACAGTCGGTGAAGCCAGAAGAGGATCAGCTTACCCAGAACACTCCTCCATTCCAAGCACAGCACTGGAGGATCCTGCTGGCAACTTTTGGCTCACTGAAGGAAAACCGCAAATAAACACAAAGAGCACAGCTTAACAGGGAAATGTAGACTTTAATTTGCCATTAAATGCAGTTTTGTAACTCGTCTGTTTGACAAAGTGACCTAAAGCTGGTATCGTGTCTCTGTTTGCATCCTGATGGAGACGAGCTCCGAGAACGTCTCCACTCCTGCTCTGTGGTTGTGTCCGGAGCTGATGGAACGCACCGACACTTTCACGAGTTTTCCACTTAGATTATTAAGAGTCCTGCCAAACAGGCAGACCCTTACTGTTCTACACCAGAGAAATGGTCTCAATCTTTATCATTTGTTTTCCGTACACACTAATGTGGCTGGAACAGAAGCATGCACGCCCACAAGTCTTACATCATTACATTAATCAATTTCCCTCTGGGATTAAGAAAGTATTTTTGAATTGAATTGAATTTGACTCAACGACCGGCTTGGTCGGGAGTGGTGTGCTATTACTTTTCTTAGCATTTTCAGTTGCCATGACCAAACAATTGATCACGTGATCACGTTTGGGCGTGTTGAACTTGACGGAGCTTACAGAAAGTTTTCTCAAACATCGTCATCAAGCTATTTTTGGTGCTTATATTGCTGTTTACATGTAAACTAGAGCCGAGGACAATAATCAAATAATTGAGATGCGGACATAATTGGTTCTAAAGGAAAGGCCGCAATTTGCGCATGGAGAGAGGGAGTCGTGAGGTTCACCGCGCGTAAAGCTGTTTTGGCACAAGCAGAGGAGAGAGAAGTAATCCGACCGTGCATGTTCCCGCAATGACTGACAGCAGCAGAATCTGACCAACCGGTGGTTAAACGAGCCGACAGGCATGGATGAGCTCACCACTCGTGGGAGGGGCCAAAGGGGTTGGGTGCAGTGTGTATCGGGTGGTAGTCTAGGGCAGGGAACCTTGGTGGTCTGATCCTCGGCTACAAAAGCTAGCTCTCGGTACGTGGAATGTCACCTCTCTGGTGGGGAAAGAGCCGGAGTTGGTGATTGAGGTTGAGAGGTTGCAGCTAGATATAGTTGGACTCAGCTCAACGCATGGTTCTGGCTCCAGAACCAGTTTCCTCAAAAGGGGGTGGACTTTCTACCACTGTGGAGTTGCTCCCACTGAAAGGTGCCGAGCAGGTGTGGGCATACTAGTTGTCCCCCCCATCATCGTGTCTGTACGTTGAGGTTTACCCTGGTGAAGGAGAGGGTAGCCTCCCTCCGCCTTCGTGTGGGGGGACAGGTCCTGACTGTGGTTTGTGCTTATGCACCAGACTGCAACTCAGACTATCCACCCTTTTTGGAGACCTTGGAGGGGGTGCTGGAGAGCACTCCTTCTGGTGACTCCCTCGTTCTGCTGGGGGACTTTAACGCTCACGTGGGCAACAACAGTGAGACCTTGAGGGGTGTGGTTGGGAGGAATGCCCCCTTCCCCCCCCTGATCTGAATCTGAGCTGTGTTTTGTTATTGGACTTCTGTGCACGTCGTGGATTGTCCATAACAAACACCATGTTCAAGCATAAAGGTATTCATATTTGCTCTTAGCACCAGGATACCTTATTGATTGGCTTTGTTCTTGTTTCATCTGATCTGCGGCCGCATGTCTTGAACACTCAGGTGAAGTGAGGGGCAGAGCTGTCAACTGACCACTACCTGGTGGTGAGTTGGCTTCGATGGTGGGAGAAGAAGCTGGTCAGACTTGGCAAGCCCCAAATGTATTGTGAGGGTCTGCTGGGAACATCTGGCGGAGTCTCTTGTCAGAAGGAGCTTCAATTCCCACCTCCTGCAGAACTTTGAACATGTCCCAAGGGAAGCGGGGGACATTGAGTTTGAGTGGGCCATGTTCCGTGCTTCTATTTTTGGGCCGACTGACCGGAGCTGCGGCTGCAGGGTTGTTGGTGCCTGTCGTGGTGGCAACTCCTGAACCCACTGGTGGACACCGGAGGTTAGGGATGCTGTCAGGCTGAAGAAAGAGTCCTATCGGGTCTTTTTGGCCTGTGGAACTTCAGAGGCATCTGATGGGTACCGGCAGTCCCAAGTGCACTGTGGCTTGGGTGGTCACGGAGGCAAAAATCCAGGCGTGGGAGGAGTTCGGTGAGACCATGGATCAAGACTTTCGTATGGCTTCGAAGAGATTCTGGTCAACCATGCAGTGTCTCAGGAGGGGAAAGCAGTGCGCTACCAGCACCGTTGATAGTGGGGACCGCGTGCTGCTGACCTCTACTCGGGACGTTGTGTATTGATGGATAGAATACTTTGAAGACCTCCTCAATCACATTGGCACACCTTCCAGTGAGGAAGCAGAGTCTGAGGACTTTGAGTTGGACTCTCCAATCTCTGGGGCCGAGGTCACTGAGGTGGCCAAAAAACACCTCAGTGGTAAGGCCTCAGGGGTGGATGAGATCCGGATCAATGGAGCAAAAACTCTATTTTCTAATCCCGCCTGTTATGGGCCATGGATTTCACATATGATGTCCGTGAATTTTAAAGATGCCTTTTGATACGAAGAAAGTGCTTATTTTCGAACAGAGGAACGTTATTTTAGGTTTTGTGAACATAAACTAGACTCGTACGTGTTTTTGCCTGATGAATATTAAAGTGAGCTCTCATCCTGGCGTGTGAATGGGTTTGTGAACGGCGCTCTACCACAGTGTGAGAGCTCCAGATCTCCACGGAGCTAAAGCCTTAGCTAAAACATCCTGTTAGCATACAGTTTATAAAAGTAGACCACAAAAATGTGACTATCATACACAGTAGCGATCGGCGTGGCGTCTACTCTTCTATGTCTACGCCGTTGAGGACGGACCACTGTAAAGAACACATCTACACTCATTTGAATAAAAGAAAATGTTTTATTCTAAATGACACCGACATAACGTCTGAAGATATTTCAGAATCAGCTTTATTGTAAAGTATGTGGGTTAGACTCACGCTACCAGGAATCTGCTCAGGTGGTTGTTATTGTGTTTAAATTATATGCACTACTAGTGTTTGTCACTGTGTTCAAGTAATTATTAGAACTACTGTTTTTAGAGATTGTAACACATTTTTCATGCAGCTGCTACAAAACCTACGACCTTCGTAGCACCAGTGCTATAAGCTGAAACTGTTAACATACAACCCTCGTTAGCAACAATTGTCAGAGTTTATAGGGAGAGGCGGGAGATCAGCTCCTTCTAAAAGACAAAAATAAACTCAAGATCTACAGGTAAACAACCGTGTTCATTATTAGTACACATAGAATGGTGCAAATGCATCCATGCATCAGAACAACATACTTGTCTGGTTTGCGTTCCTCGCTCTGGGCCCGTCTCTGAGCGAGAGCCCCACTGGCCCGTCTCCGCCGCTGCTCCTCCCTTTTCTGCTGGATGCGGGCGTCCAACTTGGAGATCGTCCCAATCCCCAGTATGGAGTCTTTGACCCCCTGGTTTTTCCAGAGCAAAACAGAACAGATTGTTCCATGGTTAAAGGAGTGAAACACTGAAAATCCGATTTTCTGTTAAAAGGCATGCATTCCTACCAGAGACCACTACAAATGTATTGATTAAACGAGTGTCCAACCCCTTTATCCTCCTGAGACCCTGTGTCCACATGAGGACATTGGCTTCTTGCACTAGAATATTTTATTCTCTTCAACTTAGACCTTTTTTATTATTTAGAAACATTTAATACTGAATTTAAGTGAAAACATATTTTATTTCTGTTTTTTCTAAGAAACCTGTCTACATTTTTACCTAATTTTATTTTACGCCACACCAAATACAAAATCGGATCTCAGGAGGTTAAAGCCACCAAACCCTGACTTGGAACCCAACCGTGCCCCACCGTCATGTTCCTGTGCTGAAGTGTTTGAATCTGCTGATCAATTGGACCGCAGCAGAGCCATGATGGAACAGCAGAACAGTCCCAGTTACCGTCCACTCATTTGTTGTCAAACAATTAAATACTAGACCATCCTTATAATAGCTGCTGCTGCTGCTTCTCCAGCTGTGTGTGTGCGCGTGTGTGTGTGTGTGTTCACCGTAGCAACATTCTGGACAAAGGCCCTGACGCTGTCTGTCATCTCTGGACCAGCTTTAGATCCATCAACTGCAGAAGGAGTGGGGGCTGATGACCGGGTGGTCTGCTCTCATGGCCGGGGTGGGCTCACACGGCTACCTAACAAACATCGGAAGGATCAGATGCAAACATTTAAAACAGGCTTGAATATAAGAAAACATTGGTTTATAAAGCGTAGTGGTATTTGGGGTCACGGCCCCATTGTGGGTCATGAGAGCATAGACATGAATGGAACAGCGTCACCTCCAGATTGGGTTCCTCACTCTTCAAACCCAACTGGAGTCAAAGCAGAGTGAGCAACTAAGCCTATAGTTGCAACAACCAGCGTACTACTGAAAACAGATCACGTAGGATTACTGTTGACCTTTTAGGATTTTGTGGTGAACCGTGTCTTCATCACCGACGTGAGTCCTTACTTGTTGATTGTTAAATCTGTAAACAGTGTGCACAGTCTCACTCCTGCATCTTAAAATAATAAATCATTCATTTGATCAGTGTAGCGTAATCGCCAGGGAAAATGTGGTAAACAGGATCATTTTTCACTCCTGCCTGGAGGCACAGCCATGAGTCCAAGTATCTAACATAAAGACTCGTTGGCTCGCTTGGGTCGGAGATGTAAGCAGACCAAATATTATCTTCATGAGTATTTTCATTCTCTTAAGTTACAGATTGTGTGCGTTGTTTTTTTTTTTCCTTTACCCGCGACAAGCACACACAGGCCACACACACACACACACACACACACACACACACACACACACACACACACACACACACACACACACACACACACACACACACACACTTCTATGGGATGACAAATTTCCCTCTGGGATTAATAAAGTATCTTTGAATTGAATTGTTTTACTATATTAACATGATAGATTTTTTCTCTGGACAAGACGTAATTACTGGTAATATTGTGGATGATGGGATATGAGCCTACTCTAGATAGAGTTTAAATTATTCTACATTAATTATAAAAATATAACGAAACGAAAGAGCCAGTGGGACATTTGAGGCATGTATCTCTAGCTCTCAAATGTAGATAGGTAGACAGAAAGGAATTTTAGGATTTTTTGTAGGATTCTGAAATCTTTTATCCTATTTTCTGTGAAGGGGAATGATATTAAATGTATGTATGTTACAGTTAAATTACTTCCAACAAGTCTGAATTGTCAAAATAGAAAAAATCGTGATCTTGCAAAAACACAATCGTGACATGATTTTTGTTCCATATCTCCTACCTACTAAGATACTAAGCTCCATATTTTCAGAGCTTCAGAGCTTAAAAATACAAATAAAAAATAAAAGTCTTCTTTCTGCAACAGACACTCGTTTGGTGCGGATTCACCTGTGATGTAACCATCAGCACCTGTCAGCTCAGGTGGGAATCCAGCCAAACCATCGCTTAGAGGATCTTTTGTTCTTAGCCAGCAAACAAAGCGTAAGAAAACACAAGCCTTCCTCTGTTCGCGTAGTTTATTTCAGTTTAAACCCTGAACAGGACGCACGGTGACCACATTGTTGGCCAGCAGCCTGGTAGCTAAATGTTGGTGATGCTAACTCGGAACTCTGCTGATTTATAAAAAGTCTTTATCCTTAAGTCTTAACGATGAGCGATGCTTCCGCTGCAGAAACGCCGGCAGAAAGTGCCTGGTCTCGGCCGCTGACTTGTTTTAGAGCTCGAATAGCTTGTCTTGTATGTGGTGCTAGCTTAAAGTCCTACCGCTCAGAAACTAATGTTCATCTGGAGTTTTCTTACGAAGACAGCGCCTGAAAACACGAGTAAAGTCAAAGACGAGCAGACGAAGGGGTCATCCCTACCTCACGCGAAAGGCCAGAGGTCAGAACCGCGTTGTTTATGTCTTTTCCTGCTCAATGTAACAACAACAAACAACAAACTAATCCTGTCAGCAGCTCGGCCCATGGAAAACACATTGCGCAAGCTCCGGCCGCTTAGAACTATGGGTAATGTAGTAGTACGGTACTTACCATATTTGTTAGCGTACTTCTGTAGTACTGACAACTAAGTGCTACAAGTGTTTATTTGTGAATGCCTATTCATATTCATTGTGTATTATTATTATTATTATAGCGAAATAATAGTTAATATTCTATCTGTCTGAATTTATTTGAGAGGTTTAGAGATTATTTGAAGGTACAATATTTTTACTTTTTCATTTTTTCTTTATTTAAAGAGCAAATAACGCCCAAATTAACTTGTTTTTGCTGATAACCTGTACAGATGAGTGTCTAATGGTGCTGTACACATGTGTGATCATTAGTGTGGAAGTTTAGTGCAACATACCGTAAATCCTCTAATATTGGCCTGTATTCAATTAACGGCTGGGTATCACGTTTTGGCCGGAGTCGGCGGAGGTGAATAATGGCCCTTTTTTAATTGTGGCCGGGTGGAATGTGCTAACAAGCAAGTACCACAGGGGGGGCGGTTGCGTCATCCGTCTCATGTTTGATTTGCCAGTGATAGCCCGCGAGGGTAACTTTAACCATGGCAGGTGCGGAGACGAAGAGGGGGCGAAAATTTTATATCAAGTTCAAAGAGAACGTGCTGATTATGCTGCTGAACACTCTGGGGAGCAGTAGGGTTTGTATGAACTAGTCGACTTCACTGCTCTTTAGTGACTTTTTATGCCTGTCATCGACTAGTCGCTGTCACGTGATAATGACCGGCAAGATGCAGTCCTCGGAAAAGACAGCAGCCTGCTGTCAGCAGGTGACAAGCTCCTGCGAGTCGGGAGGCAACGCGCTGTGCCAGAGCATTGGCACTGACACCCACCGTAAAACGGACATTTAACCAAATTGTGACCTTTACCCTCTTGCAATTTAACATTCCCCTCACCCCATCCTAACCTTAACCAGCTTGCGCATGCAAAGCTCTGATTGTTGACGCGCTCCAGACATCTGCGTCCTGGGCACGGCCACAGTAACATTATCAAATCAGGTGTCGCCACCTCAAAAACTAATTTAACACACGAACTGCAGTTCAGAGGTAACTCATAAGGTGAATATATATGAACCCAGGTAGCAGTTTTTCTTTAGGATTGAGAGGAGATGCAGGAAGATAATAAACAGGCAGGACAGAAAAATTGTCAAATAAAAACAAGTTAGTTTTTGTACCTGGTGGTTGCAACAAACAGACACCACTGAAGGTAATCAGAGGTGAGGACCAGAAAATGAAATAATTATTTTAATGTTTAGAGCAGCAGGAACTCTGAGAGGCTGCAGGTGCATCAGTGAGTTTGCGGCCGCTGCGCAGGGGGAGGGGGGAGAGGGCTGAAGCAGAAACTACCGTTGTTAAAAGAATTGTGTTTAACTTTGAAAATGTGGGCGCAATTTTAACTGTCAAAAACTCCAGCGAACCATTAGTTCATTTTGCTCAAATAGAAATTGAGGCCTGCCTCTAATTCTGGCCCTCCTTCCAATAAAGGCCTGGAGTTTGATGAGCTTGAGTCAAATACAGGCCTGGGCCTGTATCAGAGGATTTACGGTACTCTAAATTTAATATTTCAGCCCAAAACTATAATTATATCTCCATCTTCAGGTTAGAACTCTGCTCCACATTTATATAGAACCAGCTGAGGCTGATGGCCAAGCTGAAAAACATGACGTTATCAGCAAATTACTATGTGGCTGCAGTACACTGGTCTCCAAGTGTGGCAGCTGTACCTCCACCTGGCTCAGCCACTCACCTGCCGATATGACACGCTGGCTCTCTGAGCCACTCGCCTCCTTGAAAAAAATGCCCTCTTCCCCTTTTCATCTAATGATCGTGGTTAAATGGAAATCCTCCAGAATGCTGGAGAATCTGTGTCTGCTAAGTCTTGTGTGAGTGTGTGCTTCGGTCTGCCAGGAGACGCCTCTTTCAGAAGCATGTATACAAGTCTCCACCCAGGCCTTGACCCTCACTTTAACCTGGAAGGTCCCATTGAGATTAAAATCCTTATTTTCTTTTCTTTCTTTCTTTCTTTCTTTTTTTTTTTTTTTACCGTGTCCTGTCCGGCTGTAAACCAATCATAATTGATGTCTGAATGCCGAAGACTAGCCTTGCAGATTTATTCTCACAGGTGGAGCGTTATAGCTTCTGCTTTAATGCCACTCCTGATACCAAAACTTTTTTAGAAATATTTTCGGTTGTTTAAAATCCCAAAGGACATAGAGACAGAAGAATATGAGAAAGGGAAAGAGAGAAGGAAGGGGGGGGGGGGGGGGGGGGTCACAAAAGTGGACAAGAACTTGCATCTGGACCTGCAGAAAAAGAGAGAAAAAAGATAGGACACGCAAAACACAAAACCAAAATATATTTGCACCAACAACATGAGGATATATAAAAGTAACTGTTTTTGCTGAGAAGCACAGGATAATAATTCACACTGCATTTAGTGCCAACCATAGCCACCACACAGGTGATGTGTTGGAAATGCCCAAGTCCATACTTATGAGAGCACCATGGGAGCACCTGTGTGCATACACGCGCTTGTATATGTAAGGTTTCTCTATAAGAGCGTCCAATAGAGAGTGTAAGGGGCCACAGATCTGCCCCCCAAAGATGTGTGGAAGATGGAGGAGTTCCAAGCCCCAGAGATCCAGATACAGTATTAGATACGGTTAAAGTCAGACATGAAAAAATAAATAAATTTTACATAAATAAGTGATGCTTAGCCTGGTGGGGGGAGGAAAACCTGGCCTAATAAGCACTGGAGGAAACCCTGTCAAGATCGTCAACACTTGTTTATCTCAATGCTATTGAAACATGTAAACCAAAAAGCATTATATCCACTGATACCTTTCTAATTTAAAACTCAGTAACTTATGCTGTAAATTCACCTTGCCCTGCCTACTCCTGCTTGCTGCCTGCCAGCTGTAATCACAAGCGACAACATAGTAGTTCCCGCTGCTTCTTCGGGAAACAGCGCCAAAAAACTTGGGATCTTGTAGGCGTGGCGGTGGGATTTCAGCTGTGGTGGCCCGCCACGGCTACGCCTATGTAAGGGAAACCCTGATGTAAGGACCTATAGACCAGAACCAGGATCTTGAAATGAACCCTGAAGTTGCCTGGCAGCCAGTGAAGCAGGAGGAGAAGCGTGGTGATGTGGGTGTGTTTGGAGGACTTGGTCAGAAGCCGAGCACAGGCGTTCTGAACCACCTGTAGAGGGTTCAGGGAGGTTCTGCTCAGACACGTGAAAAGAGAGTTACAGTAGTCTAAGTGTGAGGAGATGAAGGTGTGGAGAACTGTCTCAAGTTCAGAGCCAGACAGAATGGGACTCAGCTTAGCAATGTTCCTGAGATGGAAGAAGGATGAGCGAACAAGAGAACTGACATGAGAATCCAGGGTGAGAGCTGGGTAAAAGGTCACACCAAGATTCCTGACGGAAGGATTGGTGTGAGAAGCAAGCTGACCAAGAGAGTCTCTGACTTTGGGAACCAGCTTGTCTGGGGCACAGATGAGGATCTCAGTCATATCTTCATTCAGCTGTAGAAAGCTCCCAGCCATCCAGGTTTTGATAGAGTCTAAGCAGGTGTGTAACAGCTGCAGCTTAGACATCTCATGGGGCTTAAAGGAGATGTACAATTGGATGTCATCTGCATAAAGATGGTAGGAGATTCCTTTGAAGGAGCTCAGGATGTGCTAAAGAGGAAGCAGATAGAGGAGGAAGAGCAGAGGCCTCAGCACAGAACCTTGTGGGACACCATGGGTAAGAGAGGTGGTGGAGGAGCTAAACTTGGAGACGGCCACAGAAAAGGAACGCTCAGAAAGATAAGAGGAGAACAGAGAAGCTAAGCAGAGCTTTGTCATATGTGTGTGTGTGTATATATATATATATATATATATATATATATATATATATATATTAGGGGCTGCAAGACTTAATTTTTTTTAAAGTTGACAGTCAAGTAATGAACATTGAGTCGACTTTGACTAGTCGTTGATGACATCATCCACCTGAAGCGGCGCACGGGGGGGGGGGGGGGGGGGGCGGTTGGTTCGCTGGAGTTTTTGACAATTAAAATTGCACCCACATTTTCAAAGTTAAACACATTTCTTTTAATAACGGTAGTTTCTGCATCTTTACTGCTCCCCTTCAGCCCCCCCCCCCCCCCTGCGCAGTGGCCGCAAACTCACTGATGCGCCTGCAGCCTCTCAGAGTTCCTGCTGCTCTAAACAGTAAAATAATTATTTCATTTTCTGTTCCTCACTTCTGATTACCTTCAGTGGTGTCTGTTTGTTGCAACCACCAGGTACAAAAACTAACTTGTTTTATTTGACTATTTTTCTGTCCTGCCTGTTTATTATCTTCCTGCATCTCCTCTCAATCCTAAAGAAACACTGCTACCTGGGTTCATATATATTCACCTCATGAGTTACCTTTAAACTGCAGTTCTAAAAGAGCTACCGACCGCAAAAACAGCAGAGTGCTCGCCGGCCACATCAGTGAGGTGCGTCACCGGAGGACAGAACAGGTGATGTGCCCCGCTCCACAGCAGCGAAACGCATCAGGCACAAATAAAAGACAGAAAACATAAAAGGAAATGAGCCGACATGAACGATCACGTGTTAAATTTGTTTTTGAGGTGGTGACACCTGATTTGTTAATGTTACTGTGGCCGTGCTCAGGACGCAGATGTCTGGAGCGCGTCAACAATCAGAGCTTTGCATGCGCAAGCTGGTTAAGGTTAGGATGGGGTGAGGGGAAGGTTAAATTGCAACAAGGTAAAGGTCACAATTTGGTTAAATATCCGTTTTACTGCGGGTGTCAGTACCGACGCTCTGGCACAGCGCGTTGCCTCCCGACACGCAGGAGCTCGTCACTTGCTGTCTTCTCCGAGGACTGCATCTTGTCGGTCATTATCACGTGACAGCGACTAATCGATGACAGGCATAAAAAGTTACTACAGAGCAGTGAAGTCGACTAGTTCATACAACCCCTAAGGAAAACATTTAGTTTTTCTCGTTAGTTAGTCACTCCAAAAAGGACAGTTGCTGCACATTAAATTTACAACTTGTTTGTTATGTTACCTCCACCCCACCCCACCCCACCCTACCCCACCCCACACACAATGACTTCCACCTTCAAGGGTACACCACCCTCTCCTTATTCAGCTCTTTCTACCAAATCTGCCTATCGAGGGATCTACTGATTACCTCTTAATTAATTTTTTTCTCTCTCTTTCCTCACTTTTTTTAAACTTTTCCCAAATTTTATGATATTTTAAAATCATGTTACATTTTTGGTCTTGTGCAGTGCCTAGTGGATTTTATCTTGAGAGGTAGAGGACCTAAAGTACCTAGGGTCTACGGTCCAAACAGATCTCTTCATCCTGCTTTTATTTTGGTAGGCCAATTCCATTTCATGCAGAAATGCTGAATTTGCACACCAGCTCAAATGTTCATTCAAATTCTTCATCTATTTAAATATATTTTTGTATATTTATATAGAACTCTACATTTTTAACAGTATTAATAGAAGCAAAATGTGTCAAAATAGATCTGTGATTTAATATCGCATTAGTTTAGAGTTAATGTCCCATTGTATTTGCCACACATTGTAATCCAATTGAAATGTCTTTGTTTGGTCAAACCTTCTGTTTTGTTTTAGCCAAACATGCTTCCAGCCTGTTGCTGCGGTGAGACCCTCCCAGGAGGCGGTCTCATGTGTTCATCAGCACTCAGACGCTACTCTGAGACCAGTCCTACTGTTTATTATAAGGGATCTAACAGCACACACATGGTCGTTCTGAGGATAAGAAATGTGCATAAAAGGAAATATGCACTCATTTGCTTGTGCATCATTGGCTTCATCATCTATCAATATAAGAGGTAAGTGATGAGCTCAGCTCAGGAGGTTTGTTCATCAACTCTTTCTGTTTTTGTGGAAATTAGACTTCATTACTTATAAGTCTAACAAAAGCGCATAAAATAAAACTTTTCTTCTCTTGATGATTAGGCCCGTGAGGATGTGTTACAGACAAACTTAAGAATAAATAACTCGTGCCGTACCAAGCATGTCATGTGGTCCGTAACTGGAACACAATAGTCTGTGTCTCATAATGGGGTTGTGACCCAAGTCTTCCCCCGCAGCCTGCCAGCTAAGAGGTGGAGAATGAGCAGGAAGGTGGGACTGAGCGCAAACACATCCCAGTTCACCCTGGAGGGGGAGACCTTCCGTATTATTGGGGGATCTGTCCATTACTTCCGTGTTCCCAGAGCCTACTGGAGGGACCGGCTGTTGAAGATGAAGGCCTGTGGCATCAACACCCTCACCACGTAGGACCACCACACTGTAACATCAGGTTTTCATGTCAGACGCAGAGCCACCAGCTGAACGCTAACTGTGATTACAGCTATGTGCCGTGGAGTCTGCACCAGCCGGAGGACGGGGTTTTCAACTTCCATACGCAGCTGGACTTAGAGTAAGGAGAACGCTGCTCCACTGTAGTTGTCTTACATGCTGCTGGGCTTTTCAAGAGTTTGCTCTCCCTACTAACTAAACTAAAATAAGTAACTAAGCCCCTGCACACCTCCTAAAATGCCCCACAATATTCCCTGCTCCAATGCCTTTTGGGAATACTCTCCTCATCCACTCATCATTTACACCCCAGTTCTCAGGGGAGGATCTAGAGTCAGAGAACCGCCTGACAACAGCAACATCTCCATAGCAACAGCGCCTTATCAAAGCAACACAGTGGGGATCTGTGAGAAATCAGAAATGGGACGTTCCAGTTTGTTGCCAGGAACTTTTAAACCAACCCACAAATATGAACTTTGTGTTATTTTCCTTTTTTCCAGGGCCTACATCAATCTTGCGGCTGAAATTGGATTATGGGTAATTTTACGTCCTGGTCCTTACATTTCAGCCGAGCTGGACCTCGGAGGACTGCCCAGGTATTCTTGAACTTAGAAACAGATTTGGTCTGAGAGTGTTAAAATATGATCTGGTAATGCCGTCCCATCACACTGCAGTGATCTGTGACATCACCTCTCACCACCACAGCAGCTAAAGTCTGACAGGGTTCTCAAAGACGATTATGTCTTTCTGGACCAACGCTCAGACCAGACCCTGGCAGAAAGCGAAATGATCATTGCTAAAGGACACATTTTTGTCGTCAGCTTTGTACACCAGTGTCAGTGTTTCTGGCCCTGATTCATGGACCTGACAATAACTATGCAGTCAAACATAACCAGCTGGTTGTACATCACAGTTTTGAGCTAGTCTGAGCAGTTGTCAAACCAGATTAGAAGGTTCTAGAATTATTGTTTAAACGGTGATCCACAAACTTCTAAACTAAACGGAAAGTCAAAAGGAAGGTGCTGCAGGTGAGATCTTCCACAAACCCAACCAGACTCACCTGGTTTGGCCTGACTCTGACAGAGCTAACCAGACAGCATCATGGAGACGTAACAGCACTGCAGTATGATCAGACTGCTGTAATGTTGCAGATTCGGTCCTGAAAACAACACAGAAGGACTTCATCTGACCCACCAAAGGACGGTCTGGTCTGGGTGTCTCAGACTCACCGTGGCTTGTTGATGGAAGTCTTTCTGTTCCCTTGCAGCTGGCTCCTCAGGGACAGCAGAATGAGACTGAGGACAACTTACCCAGGATTTACTCAGGCTGTCAACACTTACTTCAACAAACTTATACCCAAAGTGGTTCCGCTGCAGGTCAGATGAAAACTAGTCACACTTGGCTTCGGGTTGTTTAGATACTCGCCCTGGTACCAGAATCCTCTAATTTTAGTTCAAGAATGGAGGTCCGATCATTGCTGTTCAGGTGGAAAATGAGTATGGATCCTTCGCTAAGGACCAGGGCTACATGCTGTTTATCAAAGAGGTAAAAGTCTTCTATAATTTCATGACTAGCCCACTGCAGTCCAGTCTGATGACTTCCACCTCCCTCTTTGTGTTCTGTGTTAAAAGGCTTTAATGTCCAGAGGGATCAGCGAGCTACTGATTACATCAGACTTCCACAGCACGCTGAAGTTCGGGGGAGTCGACGGAGGTACGAAACACAAAATACTGTAAAACACGTGCAGACATAGAGTTTAACCTGCGGTGAATGGCCTTGTAGCCATCAGGTCAGTGAAGCTGCAGAAGCTGAATCAGAGAGACGTCCAGGAGCTGACCGCTCTCCAGGTCTGTGGCTTAAACCTCAAACGCTGTGTCTGAAAACATATCAACTGTGTCACACTCTTTCTTGGATTGGTTTCTAGCCTAACAGCCCCTCCTTGGTGATGGAGTACTGGCCCGGTGGGTTTGATGTGTGGGGTGACCTCCACCATGTCCTGCCTCCTGAGGGTAAGCAGCACCCACTGCTAATCTCTATTTCCTGCTACAAAAGGTCACATTGAAGCACTTTACAGCTTTCCACGTGAAAAGAAACCTTGTCTCACGAAAGAGGGCTTAATATTTTCACTCAGCCTCCTTGTAGTTAGAAGATGTGATCAGGCATCTCCACCTTTTTCTTTGTTGAAAGTGAAAGCTAAATTTCAGTTTGTAGGTGCTGCCAAACGTCCAGGGTTAACAGTCAGCAGTCACAGTGTTGTTTATGTAACAACCAAACCATAAATTCATGCATAATTACGAGACAATCAAATGATAAAATTGGAAATATGTATTTTAGGAATATATTTACTTTTACCAAGAGAAAATATTCCAGGGCGGGGCTGAAAACAACCACTGTGGGAAAGGTTGTTTGTTTCTGCTGCAGCCTGTGGGCTACATTTCGATGTGTAGTTTGATCCTGTGATGGACAGGTGACCTGTACAGGTGAAGCCCGCTGTCTCATGGCCAACAATGGAAATGCAAATGTGAAAACCAATCTGCATGCAGCTTTTGCATGACTTGCTTTAGCACCTGCAAAACAAGTCATTATTCAAAACATGCAGGTTTTCAATATTGAGATAATTGAATTAAGGTTTACTTTTATATACTTGTAAAAGTTATGCATGAACAGTTACTACTACATCTAAATGAACATTTTCCAGTCTGGTTTTATACACTGGCATAGCACTGAAACTGCTCATGTACCCATGGTAAATAGCATCTTTATGGCTTTGGATTCAGGGTTTCATGTGGCATTGGTACTTCTTGATCTATCTACAGCCTTTGATATGATGATTTATTGGTCCCAAAATCGACTTACCTATTGAGTAACTAATGATAAATGAATCAGGATTTAATGATTACGTAATGATTACCTAAGCTTCACAACCAACTCATGGTGGATTTATTAGCTATTGATTCCTGAAATGAAGAAAAACGTACATGGAAACAGTGGTCCCTTGCCCAGACGTGGGTCACCGGGCACCCCCTGGAGCCAGGGCTGGAGTTGGGGCACGTTGGTGGCCAGGCTTTTACTCATGGAGCCCGACCGGGCAGAGCCCAAAGAAGAGACGTGGGTCCCCCTTTCCATGAACTCACAACTCGTGGGAGGGGCCAAAGAGGTCAGGTGCATTGTGTGTCAGGTGGTAGCCGAAGGCAGGGACTTAGGTGGTATGATCCTTGGCTACAAAAGCTAGCTCTTGGTACATGGAATGTCACCTCTCTGGTGGGGAAAAAGCCTGAGATGGTGGTTGAGGTTGAGAGGCTACAGCTAGATAGAGTTGGACTCACCTCAGCGCATGGCTCTGGCTCTGGAACCAGTTTCCTCGTGAGAGGTTGGACTTTCTACCACTCTGAAGTTTCTCCCACTGAAAGATGTCGAGCAGGGGTGGGCAGACTTGTTGCCCCCATCTTGGTGCCTGTGCGTTGGGGGTTACCCCGGATGCGGGCAGTGCAGGTGTTGTCTGCCCTACATCAGCTGATGCCACCACACAACCCTCTGTGTCTAAGTGCAGTTATAAATTGGAAGTGGGCACCGGCACTCGGGGTGAGGCTGAAAGATCCCCCTGCCGAATGCCGTTGGGTGTGCTCACTCCCAAGGTCCTAAGCGTGTGTTTGTGTGGAATGTTGGAGGGAGTGTTTAATATGCAAGTAAAATTGGGGGGCAGACTGCCACAGGGTTTTGGAAATGGGATCCATACCCACACCCCTTTACTTCTCCACCCCTCACCGTACTATGTGCATGTTTGTGTGATGATGTGAGGGAGCAGTAGGAGGAAAATGTCTTGGGACAGGGAGGAATGGCTGGGGGCCTAAGCCCTCTGGGGAGCCAGCTCCCCGCTGGCCCCAATTGGTACCCCCATTCCCAAAATACCACCCAGGGCATGGAGACCCCAGCCCATCTTGCCAGGGCCCAAAACAGCAGCATCGCAGAGCCCCACGGAGTCAGAGACCACCAACCCAGCCCCACCCTAGCAGAACATCTACTCCCATCCCTGCATTTGTCCAACTTCCAGAATATTTAAGACATAGGGGCGACGGTGGCACAGGAGTTAAGTGCTCGCCCCGTAATCGGAAGGTTGCAGGTTCGAGCCCCGCTCAGTCTGTCGCTGTCGTTGTGTCCTTAGGCAAGACAATTAACCCACGCTGCCTGCTGGTGGTGGTCGGAGGGACCGGTGGCGCCAGTGCTCGGCAGCCTCGCCTCTGTCAGTGCGCCCCAGGGCAGCTGTGGCTACATCGTAGCTCATCCCCACCAGTGTGTGAATGTGTGTGTGAATGGGTGAATGACTGATTGTGTTGTAAAGCGCCTTGGGGGTTCCAGGACTCTAGAAGGCGCTATATCAAATACAGGCCATTTACCATTTACCATAAGACATCTAGGTAAGGCTGGGTCCTCCCCCTGCAGGACATCCCCCTCCCCTATGATGGAACAGAATTGTTACCATTATTTCAGAGGATGCAGCATTGTTTCCACAGCAGATGTAGAAAATCACTGGATCAGCATTTCTCTCTTCATAAAGGAGCTTCTTTCAGACATTAGGAGAGGTGTTCTTGTGGTAGCAGTCTCTCCTCCTTGCTGGTCTGTTTGCTGGGTCTTTTTGGTTTATTTAAACATGGTAACTTGAGCTTAATGTTGGTAAATCTACTGTTAGCATTTTTTCTAACAGCTTCTTGTGTTTGGATAAGCTGGTATGTTTTGGTTTAGAGTTTAGAGTTGATCTTTGTGTGGTGTAGATCTCCCTTTTGTTAAAATTTAGAGTGCTGTGGGTCTTTGGTGTAGTTTAAAATATGGCCTTGAGTTTGGTTTAACCACCCAGTTTAGCGTTTATACCTTTTGAGATCCTTATTTTGGTCTAGAACCCAGTAATCTTTGCCCAGTAGGACATCTTTTGTTATCTGATTATTGAAAACTCTTGTTATTTGTACTTTTGTTTTGATTCCTCATTAGTTTTCCCGGTATTAGTTTTGTTTGTTAGTATTCCCAACCTGTGGGTGGAAAGATTTAAGTTATTCTTGTAAAAAACCTGTTCATCATTTTAACTTTAAAACTTGTGTTACTGTCCCCTCCTTTTTGCACACGAGCCAAACTCCCCAGGAAGCCTCTTAACACCACACGCATGTGAGTGACCAAAACAAAGCAGCTAGGAGAAACAAACTGTCTCGAACCACCTCTCAGGCAACTTGCACTCCCAAGCTCTACATGTCACCAAAACACAGCCCACTGCATCACAATAAATGCAGTGTTAAACAAAGTGGAAGGCCTGTAACGATTATTCTCTTACAGTTCCAGTTAATTACAATTTTTTGGGTATTTATTTAAGATTTTTCCGGTTTTTGTTAATCGCGCAACAGAAAAATAATCATTAAATTTATTGTCTAATTAGTCATTAGAATAGTTAACTATTTGATAAAATAATCGCCCGAATAATCATTTACTCCCAGCATTAACAACTACAGAGATAATTCTGGATAACCTAGCCTTTTAGATGGAGGCATGGTGGAGGCAGGGCAAGGGAGAGCGTCTTGACCGACTCTCTCTACTCCCCCACTTGTCCAGATCTGAGCTAACATCAGATTTTAACCATAGGCCCTATCAAATAAAAATGTTTTAAGCCTAGTCTTAAAAGTAGACAAGGTGTCTGCCTCACGGACTAAAGCTGGAAGTTGGTTCCACAAGAGAGGAGCCTGATAACTAAAAGATCTGCCTCCCTTCCTATTTTTAGGTATTCTGGGAACCACCAGTAAACCTGCAGTCTGAGAGCAAAGTGCTCAGTTAGGAACATATGGAACAGTCAAGTCACTGATGAATGATGGAGCTTGATTATTAAGAGCTTGTGGAGTCTGTTCTCCAGGCATTTGTTTTATCCAGGCTCGATTATTGCAGTGCTTTATATGTTGGGCTAAGTCAGGCAGCACTTAGATTTCTACAGTTGATTCAGCACTCTGTAACCAAATTTCTGACAGGGACGAAAAAGTTGGCACACATCACTCATGCTGGCCTCATTTCAATGGCTCCCTGTAGGTTTTCAGGCAGTTTAAAGTTCTGTGCTATGTTTTTCGGTCTGTTTATGGTGGTGCTCCACACTACTTGGCAGCACTAATAATAAGGCATACCTCATCATGAACCCTTTGCTAGGCTGACCTGGAGCTACTGACTGTCCCACAGATTAGGTACAGGTCTAGAGGAGATTGGTGCCTTCTCTCTGGAATGAGCTTCCACTTGATATTAAACTGTCACCATCACTGCAGATTTTTAAGAATTGTTTGAAGACTCATTTAATCATTTTGCTTTTATGTGACTTGATTTTATACTTTTATGCTGCTTTTACACTTCGTATGTTGCTTTTAGCTCCTTTTTATTGCTCTTCATGTTTTTAGTGTATTTTATGTTCAGCGCCTTGGGCTCCAGTGGAAGGTGCTATATAAATAAAGATTTATTGAATAAGCTTTATATGTGAGAAGGAGGATCTTAAAATCTATTCAGGATTTAACAGGCAGGCAATGTAGGGAAGCTAAGACAGGAGAGATATGATCTCTCTTTCTAATTCTCATCAGAACTCTAGCTGCAGCATTTTGGACAAGCTGAATACTTTTAACTACATTCTGTGGACTTCCTGAGAGTAATGAATTACAGTAATCCAGTCTTGATGTAATAAATGCATGAACTAGTTTTTCAGCATCACTCCTGGAAAGGATGCTTCTAATCTTAGCAATGTTCCAAAGGTGGAAAAAGGAAATCCTACAAACCTGTTTAACGTGGGATTTAAATGACATGTCCTGGTCAAAGAGAACACCAACGTTCCTTATTTTGTTCTCGGAGATTAATGCAATGCCATTCAGGTCAGGTGATTGACTAAGCAATATCGTTTTCTGAATTTCAGGTCCAAAGATGAGAACTTCAGTCTTGTCTTGATTCAAAAGCAAAAAGTTTAGAGTCATCCACTTTTTTATGTTTTCAAGACAAGCCTGTAATCTACCTAACCGATTAGGTTCATCAGGGTTAAAGGATAGATATAACTGAGTATCGTCAGCATAACAGTGGGAGTTTATCCCATGATATCTAATGATTTTACCAATTGGAAGCATATATATACAGGTCCTTCTAAAAAAATTTGCATATTGTCATAAAGTTCATTATTGTCTGTAATGTACTGATAAACATTAGACTTTCATATATATTAGATTCATTACACACAACTGAAGTAGTTCAAGCCTTTTATTGTTTCTAGTATTGATGATTTTGGCATAAAGCTCATGAAAACCCAAAATTCCTATCTAAAAAAATTAGCACATTTTATCCGACCAATAAAACAAAAGTGTTTTTAATACAAAAAAAAGTCAACCGTCAAATAATTGTTCACTTATGCACTCAATACTTGGTCGGGAATCCTTTTGCAGAAATTACTGCTTCAATGCGGCGTGGCATGGAGGCAATCAGCCTGTGGCACTGCTGAGGTGTTATAGAGGCCCAGGATGCTTCGATAGCGGCCTTAAGCTCATCCAGAGTGTTATGTTTATGTTTATGTTTATTCATTTCGCAGACACTTTTAACCAAAGCGACGTACAAGTTTTTTTTTCTGTTGGGTCTTGCATCTCTCAACTTTCTCTTCACAATATTCCACAGATTCTCTATGGGGTTCAGGTCAGGAGAGTTGGCAGGCCAGTTGAGCACAGTAATACCATGGTCAGTAAACCATTCACCAGTGGTGTTGGAACTGTGAGCAGGTGCCAGATCATGCTGGAAAATGAAATCCTCATCTCCATAAAGCTTTTCAGCAGATGGAAGCATGAAGTGCTCCAAAATCTCCTGATAGCTAACTGCATTGACCCTGCCCTTGATAAAACACAGTGGACCAACACCAGCAGCTGACATGGCACCCCAGACCATCACTGACTGTGGGTACTTGACACTGGACTTCAGGCATTTTGGCATTTCCCTCTGCCCCGTCTTCCTCCAGACTCTGACACCTTGATTTCCGAATGACATGCACAATTTGCTTTCATTCGAAAAAAGTACTTTGGACCACTGAGCAACAGTCCAGTGCTGCTTCTCTGTAGCCCAGGTCAGGCGCTTCTGCCGTTGTTTCTGGTTCAAATGTGGCTTGACCTGGGGAATGTGGCACCTGTAGCCCATTTCCCGCACACGCCTGTTCACGGTGGCTCTGGATGTTTCTACTCCAGACTCAGTCCACTGCTTCTGCAGGTCCTCCAAGTTCTGGAATCGGTCCTTCTCCACAATCTTCCTCAGGGTCCAGTCACCTCTTCTCGTTGTGCAGTGTTTTCTGCCACACTTTTTCATTCCCACAGACTTCCCACTGAGGTGCCTTGATACAGCACTCTGGGAACAGCCTATTCGTTCAGAAATTTCTTTTTGTGTCTTACCTTCTTGCCTGAGGGTGTCAATGATGGCCTTCTGGACAGCAGTCAGGTCGGCAGTCTTACCCATGATTGCGGTTTTGAGTAATGAACCAGGCTGGGAGTTTTTAAAAGCCTCAGGAATCTTTTGCATGTGTTTAGAGTTAATTAGTTGATTCAGATGATTAGGTCAATAGCTCGTTTAGAGAACCTTTTCATGATATGCTAATTTTTTGAGATAGGAATTTTGGGTTTTCATGAGCTGTATGCCAGAATCATCAATATTAGAAACAATAAAAGGCTTGAACTACTTCAGTTGAGTGAAATGAATCTAATATATATGAAAGTCTAATGTTTATCAGTACATTACAGACAACAATGAACTTCATCACAACATGCTAAGTTTTTGAGAAGGACCTGTAGTAAAAATTCTGCTTTCCCCAGGATCCGTTGATTACTTCTTTCCTATTCCTTTTTCTCCTTTCTCTTTCCTCACGTTTTAATCACACTTTTTAACTTTTCCAAATGTTATGATATTTAGTAATTATTTTTACAATCATTTATATTTTTATTTTTTTCAATGTTTGTTCTTGTGAAGCACCTTGTGATTTTTATCTTGAGAGGCGCTACATACAAGACTTTTTCTTCTCGTATAGAGTCAAAGCATATAGCTGTACTCAGTCAGAAACTGAAAAGGAACCTTTTTTGCAGACATGGTGTCCACCATGAGGGAAATCCTGAGGCGAGGGATGTCTGTGAACATGTACATGTTCCATGGAGGATCCAGTTTTGGCTTCTTGAGTGGAGCACTGGCCGATCCATCCTACAGAGCCCTGGTCCCCAGCTATGGTTGGTTCCCCTGTAATGTTCCCCTGTAATGTTCACCACAAACAAAGCAGCAGTGGCCTCCATACAAATGTCATGAAGCACTGTCTGAACCAGGAAGATGTTGTTGTTTACAGATGGCACCAGCAGGAGGCAGTCACTGCTGTTGTTTTCTCCTGTTTTTCAGATTATGATGCTCCTTTATCTGAAGCTGGGGAGTACACTCCAAAGTACCATCTACTGAGAGATTTACTGTCTCGATACAGCAGTAAGTTCTACATCAGCATACAGACTCATGAAATTCACGCTTAGAACAACCTTAATGGGACCTCTGTGCAGTGGAAGGAGACAGTCTCCCAGATCCACCAGCCTTGCATTACAGAGAGACCTATGAGCCTGCTATCATGTACCAACACCTGCCATTATGGGATGCTTTGAGCTTCGCCGAGGGAGTCAGTTTTCATTATTTTTAATTGTAACTGACAAAATAGTTTCCTTTTCCAGTCAAACTAATGATCATTTATCTGCAGCCTTTTAAATCACCAAAGCCTTTAAACATGGAGAATCTGCCAGCCAACAATGGGAATGGCCAGTCCTACGGCTACACTCTGTATGACACCAGCATCAGCAGTGGAGGGGTGCTGAAATCATGTGACCACGTCCGAGATCGAGCCCTGGTGAGTCTGTCACAGATCATGACAGTTTATATTCTAAGCCAGTTTCCATGAGATCATGTTTAATAAATCAGACAAGAATATTATCACCTGTGTGTTGGATCGTCCCTCAGACGCATCTCCACTCCACTTTGTGTATGACCCTGCCTCACTACAAGCAGGCACCTGCTAGGTAGTCCTATAGAGCGGGTGATAACAACTAATTTTTATCAGAATATTGAAAGGAAAATTGTAATATTTATGGTAAAATGGCAAAACGTAGCCATGACAACAAATCTTTATTTTAATTTATTGATTTTTATTTAACCTTAATTTAACCAGATGAGTCGATTGAGAACTCAGTCTCATTCACGACGATCTGGAACGTAAATTGTGCTGGTTGTTGAAAATGATAAGTAATGAGCGAATATATGATGGTGTTCTGCCGATGATTGTTTTGTATATGAACTGATACCAACGTAACATCCTGCAGGAATGGAGTGATGGCCAGTTAACGAGTGAGTGCAGATCCCAATGATGAGTAGTGATAGGGGCACCAGTGACCAAATGGGTTGCTGAGTTATAAATGACATCGAGTTTATGAAGGAGTTTATTGGAAACAGTCCTATAAATGATGTCACCGTAATCTAAGATGGAAGGATTGTCGTTTTGACCAAGGTTTGCTTTGCAGAATGAGTAAAGGATGACCTGTTGTTACAGAAACCCAATTCTTGACTTGACTTTAAAAAGTAATGAATTCATGTGAATGTCAGATGAAAGTGAGCTGTCAAGCAGATACCCAGATACTTATAGGAACTGACAAGCTGTAGTTCTGTACCATCCAGGGTAACAACACTAGGGTGGTGAGCTGATTGCGATAAGTTACAGTAGAAGATCATGAACTTTGTTTTACTTGTGTTTAAATGAAGATGAAGGTTGGAGAAGGCATGTTGAAGACAACTGAAGTTGTGCTGTAAGGAGGACAAAGCTGTGTTCAAGGAAGAACTGCATGAATATAAAATGGTGTCGTCCACGTACAAATATATCTGAGAACTGTCAACAGCATAAACAATGTTATTAATATAGATTCTGAATAGGGTTGGGCCCAGTACCGACCCTTGAGGAACACCCACAGATAGAGGTAGAGGAGCAGATTGGTAACCCTCTGTTCTCACTGTTTGTGTACGACCTGAGATATAACTTCCGAACCATGCCACGGATGTCTGAGAAAGTCCTGTATGCATGAGCCTGCTAAGTAAGATGTTATGGTCTACAGAGTCAAAGGTTTTAGCCAAGTCAACAAACACAGCCGTCGTCGTCGTCGTCTTCCTCCGCTTATCCGGGTCCGGGTCGCGGGGGCAGCATCCCAACTAGGGAGCTCCAGGCCGTCCTCTCCCCGGCCTTGTCCACCAGCTCCTCCGGCAGGACCCCAAGGCGTTCCCGGACCAGATTGGAGATGTAACCTCTCCAACGTGTCCTGGGTCGACCCGGGGGCCTTCTGCCGGCAGGACATGCCCGAAACACCTCCCCGGGGAGGCGTCCAGGAGGCATCCTGACCAGATGCCCAAACCACCTCAACTGGCTCCTTTCGATCCGGAGGAGCAGCGGTTTTACTCCGAGTCCCTCCCGAATGTCCGAGCTCCTCATCATATCTCTAAGGCTGAGCCCGGCCACCCTACGGAGGAAACTCATTTCGGCCGCTTGTATCCGCGATCTCGTTCTTTCGGTCATTACCCAAAGCTCATGACCATAGGTGAGGATTGGGACGTAGATCGACCGGTAAATTGAGAGCCTGGCTTTCTGGCTCAGCTCCCTCTTCCCCATGACAGATCGGCTCAGCGTCCGCATCACTGCAGACGCCGAACCAATCCGCCTGTCGATCTCCCGATCCCTCCTACCCTCACTCGTGAACAAGACCCCGAGATACTTAAACTCCTCCACTTGAGGTAGGACCTCTCCCCCGACAAACACAGCCACAAAAACAAAACAGGAATTGGTTGCAGAGAGAGAATCAATGCATATAGATGAGTTGAGGTCAGAGACCCCAGAGATGAGTGAAGCTGTTACAAAGGTATGACCAGACTTGATAAAGTGATTATTGAATCTGAAGGATTGCCAGTCGCAGATATTCTTGGATGTCTGTCTTAGGTCAACCAGCAATTCATCCCCATACCCACACATTTTTCTCCTCCTGCTCCTTCACATAATCACACAAACCTACACATAGGACCATGGATGTAATTTTTTGGGGGGACAGGGGGTACATGTCCCCCCCACTTTTTCCAAAGTCAAGTTTTGACCCCTGTAATTTTTACCATCCAAAAACAATATTATGCTATATTAAACTGACACTGGTTGAGCTCTAGGAGCAAGCGGAAAACAACCGTTTGTGTTGAAGCCAGTTTCCCATCAGAGCATACTGTCAAGATCCCCCCCCCCCCCCCCACTTCTAAAGTGAAAATTACGTCCTTGCATAGGACTAGGGTTGTGCATCGAGCATCGATTGGAACCGGGACCAACTGTTAGTTTTTCCCGGAATCGTTCAAAGTTTTTAATTTTGATTCCGAGAATGCCGACCGGAAGAGGAATCTGCGGCTGATGTCCGTGCAAAATAAACGTAATCTGCAAATTTTGATCAGAGCTGATCACACCAGCTGATCACACCAGCCCCCCCCCCCCCCCCCCCCCCCACCCCCCGATATAAACAAACATGTCTGCCAAACTCCGGCAGCGTAGAGGAAACTTGTTGAGAGACGTCAACATGGTGGGCAGGGGAGCCTGCTCATCATCACCCCAGCAGAAAGGGGCTAACTCTGGGAACCGGTGATGGTTGTACGCTTTGTGCAGCAACCTCCCCTAATTATCAGTAGACTAATGGTGAAAAACTTCAATGAGCAGGCCTTTCTACATGTTATAGCAAAAGAATAACATAGAATTTTCCTCATTTCTTCTGTCGAGGATGCTTGGTCATATTTCAAATACTCCTTTATCTTGATTTCAGAGAGACGTGCTCCTTTAAAAAAGTCAGAGTTAGAAATCATTTCAGTCCCTGGATCAACACTAAACTGTCAGAACTGATTCGTCTAAAACATTAGAACCAGAAGACTCCAAAGTGCTTTAAACTACAGTGTGTCATTCACACCCTGGTGCCGATGAGCAACGATGAGCCCTGGGGTGCGCCGACATAGGCGAGGGTGCTAAGCACTGGTGTCACTGGTCCCTCCGACCACCACTAGCAGGCAAGGTGGGTTAAGTGTCATGCCCAAGGACACAACAGCAGCATTCTTCGCCAGGAGCCGGGATCGACCCTACAGCCCTTTGATTACTGGACAACCTGCTCTACCTCCTGAGCCGCTGCTGCCCAACGGTGAATTAGTTTCAGACTAAAAGTTGGTGTTTGTTGCTCCAGGTTTTTGTAGACAGACGCTACATTGGCCTTCTGAAGCGTCAGAACCAGGAGCTGGCTGTTCCTGATGGAGAGGTACGAGGTCACGCCTATCTCTAATTGATGGACACTAATGTTTAAATCTGATTAAAAGAAAACATCAAAATGTTTGATCCCTGCAGGGTCAGCGGACCCTGAGTCTGTTGGTGGAAAACTGTGGGCGTGTCCACAGAGGAAGGCACCTGGACAAACAGCAGAAAGGTGAGGAGATCTCAGGAGCAGGTGGCTGATCGTCATGAGCGGATTCTCATTTGTGCTCCTGCAGGTTTAGTGGGCGATGTTTTACTGAACGACATCCCTCTAAGAGACTTCACCATATACAGCCTGGATATGAAGCCTAGCTTCATCGATAGGTTTGTAACCATCATTAAACCTAAAGGCCCAGATACGTACATAACACAAAACCTTTCTACGTTCATTCTGTGTTTTTATCAGAATTGATTTTTTTGTGGTTCTTTGTCTAACACAGAGTAAGAGGAGCTTGCTTTTACCTTTGCTGACATGTTTTGGTGTCCCCTGCTACCTTTGTCAGAGCCATTGCTGATGTTGGTGGGACCGAAATCCCCGTCTGCTACCCGTGCCTTCTCCATTAATCACCCAGTCCTATGACTGGTCCAGCGTGTATACCCCTACATCCCTGTTCATGGTCCATGTCTCCTTACCTTTGAATTTCATGATCCGTGTGTTGCCCCAGTCTAATATGTGATTTTCTCTGCGTCTGTTGTGGCTGATTTCTCTTATGGTCACTACTGGTTTTGGATCAGTTTGAGAAGAATCATAAAAACAGGAGAAAACTGAGCCAAAACCAGCAACAGACCTTCCGACATTAAAGGTATAACAGAAAAGATAATAACAGTGATGAAAAAACATAACATAGTTTTGGCTTTTGATCAATGGCCAAGCTTTTATTGTTTTTTTATGTTTTTATTGTGACTTTTTTTTTTACTCTAGTATGTTACTTTTAAATTTTTAGGTTATCTCTTTTATCTCATATGATCTTTATCTTGTCTTTATCTTGGGGTTTTTCTTTTTTATTACTACTGTACAGCACTTTGATCAGCTGTCATGCTGTTTTTAAATGTGCTTTATTAATAAACTTGGTATGGTATGGTAACACAAACACACCGACAAAAGATTAATCCGATTAGATCAGTTAGACCAAGACTTCTACACCAGAAAGACAAGATATCATCTAATCAAGAGTGTTGAGTCATATATGAAATACCATACCACATTTATTTATGAAGCACTTTAACATGGCATTACAGCCAATCAAAGCACTACACATAATTACACACAGAGCATAAAATACTCACATAAAAACAACGGTCAACCAAACAAGCTGGAACCATAAAAACAGACCACAGGTTTAAAATGAAAGAACCAAATTGAAAGCAGGGATGCCTTAAAACCCGAAGGCCAGGGGGAAGTAGCATGTTTTCAGCTGAGATTTAAAGACGCAAGCGAGGGCGGTTGTTTAACCTGAAGGAGTAGTGAGTTCTACAGTCTCAGGGCACAGATAGAAAAAGCCCGTTCCCCACGAGTCCTCAAACGTGCCTTAGGGACACGAGGAGGAGCTGATCTGCAGACCTGAGAGCACGAGAGGGCTGGTAGAACTAAAAGAGTTCGCTCAGATTTGGTGGAGTCTGACTGTTCAAAGATTTCTATCTAAGGAGCAGAATTTAGAGTTGGATTCTGAACTGAACGGGAAACCAGTGCAGCGACTTGAGAATGGGTGCGATGTGCTGTTGTCTGTCAGGTCCAGTCAGGAACCGTGCTGCTGAAGTCTGGACAGAGCAGCTTTACTGATGCCGTATAAACAGGAGTTGGAGTAGTCTGGCTGGGACGTGATGAAGGCGTGAATTACTGACTCTAGATGGCAGACACTCAGGGTGGGCTTTAATTTAGAAATTCACCTTAGGTGGTAGAAACAGGACTTAACTGTGCTGTTGACCTGAGCGACCATCTTCAGAACTGAGTCCATTTTTACTAGCCTGGCCTGCCAGACTCCTCCTCTGTTTAATTCTGCACAGAGAAAGGGTCTGGAAACTCTCCTATTCAAATGATCCCGCCCCCTGAGAATTCTAACCAAGCCATTCAGCGCTGAGCAGCATACGTCACACACAACGCCGAGTTTCTCGTCATAAGCATGGCGTATTGTATTATTGTGTATACCTTTTCTGCAGGTCTAGAAGCAGACTCATGTTCATCATTGATTGTTTATTTTTGTGGAACAATGACGATGGCGACCGTAGATCAAGGCAGGTCAAGGAAGCTCAATTTCACAGAAGCAGAAATTGAGGCACCTGTGGGTGAGGTGGAGAAATGAAAGGGAGTGCTTTTGCAAAACAAATAAGAGAAAATCCATGGAGTGGCACAGCGTTGCTGAAGCCGTCAATGCTGTGAGTTCTTCAGAGAGATCTGTGGCGGATATAAAAAAATGGTCCAATCAGGATTTGATCCCCAGACTCCCAGGTGACAGCCACGCACGCTAACCAGTCACCCAAACAGTGATCTCCCTGTTCAAGTAGCCAGGGCACATGATCAATCAGGTCACAGTGACAGGACACACACTGTCACAGACGCATGACATTCTGTCTCAATCTGTCCCCCCTGTTGATATTCTGCATTCCATATTCTGCGCTTCAGGCTGTGTGTGTGTGTGTGTGTGTGTGTACGTGCACGCGTGTGTGTGGGGGGGTCTTGTTCTGTGTGAAAACGAAGCAGTACAAGTGATAATGCTGCAGGATTTCATAATTTTATCCTTCCTATAAATGAGATCCCTGGATGTTATGATCGATCGTATCTGCTGATAGATCAAGAAGCACCAGAACCACATGGGACCCTGAATCCAAAGCCATAAAGATGTCATTAAACACATGCACATGAGCAGTTTCTTAATGCAATTACTTGATGGTCATTTAGATGTATTGGTAAACGTGCATGCACAACTTTTTCAAGTACCTTTGATAGAAATGGTAATTTTGAAATTCGTCGGAGATTGGAAAAAATTGTGGGATCAAGACCAAGTTTTTTCAAAATCAGCTAACAACAGCATGTTTAGAGGCCATGTAAACTCTAAAAGATACATAGGAGAAACTGGACACCAACTCAACACACTAAACATAGAACATAGAAAGGAGTGTGAGAAGGAAACAAGTCGAAGACACACGAGCAGCAATACAAGAGGTAGAAAGCACAATAAAGGAATCAGCTGTAAAAGTCCATTGCACAAGAGAAAATCAGATAATAGACTGGGACGGAACACAGATCATAATCACAGAGCAACAGAAGCACAGAAGACGGATTAAAGAAGGAATCGAGATGAGGAGACGTGGATCAAGGACCGTGAACAGAGACAAAGGAGTCTACACGCTGGACCACTCATGGGACTTGGTGATCAACAGAGAAGGTGCGGGCAGTAGAGGGCGATGTTGTCTGCCGCCCGCAGCAGTAACACATCGACATCGGCGATGGCTCTGACAAAGGTAGGAGGAGACACCGAAACATGTCAGCAAAGGTAAAAATAAGCTCCTCTTACTTTGTGTTAGACGAAAAACCACATATTTGTTACTATGTGGTTTGTTTCAGCCTTTATCAGGCACCCTGGAAAAGCCTCCCTGAGAATCCCACTTTTCCGGGATTCTTCATGGGAAGGCTGTTTGCATACGGGTACCCGAGTGACACGTTTGTGAAGCTGCCAGTAAGTAGCAAGGAAACACACACACATGCAAAAGTGGTGATTAAACTGATGTTGTCGTGTTGGGACTGAAACATTCTAACTACATCAACAGTTTATCATTCATCTAGATTTACTAAAGCTATGTCTTCTCATTTGAAATGTCTGAGGCCTGGTTCCCACAAACAGATTCAAAGTTGTCTGAAAATTTTCTAATCATGAAGGCCCACTCACGTGGTGATGAAAAGTCATAGATAAACCAGTCCTACAGTGGGAGGTGTATGGCAGCTTGCCCAAAACACTCCACACAAATCACTTACACACACAAACACTCTGATGAGCAACCTCTTGGGATCGGATGTGACCTTTGCGTAAACAATCATGGCAGAGGAGGGGCATGCAGCACACCTCTATCACCTCACTTTCTGATTGGCTACACGCCATATTCAACATGTTTGTTTGTCCCTAAAAATCTGGCAATCTAATAAGATTGTAAGACCGGATAAATGATCTGAGCAGTACTGAAGACCGAATTTTCATCACACACCACACATGGTAGGATTATCTGATAAGATTATCTTTAGAACCATTATGGTGATCGGGGAGGAGGGCCTTAAGGTTGTTAGATAGGAACATTTGGGTCAGAAAGTGGCACCATTGTCCTGCCGTGTGCTCCGGGCCTTAGGAGTGGCGTATTTTCTGACATTCACAGGGCTGGGAGAAAGGTGTTGTGTTCATAAACGGACTGAATCTGGGCCGGTACTGGTCCATCGGGCCCCAGCAGGCTCTCTACCTTCCTGGACCTTTCCTCAACAGTGGGATCAACCAGGTAAACCACAGAGGTCTGGAATACTTCACCTAACTACATATTTATGTATTTAGGCAGACAATAAAACATCACTTATGTCACTCTTACTGAACAGAAACCAAAGCAAAATGCAGAAATTCAATAAATCGTTTAAAAATGGCTATTGAACAAATAATGAACCATCTCTACCAGGTGGTGTTTGTAAGGAATGAAGGCTGTTCACTCAGCAAAAACAAGAACAGAGTTTGTTCTGGAACATTTCATTTTTCACAAGAAATTCTAGAGTAGAAGTCCAGATGAGTCCTCCTGTCCCAAAGAAGGTGCTGGTCCTCTCAGGTGGGACCAGCACCTTCTTTGGGACAGGAGGGGGCACCTTGTTAGTTAACCATGCTAGCTTAAACTCGTGTGCTAGCATCACAATATAGTACAGATTGCTATCATGTACCTGACAGTTAAAGTAGTATCGGTCAGTTAATGTAATATTAATACTAATGAGCGTCTGTCAGCGGCCTCATACTCGTTAATATCCGTTCACCTAACCTAGTTTAGCTTAGAGAGAGGGAGAGAGACGCCTGTCATCCAGTTCTGGAGCTCATGCGGGCTTCTGTGAGCTGGATCCGACCCTGACACCAGCGAGCCAGTCTAGCTGGTATTTTGAAAAGCTGCACACGATCCTTTCCTGGTGATGCAGGCGGTGGTTCTGACCTGGTTCTGACCCAGAAACCAGCTCCACTGGCCTGCTGAGCTGCGCGTCTCTTCTGATGGTCGGTTCTGATGGTGATCTGAGCTTCAGAAATCCACATTTAATTTTTTAAACCCCTCCACGGGTCTCCGGAGCCCAGCGTGGACCTCCCTGTCCAGGTACCGACCGAAGTGGGCTACAGAAGTCCATCTTTTCAGCTGCACGGAGATAGAGGCGTTGTTTCTCTTGTCTGGAAACCCGTGGACTCGATGTCCAGACAGGCTGGAGTTGGTACAGCCTTCACACACTAGTTTGTCAACATGAACATAATCCAACACTAGTAAACACACACGCTGACTGGATCACATGACCTCTTCACCCTAAAACTAACCACTCTCCTCACTGAGCTGAGGCAGCCTAGCTTCTAACTCCCTTTGGTTACGTCAGAGGTTCACATTTAGAAACAAGAGAAAGGAACTTTTTACTAGAAAACTCTGCTGTTATGTGTTTTAAAACCAAATATCTACAATAAGCTTTTCTAATTGTATTTTTGGACAACATTTTGTATGAATAAGAAAAAAAAATTCACCTGAAATTTGCTCAGACGAATGTTTGCAAGTCAGTGTCAGGATAATTGTCTCTGGTCCCTGGTTCCTTATAACAGGTCATATTCCTGCTTTTTAACCCAACAGCATCACTGTTTAGGCCCATCTAAATGTTTATGAGCATCTCTGCTGATTCTCTAGGGCAGAACCGGGTTATTTATATTAATTCTGTGAAAACGCACAATGCTGCAGTCTCTGGAAAAACACAATACTAAGATGGAGGTCTGATGACTCAGATAATAAATAAAACAAACACATTTCTTTATTTCTGTGTAAATATTTCTTTGTAGAATACTCTTTATCCTCCCTAAGAGTCCATTCTGTTAAGGGAAGAAAATCATATTTCTTTAGTGGAAATCTACAGAATGATGCACAGATCTGCATCAATAAATTATAAACTCTATTCTGTCTATGGGTACCTTTGACCTTTGAGTCGATACCATGTCCCCGTACCTACGAATTGATACCTGTACTTGACGGTACCAATTTTCGATACTTTTGTGTGTTATTTAAATCTATGTTTAATTAAATATATACATTGCTCACAAGAATTAAAGGAACACTTTTTTTATTGGGCCTGGCATGAAATCAGTTAAACCTGTCTGATGATTTCTTGGTTGATTAAGCAGCTGAGGGCATTGTTAATCACTTTCAGCTGTACTGGTGTTCATGGACTTAACAACAGGTGCACTAAAGTGGCAACAATTACAAAACCCTCAAAACAGGACTGGTTTAACATGTAGAGGTCATTTCAAGTTTCTCCCTCTTGATCTTTTTCGGCTGATTTTCCACTTGTGCTAGTTTTGGCTCTCTACTGGCAGTATGAGGCGATTCCTTAACCCTACAGAAGTTGCACATGTTGTCCAGCTTCTCCAGGATGGCACATCCACACGTGCTGCCGCAAGAAGGTTTAATGTGTCTCCCAGCACAATCTCCAGAACATGGAGGAGATTTCAGGAGACTGGCGATTATTTTTGGAGAGCTGGACAGGGCCGTAGAAGGTCCACAACCCATCAGCAGGACCGATACCTGCTCCTTTGTGCAAGGCGGAACAGGCTGAGCACTGCTCGTGCCCCACAGAATGACCACCAGAAGGCCACTGGTGTGAATGTCTCTACCCAAACAATCAGGAACAGACTTCATGAAGATGGCCTGAGGGCCAGACATCCTGTAGTAGGCCCTGTGCTCACTGCCCAGCACCATAGAGCTCGACTGGCATTTTCTCAAGAACACCAGAATTGGCAAGTCTGCCACTGGCGCCCTGTACTTTTTACAGATGAGAGCAGGTACACCTTGAGCACCTGTGATAGACGTGAAAGAGTCTGGAGAAGACCAGGAGAATGAAATGCTGCCTGCAACGTCGTTCAACATGACAGGTTTGGTGGTGGGTCAGTGATGGTCTGGGGAGGCATATCCATGGAGGGACGCACAGACCTCTACTGCCTAGGAAATGGTGCTCTGACTGCCATAAGGTATCGAGATGAAATCCTTGAACCCTTTGTCAGACCCTACGCTGATGCAGTAGGTCCTGGTTTTCTCCTAATGCACGACAACGCCCGGCCTCATGTGGCAAGAGTATGCAGGCAGTACCTGGAGGATGACGGAATTGAAACAATTGAATGTCCTTCACGATCCCCTGACTTAAACCCAATAGAACATCTGTGGGACATTATGTTTCAGTCCGTTAGGCGGCGCCAGGTTGCTCCTCAGACTGTACAAGAGCTCAGGGATGCCCTCACACAGATCTGGGAGGAAATGCCACAAGACACCATCCGTTGTCTCATTAGGAGCATGCCCCGACGTTGTCAAGCATGCACACAAGCTCGTGGGGGCCACACAAGATACTGAAAAGCTATTTGAGTTGCAGAAATTGTTTTTGAAATAATGGACTAGCCTGCAACATCTTCATTTCACTCCGATGTTAGGGTGTCTACACAATTGAGCCCTCTGTAGGCTGATAACTTTTATTTCCATTAGAATACTTGGCATCCATTTGTTCCTAAGACATTGCCCTGTCGTTAATTGTATAGATATCCAACTTCATAATGAGATATGTACCTAATGTGTTTCTTTAAAGTGTTCCTTTAATTTTTGTGAGCAGTGTATTATTTTCCCAATGTATAACCATAGTTGATAAATATCATGATAATAACTGTTTGTATTTTATCAACGTAGTGTTGTACACAGCTCTTCAACATGAAAACCTTTACAACAGTTTCTAAATGAGGCAAAAACAAACCCCGCTCCATGTACTCCTAATCCTCTTCTAATCCCTCTGGAATAACTGATGAGACCATGTTTTAGAAACTACAGATGAAACTAAAACAAACTTTGATACCATTTAACTGTGTGTATTTTAATATTGTGCTATTTCACAAACTAAACCAGCTCCATGTACTCCTCTTCCTCTCCTTTCCCCTCTGGACCAACTGTGTGATGGTGGTCCTTGTAGTTTATAAACTGTGTGATGCAGAGGCGGATTTAGCAATTTGGGGGCCCAAGGCGAATACTAAATTTTCGACAATTTTATTGTTTTACTAAACCTGAAGGAGCTGAGATTTTGTCCGATAGCCATAAAATAAATTATGTTGGTATGAAACTCCCTCCTGTAGCTCAGCATACACGTCTGACCTACACATGCATTTGTTGGAGAATACTGTGTAATATTTTGTAAAATTAAAAACAAATCTTTGTCAACTAAAACCTTTGAGATTTAGTCGACTGAAACTGATGACTAAAATGCATTTTCGTCATCAAGACTAAAACTAAGACGCCCGTCAAAAACAACACTGGCCAGAAGGCCACGCTCTCGATCTACGTTCCGACCCTCACCTATGGTCATGAGCTTCGGATAGTCAACGAAAGGATACGATCAAGCGGCTGAAATTTTTTTCTCCGCCGGGTGGCTGGGCTCTCCTTTAGAGACAGGGAGAAGCTTTGTCATCCGGGAGGGGCTCTGAATAGATCTGCTGCTCCTTTGTGTCGAGAGGAGCCAGTTGAGGTGGCTCGAGTGAACGAACAGAAAAAAACATCACCCTCCTCTCACCTGTTTGCAACAGGTGATAAAAACCTTCCTACAGCATCGTGCCAAAAAAACATGTCAGAGAAAATCTGAGGCAATTTGTTTTTATTCAGGAAGTTTGAGGGTAGAGGGTGAGACCAGAGGAGCCCCCAGCTGTGTGTGAATAACACTTCATCTCCTTTTCAGGTCCTAGTCTTTGAGGAGCAGGAGGGAGACTACAGGGTCCAGTTTGAAGACACGGCCGATCTGGGAATGGCAGCAGAGATCCAGTGACCTTCATCTCATCTTCTAAGGAGAACCCTGTTAAGAGTTTGTAGCTAGCGTGTTGTCTCTATGGTAACAGACTGAACTAAACCTGATCACTGGCAGTGTGTAGGCCCGTCCTCTCCCACCTGCTTTCCTTCCCACTGCCACCAACAGTGGCTACAGGAAGCCTTCACCCTCATTTAGGTTCCCGGTTATTACCGAACAGCTTTGAATGCTTGTGTGAAATAGGCTCATGTGCTTCACAGATGAAAGACCTAAACAGTGATGCAGAAGCTAAATGGTCCAATTAAACCCAGAATGCACTGCTGCTGCAGCCCCAGCTGAGCCCTGCAGAATATTCCAAGTTACCATGTTGTAAGCCATGCTGGGAAAAGACAACGGCTCCACATGCCTTTGAGTTGTACAAATCATCTCCATAAACAAATACACATGAAGGGTTTGACCTTCTGGGGAACCCTGTAGGCCATCCCTGAAGTACAAGCAGCTCAGTGCTGCTGCACCATTTCAGGAATACGGAGTGCTTCTGGACCACGAACTAATAAAGCTCTTCCCTCTCTTGACCGTGTGGTTGTTCTGTCTGTTGGCTGCAAGGATGTGAAACTTCTATTAGCGCTGGGTTCAGAGTGCTGCCTGACTGAGTGGACAGGTCCAGATCCCATCGGTGCCATCACTAAATGATGAATCGCCAAAAACAAGGACTCTTATTGCATTGTGCAGCTCTGAGCCCAACAGGCCCAGAACAAAAGAGCCCCATTAGGGTCTGTTGGACGAGCGAAGCTGCAGTTCCCCACCATTCCATCTCCTTCCGAAGCAGCTTCTGTGCTGCCGAACACGTGTGCCCAAAGGAGTTCTTCGGGTGGTTTGAGTCCAGCTAAGATCTCTGAAACAACGAGTTTCCATTTAAAGGGCTAAACAGCAACGGGAGATCTGAGAGAAGCAGACAGCCGAAGCAAGTGGAAGGTGACTCCCATCAGGAGTCGGACATGGTGGTGGTAGTGTGATGGTCGGGGCTGCTCTGCTGCTCTCTAGCAGGAGAACATCTGACCTTTGACCTTAAACTGGAGGCTCCTGCTGGAATGTGGCCTAATTCATCCTCACCTCCATCTTCTCACGTCAGGTCATAAAGTATTTTCTCCAGCAGGAAAAGTCGAACCACACAACTCATACCCAGCCAGCTAAAGTTAGAGCTCAACATGAAATGAAGCTGAACGTGTGGAGCAACTGACTTGGTCACAGCAGAAGCCACTTTATTCTCACAAGTGTCACATTTTATCCTCAGATATCAAAAATCACAAGACATCAGCAGAAACGACACCAGGCCGGAGCAGCAAGGTCGTCATGGAGACCCTCTTGGCAAAGCAGTTCCTGAAGAGTACACAAACACAAGTGGTTTTGGTGGTTTTGCACGTATATTTTAAGATTCTGAAAAAAACTACTCAAACTTCACTGAAAACGTTCTCGTCGAGCCGTGCAGCTGGTTCAGACGTGGCCGAATAAGAACCATGAGGAGTTACACGTCCTGCTCAGAACAGCACCTGAGGTTGCGTTCATCCCCATCCTCAGAAGATGCAGAGGACTTGTACAGACGTGTGTGGACCAGGAAACAGCATGCTGTGGTGTAGCATTCTGCACCAGCATCAGGCAGACCACTTCTATGGACTCTGCTGATGGGACGGATGTGATTAGAGCAGCGGGCTGCAGCTGTCAGACATCTCAACCATCTCCACTACCATGGTGGGGCTCCTGAGGTACAGGGTGCCGCCCCTGGTCCAGACCTAATCATCAGCACAAGGGTCTGAGCCAAATGTCAGCAGACGTTCTCAAAAACAAAATAGTCATTTGGAGAAGTCCAGGCTCCTGATTTTAACTGACCAGAAGCATCTACAGCAGCAGTCACCTCCGAGCCTTTGCTCAGCTAAATCATGCATGTCTAAATAATCCGGCTCATGCAGGATGCTTCTGGTCATACTCACAAGAAACCACTCCTAAAGCCTCGAATATGCAGAAAGAGGCATGCTTCCCATGACCAGAAATTCTTCCACTTTGGTGCAACCACTCAAGAATCTCACCTGCGTCAGATCGTGTGTCATATCTCCACTTTAGCGTCTGTAAATCCTTTCTTGCCCTCATTTACCAGCTCAGGCTCCTTGGTGCGCGTGTGCCACACCAATATCTGCAGGTTAGAGAAGCAGAAACACGCTCAAGCTGATGAAGCTCACAGAAAGCTGCTGATGCTGCGACTACATCAGAGTTTACAGAGGTCAACCATCAAAAGTTTGCATCAGTGTCTAATCTGACTCCACTCCTCCACTCCGCACTGCATTAGTCAAGGTCAGCTCCAGGTGTTGGTCTGTATCCAACCCATCATGGTGGGCAAAGTTCAGCTCTGATACGTCGGTGTGGAGCAGACAGAGTCTCAGGGTTAGAAGTTTCCTTAGGAGCTCTTTGAAGACCCAGTTCACTCATTTTTCTTCACACATCTGCAGCCGTCTCCAGCATAAATGGATGCCTCATCAATCTCAGGAGCAAGAAGCTCTGGCACTCCTGGTTCAGGAAGCAGAAGTTAGCCAGATCAGAGCTGAGCTTCAGCTTCTAGAGACTTACTTCCTGATCTCTGAACATCTCTCTTCTGATTGGCCAACAGCAACAGGACTACCACCGACTCAGTTTGCTCTGCAACGTTGATGTTTCATCTCCACAAATAACACAATCCTGGAGTTCTGTGTGGTGGAGTGGCTAATGCTAATGGTTAGCGTCCACTAGCAGAGACGTTCTCTGCTATTTCCTCGACGCTAACCCACCAACAGCCTTCCCCGCCATGAGTCCAGATGGGTGAGTCCATGAATGCCAACTTGTGCTGTACAGATGTCAGCTCAGTGGCTCAGTGTCCGCCCTGAAACCGTGGGTTCAAATCCCCGGTCAGGTCATACAAAAGACTTAACGCCTCCTGCTTGACCCTCAGCATTAAGGGGTTTGATTGGGGGTTAAACCACCCAATAGTTCCCGAGGGGGATGGTCACATGTGGAGAACAGGTCTCCCACACCAGTATGTGACAAGTGATGGGCATTAATCTTTAATCTGATGTCACTGGCTGTTCTAATCCAAGCCTTTCCCTATTCCTAATGCAAGGAGACCCTTTTCAGGTTCAGCCTGCGTGTGAAAGAGCTACTCGACTGCACTGAAAAAGGAAAAATGGTTTCTCTGAACTTACCACTGAAGCTGGAGAACAACATTTGTTTAGTGTGCGCTCTGGCTGCCCAGAGCATCGCAGCAGACTGAAAGCATTCATCTAACAGGAAGGGTCCCAGTTTGAACCGCCTGATGAAGCCAGACATCCATTTCATTCACCAGTAGGAGGTCTGAGGAAGCTTAAGCAGGACCAGGACCCAAGCTGAGCTCCTGAACCGAGAGGGTTTGTGCACGTGTTTCCTGTTGCCAATGCGCCTGAGCACGGGGACATCTTCCACAGAGAGCTGCGAGGTTCGTACCAGCAGCAGACCAGCCCTTACCTTGGTGCAGTTTGAAGCTTTTGGCTCCAGATCCCTCAGAGAAACCAGGTCCTTCAACAAGCTGCTCTCCTGGTAGCCCGCCTTCACCCCTCGTAGTTGGAAGGAAGCCTGAGGTTTGGACAGAACGAGGCCCAGGTTCACAGCAAACCCAGCCATGTCGATTGCAAAAGGCCGTTGAGGGTCAAAGACCGTTTTCCAGCCATAGACCTTCCCTGAGTGGTTGATTTTGGGGGTCTCGTATCGCAGGCCTCCCACAAACGCCACGGGCCACACAGACACCGTCTTAGTGGAACGCATCTTCAAAAGCAAACAGTGGTTCTTATTTCAGTTAGAAAATACCTCAAAGTAACCAGGTGAAAGACATGTGGAGGTTAACTGGTCACCTCACCTCCTCGAACAGCTGTAGACTGTAGGTATTGTCGTCATCCGCAAAGTAGACAACACCAGGCTGACTGTCATTTAGGCTGAAGGTCTCTCTGAGCCACCGCAGAGCCAGGTTCCTCTGCTGGGTACCCCGTGGGACTTCGGGGCTCTGGGCATTCCTGTTGGACTTGTACCTCAAAGGTGTTTCTACATGGAGGTGGGTGTAGTTTAGTCCTGTCTCCTGGAGGAAGCGTCTGACCAGGAGGGTCTTCTCATGAGAGTCCTCCACCAAAATCCAGTGCAGGTTGGGGACATGGAGCAGGGTGTTGGCCAAGCGGGTCAGCTCAGCCTTCTGCACTGGCCGGCTGTAAGTGGGGGTGACTACGTGGATGACGGGGAGGCTATCAGACCAGGGCGGAGGCCGGCGGTACACATGCTCGACTCCCTCATTGTCGTCCCGAGTCCGAGCTGGGTGGGATTCCTTTGAAGCCTGGAAGTCAGAGCGGCTGTCGTGCTCTTCTAGCAGGAGAGAGGAGAGGCATTCATCAGTCTTCATCCACACAGGTCACTTGAAACAGTGTGTGTGTGTGTGCATGTGTGTGTGCGTGTGTGTGTGTGTGTGTGTGTGTGTGTGTGTGTGTGTGTGTGTGTGTGTGTGTGTGTGTGTGTGTGTGTGTGTGTGTGTGTGTGTGTGTGTGTGTGTGTGTGTGTGTGTATGTGTATGTGTGTATGTGTGTGTGTGTCAGCAGGCGGCGCTGCTCTGATACAGGTCAGAGCCAACCTAACATCCATCCCAACCTGCTGAGTGTGAAAATCACAAGTGTTATTTACCTGTTGTAGCAGTGAGCAGAGAGCGGAGGCTGATCTGGTGCCAAACGCTGATGAGCAGCGTCCAAGGTAACACAATCAGTACGCCGGCAACGATGTCTCGTCTCCTCAGCATTTCCAAGGTCGTTCACGAGTCATCTCCTTACATTCAACATCGAAACACGGTGCAAATGACAGTGTCCAACGACAAGAAACACACACTTGTGACGGGTGGATCTCACTGGGAAAAGTGTCTGCATCATTCATCAGACAACTCACAGCAGGTGTCTCTTATAGACCACGCCCTAAACACACATCTGTGCACCATCAGCTGATCACCTCCTCCGGTGAGGCAGGGGAAACCAGTCAGGAAGCTTCACTGGTGCTGGACTGTCTCAGAATCAGAACAAGCACAAACATTTGTCAGGAGATCAGGAAATAGTTGATTTCCAATAATAAAAATAAAAGGTTTCTATTTAGACCGACAGAAAGGACACAGAACATGAAACGTTCAGCTGTAGCTTCTGAAAGCACATGTCTACATGTCATTCGTGTTGATGGACACTAATTACTCTGTAGTCTCAGAAATATTTTCTGCTCTTGGTCAAACAAAGAAGGTTTGACTAAATAAGGCCAGAGGACCAATCCTAGAGGATACCAGAGACCTCACGTTTTATTTATTCTGTAAAATGTTGGAATTTTAGAAATTAAATCCTTAAAGGAGCTCGGTTTCACTGGAGCTTCCTCAGAAAGTAGCTTTTTCTCAGATCAACAGCAAATCTTTTCTCACCAGATCCCTGAAACTCTGTCCTCTTGGGGTCCAGATCCTAGGTTCAGACATGCAGCAGTCCAGTGATGTCTGAGGGGATCCTAAAACCCAACAACAGCCATCTATGCAGGAAAAGACGGATAATAAATATGTTTAGAATTACAAACATCACACAAACACACGGAAGAGGAAAGCAAAACTAAACCTCACCTAAAGAGTTAGTATAAACTCTGTTTCCTGGTTTGTGGGCTGATGGCGGTGGCACAGGAGCTACGCGCCTGCCCTGTAATCAGAGGGTTGCAGGTTCAAACCCCTACCAGTGAATGGGAATTTTTTTGTTCAAGGGCAAGACTCTTGTCCCCAGGGGCGGACTGGGACAATAACTCAGGCCGGGAATTTTGAAACCATCCCAGGCCACCATCGATTTACACTAAACGCTAAATGACTGCATCATTAGTGTCATTTAGGTTTACAACTTAGTAGACACACATTAAATGAACAGCCTCAACAACAGCAGAAGCCTTTTGCAGATGCACACATCTCATGACTAACATGACATATATATATATAGTTGAGTTCCGGTTCTCACGGCCAGAATCAAAAGCATCAAACAAAATGGGAAGGGGCCGGAGCTCTCGGTTCAATCTTATCATGAGGGCAAGAAAAAAACTGCTTGTCCCCCACCAGCGGGGGCCAGAGAGAGCATCCGTGCCGACCATGTGGCAACCTCGCCTCTGTCAGTGTGCCCCAGGGAAGCTGTGGCTGCCATGTAGCTCATCACCTTCTGAGTGTTTCTGCATGGCTGCAGTTCTCACCTTGAACAGCAGATGCCACCAGTGATAGAACCATACCACAAATCAGCAGGAATAATGGCAGAAGAAGGACTGAACACAAGACGTCACTCAGGCCCAAGGTGTTTCTCAAAGACTGTGTCCAAATTCAGGGTTGCAAGCTCATGAGTACCGTCAAGGTCAACTTTATTTATACAGCACAGTGCTGAACAAAGGTAAGAACAAATAAATAAATAAATACATATAAACACAGTCAAGAACAAAAAGCAGTTAAAATCAAGGTTAAAATGTGTAAAAATTCATTTGAAGCTAAAAGTGTATAAGAGAAATCTGCAAGTCTAATAAAAACAGAGGTTAACTACTCAAGCCGACCTGCATTAAAGCCAGATCAAACAAGTACATTTTAAGTAATGTTTGAAATGATCCATGTTTTGTGTGGTTTTTTAGGTTCACAGGAAGGCTGTTCCACAGCCTAGCACCAGCCACAGAGAAAGTCCTCCCAGAAAACATCGTCACTATGGCAACGTGGTGTCCACGGCCAAAAATGGTCGCACTTGGACATCTTAAATTTGTTAAAACTTATGTAACAGAAAATTCCCTAAAAATCCAATCAGATATATTTTTACATGTCGACATGTGTATGTATTATTGTTATTTTGACAAAAGTTACATGTACAGCATTCAGTAAATGTCCAGTAAGTGTCCATGCCCAAAAATGGTCTTGGTAGAACGGCTTAAATAGGTCAAAACTATATAACTTAACATTCTCTAAGAATCCATTCAGATACATTTATGTCTACAGTTATCTGGGGTTACATTATTTTGACTATTTGTTGTGTGTAGTTCAACATAGAGAATGCTGAGAATCAGATGTAACTCCACAGGGCGACGACATGTACATGTCAAAGACATGGCTCGACTGATACGGCATCTGCCTTAAAAGCTGAGGACCCAAGTTTGAATCCAGATTGGAACATGCAAGGTTCTGTCTCCGATGGCACTATTTTTTACAGTAATACAGCAATAAGATGCCTAAATTTAAATTATTAAACGTCTAAATGAAACGCGCTGAAAGACGTTGATGTCACGGCCAGAAAAGACGTCGGTTCAACTTTAATTTTGGAGCTATTTTTCAACCATGACAGGACGTGTCGGTTTGACGTTGTTTCAATGGTCAAACGTCCAAATGTTTGCTGGGCTGTCTCCCCGAGTTTTTAAATGTGTTTTTGAAACAATTAAAAAAGACTGTGAGCTAGATCTCATGTTTCTGATGGGAGAGTAGATGGACAATAACTCGCTGATTTATGGTGGAGCCAAGCCATGAAGAGATTTAATAAGAAAGAGGAGGACTTTAAAATGAATCCTGTAGAACACAGGGATCCAATGGAGATGTTCCAACACCGGAGTTATGTGGTCACGCTTTCTGGTGCCAGTCAGCAGGCATGCCGCAGCATTTTGAACCAGCTGGAGTCTATTTAAAAATGACTGATCTTTAATTTTCAGAAACTTCAGCAGGAAGATATTGTTTAACCTTTGCTAACAGTCTTAGATGATAGACACCTGAATGGACTACTGACCTCACCTGTCCCTTCAGCCCGAAAGAACCATCAAGAAAAACTCAAAGATTTTTCACACAGGACTTTACCAAGGATGAGCAAGGGCCGAGAGGACTGACCACATCATCCAGAAGATTTTGAACACCAAAGAGTAAAATGTCCATCTTTGAGTCATTTAGCTTCAAGAAGTTGATGTACATCCTTTGCTTAACCTCACTCAAGTAGTCTAATAAAGAACCAATTCTGTCTGCAATAAAAAGCATGTAAATTTGAAGGTCATCAGCAAAACAGTGAAAAGTGATATTGTATTTTTCAAAAATAGAACCTAGTGGCAACAAGTAAAGTGTGAAGAGCGTGGGTCCCAGGATGGAGCCTTGAGGAACTCCACTGGTCAGGGGTGCTGAAACAGAGGTGAAGGGGCCCAAATTCACTGAAAATAACCTGTCCTGTAGGCAAGAATGAAACCACTGAAGGACAGTTCCTTTGAGACCAACAAACAACTCAAGACGAGACAGCAAAGTGTCGTGGCCAATGGTGTCGAAGGCAGCTGACAGATCTAGTAATAATAAAGCTGCTGAATTTCCAGAATCACTCATTAAAAGCAGATCATTAAAAACGTGTAAAACAGCACTCTCAGTGCTATGGCGCATTCTAAAACCAGATTAGAATGTCTCTGAAATGTAATTTAGAGCCAGATAATGCTATAGCTGAGAATGAACTACTTTCTCAAGGACTGGGGAAAGAAAACTAGGTTTAGAAATTGGCCTAAAATTTGAAAAGCAGGTGGGATCTAGATTGTGGTTTTTTATGAGTGGATGGACAACAGCCTGTTTAAAACACTGTGGAACACAGCCGGAAGAAAAGGAACAGTTGATTATATTTTGGATGATGAGGGACCCTGTGACGTTAGTTCCTTAACAGGCCCAAAACAACCCTCACACTACAGAAGAAATAGTAATAATTCCCATCAAATTAATGAGCAAACCCAGCACTACAAGGCTATATAAGCTATTTTTACCATTAAATACCATTTTTCGAGGAATAGGCTTCAAAAAGAGACAGAAGATAATCCAGTGGGCAGCTCTTCCAAAGAGACAGGACAGAACTGGCACCAGGATGTAGAACAAGGAGGAAATAAACTAGGGTCTGAAATAGACAGTGAGGAGGTAGAAGACCTGTGCTGCAGAATTTTATCTGAAAAAAAAAATTCAGGAAGTTGTCACACAAACTCTGAGAAGGTGCAACACCACCATAATCAACAGGATTGATGAAACAGTTTAAAACTTTAAAAAGGACCTGAGGTCTGTGGCTGTTTGTTGCCACAAGCTGAGACATGAACTGAGATTTAGCTAATTTTACAGAATTATTAAAAGCCATCAAGCGGTCCCAGAGCATCTGCAGACATGCAATCTGTCCTTTTTCCACTCTCTCTGCCGGTGCCATTCAGCCATGGCGCAGTTTTCCTTCTACATCGCATAACTTTGAGAGGAGCCACAAAGTTTGATATACCATTACAGGTACGGATGAGCTGAACACACATTTTTGACGAGTACAAGCATAAAACAAGTAAAATCCGTTAATATCTGTATTTGTGCTGACGGAAAATCCTCATTGGGTAACCGACTGTCTTCACGCTCTATGATTGGCCAGTCACATAGAGTGCCCGCCCCTCTCTACACTCAAAACCAACAGACAGCCTGCAGCTGCTGTCTCTCTCTCTCTCTCCCTCACACACACACACACACACACACACACACACACACACATACGCACGCACGCACGCACGCACACACACACACACACACCTTGTTTTGTTTAACTTTGTGTGGGAAAAATGCCAAGAACGTTAGAAAAAATTCAGTTTGATCATAAAATAATAAAGTAAAATTAAATAATAACAAAGCTGTCTTGTTCTAGTTCATCTTTCCTACTGCATGAGTTCAGTTGTATTCATTCATGCACTTAAATATTCTATTCAAGTTTGTTTAAAAAACAACAAATCACGACAATATTCCTGTTCTGAGTTTATTTAAAAACATGTTCTGTAATAGTTCCTTTACTATTGTGATCAAAAACATTGAATCTCAGTTCTGAAGCTGCTCTGTAAAAAAGTTTTCAAAGAAAAAAATACATAAAGAAACTTCTGATCACTCATCATATTGATATGATGTCAATTTCAGACTTACAATATTGTACAGATTGAAGCCCTTCCCACTTCCGGTTAAACTACGCCCAGTTCTGGGTTAGGTCCCGCCCACTCTGAGTACAGATACAGATAATGGTGTACTCGCTCATCCCTAATTACAAGTTCTGCTAAAGCAGTCTGCCAGGTCATCAACACAGTTGGATTCAGAGCCTGCTGTCCAGAAGTTGCAACAGCGACGGAAAAGTCACGAACGAACCGGCTCTAAGAGCCGGCTCTTTGAAGTGAACGACGGGAGCCGGCTCGTCATTGGAAGCCGTCCCCTTCCCTCCCCCCTCCCCTCTTGCTTTGGTGAAAGCTACAGGTGATTGGTCAACATGTGTAACCGCGTGTCCAGACTGTCCACACACAGAGCAGTAAGGGCGGGGAAGAGGGAGGATCAGACTCAGACACACAGCAGAGCACGTGCAGGTGGAGGGAGACAAGAGGGAATGAGGAGGAGGAAAAAGGCGAGAGAGAGAGAGAGAGAGAGAGAGAGAGAGAGAGAGAGAGAGAGAGAGAGAGAGAGAGAGAGAGAGAGAGAGAGGAGAGTGCGACGAAGGCGGTGAGAAAATGAGCGCCAGCAGTCGGAAAGTGGAGATTTCTCAAAGTGATCAGTTATTAAATCCAGAGAAGTGATAAATATTTGATATGTTGCATTTTTTTAGATTAGTAAATCATTTTACATGTAGTTTTGCATTATTTTGGTTATAAATGGACTCTACACAACAGAAAATCGAGGAGCCACTTGGGAGCCGAAAGAGCCGGCTCTTTTTGGTGAGCTGAGCCAAAAGATCCGGCTCTCTAAAAAGAGCCGGAATTCCCATCACTATTATATATGTAACGGCAGCGGACTGCTGCGTGCGCGCGCCTGAGCTAGTGTCACTGTCACGTGCTCACCCTCCCTCATTCACGTTCGCGCGAACGCGCTTGCGCTACGCGCGCCGTGCTCCTCTGGCTCGGATGGGACCAGCATGACGGAGGCGAATCGGAGGTAAAGTCGGCGGCCCGACTGCAGCTGTGCGGCGGTGAGGGGGGCTGCGAGCTCCGGGGAGATGTGGGTATCCACCGGGCCTGGTGTTTAGGAAGAATCGGTACCGCCAGACACGTCTGATGCGGGAATGCGACGCCTCATTGGCGGTTAGAGACTGTCATGGTGTTAGAGTCATTTAGTGTTAATTTACAGAAACATCAAGATACACTCGTGCAGAAACACGTGCTGGTTTTGAGTCTGGGCCGTGATTGGCCCCTCCGGGTATTACAGGAAATGCTCTAAAAGGTCAGAGTGGGAAAGCCGCAGGTTGGGTTCTGATTCTCAGTTTTTATACTTCAAAGAAAAATAAATGAACAAAAACACAGTTTCTAAAATATTCCGACATCCTTTGTGTTAATCCTTCTAGACCGTAGTCCACCCGACCAATCAGATCCTGGTCCAGATCCTGGCTGATGGAGCTCATTGTCAATCAACTATCTTGGCTTTGTGTTGGTCCTCCTTCCTTTGGAGGATGGATGTCTGACGACCCTCACTTCTATACCTGTTAGGAGTTTTCTGGGCCTGGACCCAACATGATGACATTCCATTTCTAATCCACACACACACTTTTTCTTCTCCACATCCAGACAGTCAGAGAATCTAATCTCTGTTCCTTTAGCACATCATCAGTCCTGATGTCCGGTGAAGTGGGTTCTTGACAGCAGAACGTTCTCCTGGAGTCTCCTCACTGAGCTGCAGAAGAACTCATGCCTGCTGCAGATGTTCCAGAGGATCATCTGGGTTGGCTGCTGCTGGACTTTCTTCCTCACAAATGGGAGGAAATTGGGTCTTTAGGATGAAGTTAGCTTTCCTAGAAGAAATGGACTTTATGATAATGAAGGACTATCTGATCACTCTTCACAAGGTGGCGTTTATGCAAACGGAGCCAGGAAACGTATTTGTATCGTTCTCAAAACTCTTGGCTCCAGCTGTTAGGGCCTGGATCAGCTCCGTCCCGCCTGAGTCATGTGTGGTATGTTGTTCTCGTTTCAGGCCGGTGTGACACCCCCCCCCCCCCCACCACCTCCTCTCACCGTTACACTGACACCAGCCTGCAGGAGGCACACACCCGTTCTACCGGGAAGCTGGGATTTAGACGGGAAGAAGAGAAGACTCGACTAGAGAGAAGACTTTGAATCTTGTTTGTTTCTCAGCTGATCGCAGCCATGGGGGCCACGGGCTACGGCTACTACCGAGTAGTCATCTTCGTCTGCATGTTTACTGGATACTCGCTGTATTTTTTCAACAGGAAGACGTTCTCCTTTGTGATGCCGTCTGTGATGGAGGAGATCGACCTGGACAAAGATGACTTGGGTAAGAGTTGAGACGTGCTGCGGTAGGGTTGGGAACTTTTAAAACGACCTTCTTTAAGCAACAACTGCCTCGTTCTTGTTGAAACGTGTACATCTCAGACGTTTTTGCTAGACTGAGGTCAGGTTTGCGGCCCTTATATGGGCGTACTAACGTTTTATCCACATCTAGCTTCCTGCAGGTTTGTTCGTTTGAGTTTCCGAGCTGGTTGTGGCTTCACACAGAAATAAAACCACATCCATGACTTTCTGGTCTCAGCCCCGATTAGTGACTGACGGTTAACGTTGTGCTGCAGGTATGATCACCAGCAGTCAGACCATGGCCTACGCCATCAGCAAGTTCATCAGCGGCGTGCTGTCGGACCAGATCAGCGCCCGCTGGCTGTTTTCCATCGGCCTGTTCCTGGTGGGGGGCATCAACATAGCCTTCTCCTGGTCCTCGAGCGTGTCCATGTTCTCGCTGCTCTGGTTCGTTAATGGTCTGGGACAGGGCTGCGGCTGGCCCCCATGTGGGAAGGTGCTGCGTAAGGTAGGACATCATCTGGATCACAGCCTACAAACCACAGGTTCCCAAACATCTGACCCATTTAGGACAGCGGTAGGTGGAGCGGGTTGCCCAGTAAACAGAAGGTTGCAGGTTCAATCTCGGCTCCCAAGAGGGAATGCTGCTGGTGTGTCCTTGGGCGAGACACCTCACCTGCTGGTGGTGGTCGGAAGGGCCGGTGGCGCCTATGATCTGCAGCCTCGCCTCTGTCAGATGCACCGTAGCTCATCACAACCAGCGTGTGAGTGAATGATTGTGTTGTGAAGTGCCTTGGGGGGTTGTACCCTATAGAGAGCACATACATGCAGAGCACCAGTATCTGTTTAACCCTAACCCTATAAAGACCATGTGATATGAGGGTCGTTAACACACACACACACACACACACACACACACGCGCGCACGCACGAGCAAAAATCAAAACATCAAAAGGACTAAACCCCTTATAAAAGAGAGAGAGAGAGCACGTATTGGGTGTTTGTTTAAAGTGTGTGTGATGTTCTGCAGGAGCAGCTGTCCTCTGCAGCAAACAAAACGACTTCCAGGTATCTAAAGTCCTTAAACATCTCCTTAACATTTTATGTTAAAATTTACAAAAGCTCATATTTTACTGAGTTTTCTCACATGTACCTTCAAACAAAAAGATGTCCTGGCATCAGCAGCCTACGCTGGCAGGCTACATCCCACCCTCCTCAGACTACAGCCGAAGGCCGTGTAAATGACTCTGATGGCCACAGGTGGCCCCCGAGCCACGCCATGGACTCCCCTGATCTAGACAACCAAGCTGATGGGCTTTAAATCCATTTTTGGTGTTCTGTTTGCAGCCGGTGCTAGCACAGCCTGCAGGCTGATTTTCAGTTGCTTGTCAGAGCTTGTACATAAAGGATCTGCACTCTGGCGGTGGTGTTTTGCACATGGTTGTTCCCTCAGGACGTTTGGAGGCCAGGAGCTGGTCCAACCCAGCCGTAGGAAGAGTTGACTCTCTGAGATGAGACTAGTGGAGCTGCCAGAAGTGAACGGCTTACCTAAAAATCTGTTAAAAGTCTGGACTATAAATAGCTTCATACGAAGTGTGGAAGCGGTGTGGTGAGGTGTCTGGTCCTTCAGAACCTTCAGTTCCATCAGGATAAACTCTAATGTTAGAAACGACGCGCGGACTTTAGAAAGCGTGCCAGCAGGTGTTCAGTGGGCTCAGATTACAGGAGGATTTATTTATAGAGAAATCTTAGACGATCTTAAAGGTGCATCAGAGAACAAACATGCTTACGCGGTTCTGGTTCTGGTTCGGTTGCACAGCCGAGCTGGATCAGCGGACCCTGGTCACTGGAGACGCTAGGGTCTTGGCCCTTGTGGCTGTCTGTACTTGGATTACTGCACCGAGCCTTTGGCTCTGCTGCAGCGTCTCACAGAGAAGACCCGGGATGGTCCCGTTTGTTTGCAGGGTTTTTGGAGGGGAACAGAAAACTCTTTAACAGGACAGCTGAGCTAATCAAGCTCACACACATTAAAGCAGCGCAGCACGGCACTGTGGGGAGAGATCATAGTAATCTGGTTTGTCTGCAGCTCCCAGACCAGATCTGTCAAGCAGGATTAATGTCTTAATGACGTCATTTCAGGTTGAACTCCGGGTTTTCAGGAGCGATGGGTCAGAGTCGTCCGGCCAGGCCGTGGTAATCCCAGTAGTCGTATCGCTTCTCGTGAGGAGCTTTTTCAATCCAAGCAGAAAAAGATGCTTTTAAACCACAGCCAGCTTCACTAAGGTGAGCTGAGGCCCGGGTTTTCTGATTGGTTAAAATGAATGAATGAATGAAAAGTCTTTATTAATCCCAGAGTGGGAAAATTTAGATTTTAGACAGAATTTAGAGTTTTCAAAGAAAATGGATCAAAATGCAAAAATAATAACTACACGTCTACAACACTCATTTATACTAGTTATCAGCTAAAAAAGTTGATTTTGATGTGACCTGCTCACTAAAATGTCATCTAGTTTTAAGTATTGACCCTTTGCACGTGACGTTACGCCACTCATGTGACCGCCTCCTTCGCCATGATGGACGACAAAAAGACTGTTTACACCCGTAGAAACTCCAGTGAAGCTAGTCAAACAAGCCAGTTTGTAGCCTTTTATCGCTTTTATTTAGTTGATTTGACAGTAAACTGGTTTTAGCTTGCTGCGTGGTTGGCTGCACTAACAGACGAGGATGTAAACTCAACTCGTTTATTCTTTTTAATAACTTTGATGGAGACTGAGGACGGAGACGAACTGCAGCGATCAATCAATCAAGCGGACTAGCAGCCCTCAGATTTGCAGCGAACATGTTTTTACCGGGTAAGATTAACATTCATTTGTTTCACGAGGAGGACAGGGATGTGATGTGTTTATAGTTATTGATAATCCTGATGGATGGGTATTTCACCACGGATGCTGCTCTCCGTCCACTGTAGTGTAAAGCAAGATAATTATTAAAAATATTAAAGCTCCTATAGGGTGTGTTGTGATCTGTGGGGGAAACCGGAGTACCCGGAGGAAACCCACGCATGCATGGGGAGAACACGCAACTCCACGCAGAAAGGCCGCAGCTGAGCCGAGTTTCGAACCTGCAACCTTCGTGCTGCGAGGCAACAGTGCTAACCACTGCGCCACCATGCAGCCCGTGGTTGAATACTTGGTGCATATAAACTCACAACGTGATTGGATCATTTCAGTTAGTGTCCATGTAAACAGAGATTTGGGATTTCCAATTAACCAAGGCTTGAATCGGATTGGGGAAAATTGGTGCATTAAATTTTTTGTAACTCTTCTGTTTAAGTGTGTTAAATGCTTAAAAATCTGAATAATTAATGAGCGTCAGAGCCCTGTGACTTCAGAGCTAGCTCTGGGGAAAGGCCTCAGCCTCATGTTAATGGATGTTCGGCCATTTTGACTCTGAACTTTAGTTTTGTCCTCTGTGTGTTTGGATGTTAGTCATGGAATATTTTGGACAAAAGGGCAAACTGTGGTTATTGACTGCACTAACAAACCATTCAAGTAGTTTCTGCTTCTTTTTATCAGTAAATAAATTTATATTTCTGTACTCTATTTAGCTGGTTGAATGGGGAAAGGCTGTGTCCTCTTAACTGCTTGGTCAAACATGTTAGTGGGGCTTCTGGCTGGATAAGAATCTTGAGCAGGTGCATGCCTTCTCCTGTCTCCTGCCTAAGAACAGTTGCTAGAGGAGGCGGCTGCCTGTTCCAGGCTCCAATGCGACGCTGTAGTCACGCTGCTCATCGGTGGATCTCTGTTGGGGACCACAGAAACACTGCAGCTCTTTTTTGTTGACACTGCTTCGCTTTTGAGTCGCTCAACCACATTTTCCTCGCCAATAGCTTGCTGGTAGAATGGGGGAAAATTCTGTGGGTATACCATAACGCTGCTTGGCCAAAGATGGGTTGAAATTTAACATGTTGGTGTGGCTGCTAGGTAAAAAAAAAAACTAGAGCTAAAGATCTGACTGAGAATAGCAGAGCCTGTTGGGCTTCGCTGTTCCACCGCAGTCAAAGATCCACAGGTCCACCGTAGTGGACCCGGTTCTTGGCTCTGCGGAGTGTCGTCACAGCAGCGGCCTTGTGGATCTTTGACCACGGTAGACCAGCAAAGCCCGATATCCTCAGTCAGTTTACCATCCATTCATTTTCTTCCACTTATGAGTCGAGGCGTGGGGGCAGCAGCCGAAGCCGAAAGGCCCAGAAGTCCTTCTCCCCAGCCACTTGGGCCAGCTCCTCCGGGGAAATCCCAAGGCGTTCCCTGGCCAGGTGAGAGACATAGTCCCTCCAACGTGTCCTGGGTCTTCCTTTAGGCCTCCTCCCGGTTGGATGTGCCCATCTGGTTAGGCGTCCTAACCAGATGCCCGAGTCACCTCAAATGGCTCCTCTCGATGTGGAGGAGCAGCGGATCTACTCTGAGCCCCTCCTGGATGACCGAGCTTCTCAGCTCAGCCACCCTGCAAAGAAAACTCATTTTGGTCGCTTGTATCTGCGATCTCGTTCTGTCGGTCACTACCTAACGCTCATGACTATAGGTGAGGGTAGGAACGTAGATCGACCAGTAAATAAAGAGCTTCTGGCTCAGCTCTCTCTTCACCATGATGGATCGGTACAACAATTGCATCACTGCAGAAGCAGCACCAATCCTGCTCCATCTTTCCCTCACTCGTGAACAAGACACTGAGATACTAAAGCTCCTCCACTTGGAGCAGGACCTAATCCCTGACCTGGAGAAGCCATTGTAGAGGGTATTATGGTTTTAAAAACGGAGTCGGAGACAGTCGTCTTCCATCAGACTGTAAACAGTCGTTCCCCCCCTCTGTGATCATGTGGGTCTGATGCTCATTAATTATACAGAATTTTAGGCTTTTAATACACTTAAACAGAAGAGTGAGAAAAAATTCACCCCCCTCAGAGTTGTCATGAGTGTAAACTAGATAATTTAAACCAAAAACATGTTTTGGTACCAGGCTGTAAACGTGTTTTTTTTCTGCTGTGAAATTGGTATTTTTTGCTCGCTTCTGCCACCAGCCCCCAGTGGACGAGGGTGGAACTGCAGTTTATTTCACTTCCGGGTTTGCTTCAATTTTTGACCCGCATTGTGGGGGCTTGGTTTTAGATTGGGTTCTGGTTCTGCTGGTATTAGAATATCTGCTCCTTCCTTTGTCAGAGTTACTCCATGCAGACATGAACGGTCTCACCAATACCAGGGAGTCTCACTGTGGTCTGTGGTTTTCTCCACCAGTGGTTCCAGCCCTCCCAGTTTGGAACATGGTGGTCTGTGCTGTCCTGCAGCATGAACCTGGCCGGGTGTCTGGGTCCAATCCTAGTGATGGTGCTGCTGCAGTACTATGAGTGGAGGACAATCCTCACCATGTCGGGCCTTTTCTGTGCCTCCTTCTCATTCGTCTGCCTGCTGTTTGTGAAGAATGAGCCCAACGATGTGGGTCTACCCAGCGTTGAGGCAGCGTTCAAGAAGGGAGCAAAGGGTGGTGAGCAAAGACCAGCAGAGCTTTAATGTCACAATTTTGGCAGGAGTGATCTGTTGTGTGCCTAACATGGTGAGTGTGAATCATGTCCTCTCCAGCCAACGGTGAGAGCACCCTGAGGGAGTTCCTCCTCTCTCCCTTCCTCTGGGTGTTGTCTCTGGGTTACCTGGTGGTGTTTGGGGTGAAGACAGCCGCCACTGACTGGGGTCAGCTGTTCCTCATGCAGGAGAAAGGCCAAACCGCTCTCATGGGTGCGCTTTTAATCTGCTTTCTGCCACTAAGTGTTTGATTGGTCTGAACCGGAGCTGACACGTGCTGTTTTAAACAGGAAGTACCTACATGAGTGCCTTGGAGGTGGGAGGATTCGTCGGCAGCCTGGCTGCAGGTTTCATCTCAGACAGGGCAGTAGCTCAGGTGAGTAACAGGAATACTGACCGGACCTATTTCACCAGCATCCATGTTTAGTCTAAACCATTGTTTTCCTGTTCTCCAGCGAGGCCTGAGCACCCACGGCAGCCCCCGCCACGGCCTGCTCATTCTAATGATGGCCGGCATGTATGTGTCCATGTACCTGTTCAGAGTGACCATCACACCTGACACCCCGGAGGTGATTCCTCTCCTGTCCTCCCGGTGGGGAACGTTATGGTTTTTCATGAAATGTTGATGTTTCTGTTCAGGAAGCTCCTCTTTGGGTCCGGGCTCTTCATCCAGTCTCTGTTCTCCTTGGCGTGTCGGAGAAGGAGGTGCTCAAACACGCCTGAGTTCTGGCAGTTCGTTTCTGCCCAGTCTAAAGGTCGTCTGTGTTTCACTGACAGATATGGATCCTGTTCCTCGGTGCCGTGTTCGGGTTTTCCTCCTATGGACCGATTGCCTTGTTTGGAGTGATCGCGAGCGAATGTGCTCCTTCAAACTTCTGTGGGACGTCTCATGCAGTCGTGGCCCTGATGGCGAACGGTGAGTGGCACCGTCACACGACCTCCACCATGTTTGAATTCTGACATGCTTTTATGACTGACAGCTTTGCGTTTTTCCCAGTGGGGGCCTTCATGGCGGGTCTTCCCTTCAGCACCGTTGCCAAGCAGCACAGTTGGGAAGTGGCCTTCTGGGTAGCTGAGGTCCTAATGGGCGTCACCACTATCTGGTTCTTCCTCATGCGTAACATGCGCACCAAAATGGGACGGATGGTAGAGAAAATGGACTAGTGGACACGAGCCCCGCTGGGGACATCTCCTCTCCACACCAGAGCTCGGGGTGGCTGCAGCTAAACCACAGATGGAGTTACTCAGATGTAGAAGAGCACAACTGTTGGTGTTTTTAATCCTCCCCTGGTCCAGGTCACATGACACATTCATGCTGAAGACAGTGTGCCGACCTAAATGTTTTCACTGATTCTGCCTTAAGGCTTTTATTAGCGTTTCTCTGGAAGCCTTATGAACAGCCTCTGTTCAGAGAAATAGCTTACATCTGCCAGGACTGATAAGCTAACGGCTGTAATTTTAAATCAGCTCTCCCAAAGTTCCCAACATCTCATTTCCCATTTCCGTGAAGTGTGTGATCGGCGTATTCCGCTCAGAGCTACTGCGGCCTTTAGCGTTAGCATCAGTCGGGTAGCTAACGCAGCTACACTCACCGACGCTCAGAGCGAGTCAGACGCAACGAATCTTAAAATGACAGAGTTCATTGTAGTAGATGAGCAGCCTTTCTCTGGTGGAAGTCATAGGCTCCGCCCACTGCTCTGTCTCTAGGAGCTCTGCTGTGGGACACAAATGAACCCACTAATAAGAGAGCTCCTAGAGTTACTGACACATTCCTGTTGTCCTTTTGCACAGGAAGGTGCATTTTTGTCTAAATGAGGGCGATGCTAATGCTATTGTTCCTTTTTCCAGATCCTGTAGTCGTTAGCACTCATCATAACTAAACCAGTCCGGTTATCGGCAGCAGAAATCCCGCTGTCCGTGTCACACAACCATTTTTATCTACAGGACTTCAGGAACCTCCAGCAGGTTTCTGCTGGATCCACCAGAAGAGCTACACTTATCTGCTGGCTGAGATGTTTATGCGTGTAAACACCACAGGACTGCCCGTAGACAAGTGTGTGCTGCGGAATACAAAGATTATCGCATGAAGCTGTACAAACAGCTGTGAGATTAGCTGCACTGACTAGCTGTTAGCTCTTCAGTCCTGGTGACACACATCTGTTTCTGTGAACAGAAGCTCGTCACCAAATGAGGCAGGAATAACTTAAAAGACTAACACACTTTGGGATGGCCGACGGTGTCTCTGCAGCTGTTGGACGGCCTGTCTGTGGTCCACCTGGACAAACACCTTCAGCTTTGGTCTCACATCTAAAGTATTTCCATGAGCATCAAGTAGTGAGCAAAGTGAAGTTGGTGTCCTCTGGAGGAGCTTTAGGAGCCAACATGAACACCAGCAGAGTTCTGATACTGATCCAGCAGCAGAAGGTACCACCGGAGAAACGTGGTTTTTACTGTGATTGTAAGAATAAAAACATCAGAGTTTAACGTCTTTTCATTCAGATGTCTGCTCTTGCTGTCGGGTGCTCCCGTACGCGTCTCCACCCACTCACATCAGAGTTGCCTCGTAACCGAGTCATTCATCCACAGTTCAGCCGGTGTGGAGGCGGGTCTCCAGAATCAGTCACAGGTTGCAAAACCAGAACGGTTTCAGTTTCATCAATAAACATGAAATATGTAAGGAGAAGAAGTGTGTTTGTGGAGGAATAACAGGGTCTGGCACCGCGCCTTCACGAGATTGGTCGATGCTTTTCTGGTTTTGGTTTTAAACACAAACGTTTGTAATCAGCTACATGAAAAAAGATCTGGGTCCCGCTGCTGATCGACTGTGAGGGTTTGGGGTCCCCACTGACTGAAAATAAATGTTAAAGTCAGCTTTTCAGGTTGCATGAAGCTTTAAAAGGAATTTCTGAAGTTGGTTTGCATCAGCAGGCCAAGCGAGGGACGCACTCCTGCATCAGTGTGTGCAAAAGAGCTGACGCAACACTCAGGTAGATGCTGAGGCACTTACACATCAGCGAGGTCCGGCCCTGGCCCAACACACCTGGTTCTGTTAGCTAAGCCCCTCGTGTTGTACAGGCTTCAGGTGTTAGGGCAGAAACATGCAGGTTAGCGATGAAAGCACCAGGATCAGACACAACTCATCCAGACTAACAAACGTCTAAGAGGAGCTGGGACTGTGTTGGAGGTCAGAGCGGTGGCATGAACCAGCCAGGTGCCACGCTGTTGAGAGCAGCAGGAGCTGGCGATGACGTCCAGAAACCACGCCCTGGAAACTGAGCGGTCCTCGGCCACTTCCTGGGTTTTTACAAAAGCACGTCTGTCCTCACGCTCCACCACCCGACCGGCTTGGTTTTTACCAGTTTAGTCACACGAATGCCTGCTACCGGTCTGGTTTATTCTCCATTCAACACGTTGTGATGCGTTCACAAGCTTCAGGAGTTCCGGCTGATTAACACGCGGGTTTAACAGCCGCGTGCTGCTCCACTTCCTCAGTTTTCCACTAAAGTTCAAACACATTCACTGACTTTATTCTCACACTCACGGGCACCCGTAGTTTACACGTGAAACGGTAGAAACCGGGGCCTCTGGGACGTTTGGCTGTTCGTTTTGACAGCATTCACAAGCAAATGTTCAAAGTGAGCCACCAGGTGGGTTTTATTGGTTTATTAACAATCATTACACAAATACAACCAAACAAATGAACAGGTGGTACAGCCCACATAAATATGGCTACTGCTGGTACGCATCAGCCCACCAGCCGCTCACGCGGTTAAACACGCCTCTGGCTGGACCAGGACAGGACACGCCTTGCACAGCAGATCACACATGTGGAACGACAGACACGGTTCTGACCTGTCCGGTACCGGAACGATCGGCTTCAGGAGGAGAACGCACGAATACGAGTTACAAATAGGAAAAGCTCACCAACGTTCTAGAACACGGCTCAATATCAACAATAAAAGCACGAGCTGCTAGCCTAACGCCGTCCCTCACAAAGAAAATGGAATGTGGCCCACCCCTCCTCCCCATTATTACTCCACTTTAAAAACCCTCACAGATGATCGGATGATTCCCATACCCAAACGGACCGTTTTTACAAAAGAAAAAGTCTTCTCTACATTCGGCCCACTACAAATCCTGTCGTTAGAAAATACTTGATAAAAATATTCCCCTGAATTGTACAAGAAAAGAGGTCCAGGGAGCAAAACGGAAGGGAGCGCTGCTATTCTGCTGCCTCGTCCGTTTTATCAACGTCGTTCGTGGCCGGTGCCTGCAACACAGAAGCCAGGGATTACAGGTCCCACCAACAGTAGATTATTGTAATTAATACATAATCTGACACATAATCACCTCTTCATCAGCTTTGGCTTCACCGTTCTCAGCTGGATTCTCCGCAGCCTTCTCCTCAGGCTTGGCCTTCTCCACCTCCTTGGCTTTCTTGGCCTTGGCGGATCCCTTCTGCAAACACACCAGAATCACACACACACACACACACACCTAAGAACAGCCAGAGATGTACACAGGTGAGTGGTTAGCCACCGTTAGGCTGTAACCGGGCAAAACAGTCTTGTCGGGTTTACTGCTTCTAGTCCTGCTGTGCTGAAATGTCTTTGTGCCACTAGAGGGATCAGAGTGTTTACTGGGCAACCGCAGAAGAAGAAGAGCTGGTCACATGACCAAACAGATGGACTTAAACATGAAGCGGTTAGCCAACATTTTATTCTTACTTATTTCATTCTTGGAACACAATAAGCCTCACATTGGTAGGTTGGTGTCCAGTTAACCGGCTATTAACCGTTAACGGGCGTCAATGGCCGGTTAAAGACATTTTGAAAGGAGTGCATCCCTAAAAGCAGCGCTCCCAACGCCGTGACCCCCCAATGGTCCCTACAATTCTGTCATTGCTGAGGTGAGGATTATATCTGTAAACTTGACATGTATAAAATACGGCACTGCCACAATTAGACAACAAAAGATTATGTTGTTTATTCTATGAGCATTTTCTTCACCTCTCCTCCTGTGGCTGCTTTCTGCTCGAAGCACATGTGCAGTAGCGACCTTCCAGATCAGCCTTTGAATCAGAACCACCAGAGGGAGAAGACACGGCGAGTCGGCAACGTAGCTCAAACATTAAAGAGCATCTTACGAAGACGAGGGAATCCCGTAGAGTGCAGACTGCTAAGTGAAACTCTCCTTTCACGGGAGCACATTGGCGATTATGGCGGAGAACGAAGAGTCGCCTCTGTAAGCTAACCACCTGCTGTTAGCGGCTAGCACCAGCAGAGAGCTACCTGTGCTCATAGGTGTAGCAACGCCAGTAGTGGTGGTGATTTTATTACCTCTAGCACACGTATGGATGTCACGTTTTTGCACTAATGATTTATTCTAGCTGCTACGTTACCGTGTTAGAAAGCACTCCTCCTCTTCAACGGACGAGTTTGTTACAAAGCCCAAAATACTATTTTAGCTGGAAACACCGTGAGCACAAGTCATTTCTGAGTTTCTTCGGTTTTAGGAGCCTACCTCCATGTGACTGCAGCATTTGTATTAACAGCTTATAAAGGTAATTAAAGTGGTTTGATAAGCGATCATCTTGTCTTTATTACTAGATGGCACATAGCTGACCACACTAATGATGGTATATTAGAGCATCCTGGTGCAATACGCTACACTTTATCAATGACACGACTAGAGCTGGGGGTAAACGATTACTTTTAATTTTAAAATGATTACTCTGACGATTATTTTATCGAATAGTCGACTATTCTAATGACTATTTAGACAATTAATCTAGCGATTATTTTTCTATTGCAGTTAATAAAAACAAATAAAATCTCACATAAACTCCTAAAAAATTGATAAATTGTTACTGTAAGAGAATAAACACTACAGGCCTTCCATTTTGTATAACACTGCTTTTATCGTGTTGCGGTTGGTTATGTTCTGGTGACGTGTAGAACTTGGGAGTGCAGGCTGCTGCCTGAGAGGTGGTTGGAGACGGAGTGTCTCCATGCTGCTTTGTTTTGGTCACTTATGTGCGTGAGGCGAGTGGTGTTACGACCCTTCCTGGGGAGTTTGGCTCGTGTGCAAAAAGAAAGGGACAATAACGCGGGATTTAAAAGTTAAAATGATGATCAGGTTTATTTCCAACAACAAAACATAAATCTTTCCATCCACAGGTTGGGAATAATAAAATTTATTCTGCCTGTGGGGAATTAAAACAAAAGCACAAACAAGTAGGGATGTCCCACTGGGCAAAGATTACAGAGTTCTGGACCAAAATAAGGATCTCCAAAGGTCCAAACTCTAAATTGGGCGGTTAAACCAAACTCAAGGTGATATTTTAAACTAAACCGAAAACCCACAACACTCTAAATGTAATAAAAGGGAAATCTACGCCACAAAAAAGATGAACTCTAAACCAAAACGTAATAGCTTATCCAAACACATGAAGCTGTTATCGAAAATGCTAACAGTAGCTTTACCAACGTTAAATTCAAGTTACTAAGTTTAAATAAACCAAAAACACCCAGCAGCAAACAGACCAGCACGGAGGAGAGACTGCTACCACCAAAACAGCTCTCCTAATGTCTGAAAGAAGCTCCTTTATGAAGGGAGAAACGCTCCCGGTGATTTTCTACATCTGCGGTAGAGACGGAGCAGCGAATCTGACCCCGGAAGTTGTTGTCCGTTGCCGGGAGACGAAGGCGGGCAAAACAGGAAAGGAATCTAGTAGCGGACGGGCGTTGTTCCGGGTCTTCTGTATTTGGCGGAGATGTTAGTGAAGGCGGAGAAGAGGGCGAACTAGAGTAAAAACAGGCAGTTTCCTCTATTTGCAAACTCCTGGGGATGCAACAAGTGGGCGCGGTGCGTCGACTTCTGGATCTGACGTAGACAAATTTTTAGAATCGAGCCGTCAGCGTCATCGACGCTTTGCTACAGCCCTAGACATGACTAGTTGACTACTAAAACAGTGGTTTGTGGCAGCACTAATAAAGTCTCAACAGTACAGACACAAGTGTGTTATACCTCCGTACGTGTGTAAGTTTGTAAAGAATCACTCCTGGTGTTAGCATGCGGGTCCTGGCTGGTCTTGGACACACTGAGCTAAAACACCAGGTGGAATGAGAAAGCCTCCTACCTTTGGTTTGGGTTTGGGCTCTGCCTTTGTGGGTTCAGGTTTCTGTGTAGAAACAAATACTAACGTGAGCCTCTCATAGTTCTGCTAACAGGAAGTGTTCAACCAGACAGGATGTGCTGCTCCGTACTCACATCCTTCAACCTAAGAGATCTCCTCTTGGGCTGCAAGGTGAGCAGGTGGGCGGTTATTACCAACAACCAGTCACAATCACATTCATGCACAACCTGCGGGGTTTATGGATGGACATTCCAAATAAAAGTAGAACAGACTGATTCTTACCGCAGACTCTCCTCCTGCAGCTGCCTGTGGAGACAAAAGAGACCAGCTCAGCAATGGGGTTCAACAGAACTATCTATCATTACAAATCAGCACATTTATCCAATAAATAGAAATGATATCGCACATAACTGCAGACCTTCACATCACCAGAGCCTGGAGCAACAGTTTAGTCCTGACCAAACACCTGGGCCCAGGCTGTTTAATGAGGTTGTGTTGTTGCCATAAACTGGTTCTGGGCCACCAGTACTGACTGTGATTTACCTACAGGACTGAAACGGGCTCTGTGAAACAGTACACGCTCACGAGTGCTGACTCCCATACACATGGAGCTTTGTTTACACCTCTGTTGGTGTTCCAGTCTCCTTTTAGGGAATTCTTCTGTTTGTTTGAACTTTATTCTGCAGCTTTTATTCTTGGTTTCTATTGCGTGAGCGCGAGCTGTGTGCTCAGTCCTGGCTGTGGTCATGCAGATTTACACGTGCCATTAATATGCAGTGTTTAAAAGTAAATGCATGTCAAACGTGCAGCAGCAGAATTAATCCTGCAGCTAACTTCACAAAGATCTGCTCAGGAAGTAAGCATCCAGCGTCAAATCGGATTAGATGCTAAACCCCTCACTGCTGCTGACTGAACCATCCTCTGCTTCTCCACAAACCCTGTCCCGTTAGCGTCATTTGGAATCCTAGCATGGCCGAGGATGGAAGGGCTCTCCTATTTATTGGCTGTTTCATGTAAGAGGAAACTGCATGCTTTGATGTTTAGCCAGATCTTGAGGAGTTTTTTTTAAAGAAAATGTGACCTCATCACTATAATAAACATTGTTTCCTGTTTAGCAACAAGCCAGTTTGTTTCTTTCATAAAAGAGACGGAAAAACATCAAATGTAGATGACTTTATATCTGTTGGCTCTATCGGGGTTATCTTATTACTTACGAGGCTATCCTACTTTAATAGGTTAAGGCTGTTCACACGTTAGAGCACATCTCCCATCATCAGATTAAATGTGTATCTAATCAAAAATAAGTTAAAGCTGATTAGGATTTAGACCTATTTTTCACCCGTTTACATTATTCTAGAAAAAACAGACAGCATAGGTCAGTTTTATTAAATATACCCAGGTAGGCATGTGTTCATCCTATCTAAAGCTTCAGAGCCAAGAGATGTAAAGAAAGTCCAGCAGTTAGATAAATGCAACGATATTACAAATTCACATTTTAGGATTCTATGAAACAACGCAGGACAGAATGGTTGTTATAGCGCTAAATTCACGTTTTCTTCACTAAACTCAGAAACAGCTTTCTGCTGCTAAACCAAACAGCCAATCGTAGTAGAGCTTTTTTAGCCAATCAGAGGCTAGAAAGGCGGGATCTTCCTTACACATCCTAGGATTTCAAATGACGCGTGACGTTAAGTAGCAGCGCACCGGCACCAGACAACTTCCTCCTTTCGGTAGACGGATTAACGATCCCGAATCCTGCGCTGAAACCAACGTCACCACGTGGCGCTCTTCCCAACCACAAGCAGCCTACCACGTAGCCCCGCCCCCACCCGTTCGGCGGTAACAAACGGGACTGCGTTCCCGCCACTAATTTGAAGAGTAACGGAGATGCTCCGTGACTCCGTTGGTCTGGACGCAAAATCTCCCCGAAGCCCCAGCAACAGGAGCCTCGCCATTGCATAAACTGCCCCCCCCCCCCCCCCCCAACACGCACACATACATTATCGTTACATCAGATTAATAACGGCGCGCGCGCACCGACAGCGTCCAGAGCTGACGTGCTTTATCGATGTTTAGAGAAACACGTAAACGGCGCTTCCCTCCACGCACCAACCCTAACCCCGCGCAAGAGCTTCTTTCTTATTCCAGGTTTTTACTGAGAAACTTCTGCGACCTCCGAAGAAAACAATCGATATGCCGCCAACTTTCTCTGCGTAATGCCGCCTGATGAGCCTGGTGCACATAAAAAGCGCTTCTGCTGCGTCCGGACGCGTCTGTTTCCTGAAGCGGTCCGCGGTGAGGTGAAAATCCCTTCACACAAAGATCAGCGGTGCAGAGAGAAGCCCCAGCTAGCCGCCATCACAACACAACGCATCGCGCGCTCCATGCAGACGCAAGGCTGCTGCGCGGCCGGCCGGAGGCTGCTGCAGCGCAGGTCCGACACACGGAACCAACATGCACCAGAGTCCTGTCCAACTCAACCTTCGTTACAGCTACAGCATCACTGAATGCACAGAGCGGTGCGGCTACTCACTTTGCTCCTTTTAGGCATTGCTTTGTGGGGACTTTTCAAATAAAAATAAAAAACAACAGATCCGTGTTATCTCACTAATCCAGCTGAAACTACTGGGTAACGCTGTGCCACTACAGGATACGGCGCAGCGAGACGTTTGAGTTCCACTGGAAGAAAAACTAGCTGAAACCGGATTGGATCCTCCCCTCCCTCCCTATTCAAACCCTTGCGCTTCCGACATGATTGACGGTTCTACACCCCGCCCCTCGCGCCTTCTGATTGGATGTCACGGCGAAGAACGTCACAATTTCAAATCTTTGCTCAGACCTGTGTGGTTACGTCACACGTCAATCATCCGACATTGCGTGTGGCCATCTGCTATTTCAGGGCAGAATTAGTGGAGCTTCATGTTTGACTTCATGTAATCCTTTTGTTTTCTCATCTGCTGTTTCTGCTCTCGTTCTGAGTTCTTTTCTGAAAACACAAGTGAAAGCAAACCACCTCCTGCTCCATCAGAGCTCCAGTAGCCTGGACAAGCAGTTTAGACAAGGAAATAGGCGACAGTTGTACAGTTCCATGACTTTGTGCGTTCTTATGCAACCACTTTGTCATGCAGCTGTGTGTGCGTGACTTTCAGAGCGTGCTCACGTGGTTTACATCATCTTGGGTGTAATCACTTTCCTCTGTAACCAGCAAAAAGACAGGAATAAAAATAATCAAATTATTTATTGAAAGGCCCGAGGAATATAACTTAAAGGTCAACTATGTAAGAATTGAGTAACAGCGACATCCTGTGGTCATATTTGGTTACTGCAGTTTCTGTGAGTTGCCAAGTAGTGATGGGAAACTAAAGTTTATGTTTTAACCATTAAATACATTGTTTTCACAGTTATGAACTACTTAAAAAAGAAAATACTATACTATACCAAGTTTATTTCTATAAATCATTTTAAAACAGCATGACAGCTGACCAAAGTGATGAACAACGACACAACAATGATAAAAAAAGCTCAGCATAAAAAATCAAACAGTGCGATACAATTATAAAGGGAGTGTTCAAAGCAAGATAATATAATATAGTAATATATAATATGGTAGAGAAAAACATAGGGCAACATTAGAATCACAAACCTAGAAAATGTATAAACCTGTATGTTTTACATCAGAACTTGGCTATTATAAAATGAATATTGAAGGAATGCATTCACTTGGCGAATAACAACAAAAATAAATCTACATCTCCATGTTGGCCTGGAGACTCCGAGATTCCCTCATAGAAGCTGGCAGTAGTTCCCACGATGAAGGAAGTCTGGTCTGTGGATGGACGTCTGCTTGCCCAGCACGACGATCCACCAATCAGAGGATGGGTGGAGTCTTTAAAGATGAATGATTGTGATTATTAATTGTGATTACAATATTGACCAAAATAATCAACCAAAATAATAGTGATTATTTTGGTTGATTATTTTGGTTGTAATCGTGCAGCCCTAAAGGTTGCCAACTCCTGGATTAGAATAGTAACAAGGTTTTTTTTCGTTTAATCCATGTCTTTATTTATTATTATTTTATTTGTGTAGTGGTGATTCCTTGTTTGTCCAACTGATTTCCTTAGGTTTTAAATTCTTAAGCCACTGCTGCACTGAAGTGACATCTTGTACACAGGCAAAAGAAGTCCAATGTCCAAATGATCTCAACTGGTGAATATTTTTGGTGTGTATTCATCCAACTTGGAAAGTATTGTAACGTAGATTGCCAGAAGGAGTTTCAGGAGGAAACAGGTCTCTGCTACCGCTGTGGGGAATCGGGTCACTTGGCCAGGGACTGCCCAGCTCCAAGTCCTTAGCCCCGATCTGGACAGCAGAGGCCACCAGCTTCGGGAAACGCCAGCGGGATGGGGCAATAAAGGGACTCCCACCTCGTACAGCATCGCCCCCTTGAAATTAACCTGCCATCAGTAATGGCCGAGGAAATGGGTTTGGCGGGTGAGCAGGGCACACTTAGCGGGATTCAGCCGCAGCCCAGCCTGGCAGATGGTGACAAAAACTTCCCGCAAATTGTGGACAGAATGCGCAAAGTCTTTGGCGTGAACCAGCAAGTCATCCAAATAGACCACACAACGGCTGCGAAAAATCTCCTGCAGAACCTGCTCCATGAGTCTTTCAAAGGTAGCCGGAGCATTACACAGACCAAACGGCATTACTCGAAACTGCCACAGTCCCTGTCCAATAGTAAATGCCATTTTAGGTCTGGCCTCCGGTGCTAACTCCATTTGCCAATACCCGCTGCGCAGATCCAAAGAGCTGAACCAGCATGATCCGGCCACATAGTCCAGCGCATCATCAATGCGGGGCAAGAGTCTTTGCAAGTCACAGCATTTTGCCTCCTGTAATCCACACATGGCCGCCATCCACCCCCTCTCTTCTTCACCATGACCACAGGTGCAGCCCAGGGGCTGTCTGAGGGCTCGATGACCCAGTTGGCTGCCATGTCCTTCATTAGTCCCTCTGCCGCTTGGCGTTTGGTTAATGGCAGTCGATGAGGATGGAGCCATACAGGAGGAGCATCCCCTGTATCGATACAGTACTGGACCAGGCTAGTCTGAGTGCAGTCCTCCTCCCGAGCAGCAAAGATGTTCCCGAACTCCTTCAGTAATTGGCTCAACTGCTCCTGCTGCTCATTGAGGTGTTCCCCACTGTGTTGCTCCAATGCCTCCATAGCAGCTATGGACTCTGGTGTCAGGGATACTGTTGGAGGAGACGTTTCCAGTACAGCCTCTTGCTCCCAGCAGCCTTCCTTCAGCGACTGGGCCGCCCTGGTTCCCTGTAGTTTCCTTTGAAGATCACTCCCCTCCTGAAGAGGAATCACCTTGGCACCTATGTGCAAAGCAGTCCCACAAACAGCAATGCATGCCCCCCAATGGGTCAGTAGATCCAAGCCGATGATGTAGTCATCCCAAACATCAGCCAGCCAGAACTCATGCTCAGCCTGATGCGGTCCCACCACCACCTGCAACAGTCTTTTTCCCGTCATCATGTTTTTTTCACCCGTAACTGTAAGCAAGGCAGTCTTAGTGGGACTCCACCCCACCGAAAGGGAACTCTCAGTCTCTTGTAATAATCCCTTCCCGATCAAACAGATAGTGGACCCCGTGTCCACCAGTGCCTTGCATCGCTGTCCACCGATAAAACAGTTGAAATATAGTCCATGAAGTGGCCCATAGCAACCTATAGATGGCAAGTTAATTTCAAGGGGCGATGCTGTACGAGGTGGGAGTCCCCTTATTGCCCCATACCGCTGGCGTTTCCCGAAGCCGGTGGCCTCTGCTGTCCAGATCAAGGCTGAGGACTTGGAGCCAGGCAGTCCCTGGCCAAGTGTCCCGGTTCTCCACAGCGGTATCAGAGACCGGTGGATGGCCTCTGTTGCGGGGTCTGACCAAGCAGGGACTGGCAAACTTCTTCCACCTCCTCTGGCATCGCTCCCTGTTTAGCTGACCTGACCAGCAAAGGTCGCCCCAACAGTCCAACAGGCATCACTTCCTCTGCTTGCTCAGCTCTCCTGAGCACGTCAGCCATGGTGGTGGGGAAGGATAGCTGCACATGCTGGCATAGCGGCTCCGGCATCAATCCTCGCAAGAGTACGTGAAGACTCAATTCCTCTCTGGCACTAGCAGGGAAGGCAGGATAGCCTTGCCGAGCATGGAACTGGATATCAGCAGCATAGGCCCCCAGGCTCTCTCCATGCCCGTGCCGTCTGCTGTTCAGCTGCTCTCTGCTTTGTTCTCCTGAGACTCGTTGCCCAAACCGTCTATCCAGCGCTGCCATGATGGCCTGCTAATCACAACGGTCCTCCAGAGCAAGGTCCACCAGAACCTGAAGCGCTCCTTCCTCCAAAGTGAGCGCCAAATGGACCGCCGTTTCTTGATGGCTCCATCCCTCATGACAGGCAGCCAGCTCCACCTGAGCGAGGTAAGGCGCAAGGGGTGTGGCTCTGCTGAATCATGGTAGCTTAACCGGAGTTCGGTTGAAGCTGTCTCGTAGCGCCGCCGTCACTGGAGATGTAGGCGCCACTGCAGGATACAGCACCCGTAGCTGATGAATTGGCCGTGGAGCGTTCATTCCATCAGGCTGGCGGTGTGCTTCAGCCTGGCACCTTGCCATAGCTCTTCCTGCAGCATGCTGTATGCTCGAGCGAGGCAATCAATCTTACTGGCAATCTGCTCCATCTTTATGTCGTTCTAGACAATGTGCAAATCCCACTCCTGACACCAATGTAGCGTAGATTGCTGGAAGGAGTTTCAGCCAATGAGCACAGACACTGATGTAAAATTCAACAACTTTTATTGTAACACTGAGCAGCTCCCCGCTCCATCTGCCAGCATAGAACACCAACTTACGGTGTGAAAGTAATACCAACTGACAGCAACACATATAAAACACTAAACATAAGTAAAACAATGCCAACATAACCCAGCACAAAAAAACTGTACAGAACACACCGAAAATGGAGCAAACAACTGTGATTTACTCCCACAATGCACCACACCGCTGCTTAGCTTGGCAGTGGGCAGGGTCACTACAGTATTATATACATCTCCATCTCCTGCTGCTTCTCCTGCTCTGGTAAAAAACCATAGGCCCACCCCAGTGCATGCTGGTCCAACACCAGTCCCCATATTTATAGAAAACAAAACACCTATTTTCTTCCTGGCTGATTCTCACAGGCTAAACAAAAATAAATAAATGAAATCATCATTAACCAACAACTAAACCTTATAAATAACCAACAGCTGTAAGTAACACAAATAGCCCCAACAATCTAGTTTATTTATATTTATGTGCTGTGGCCAGCACTTTGAGCTTCTGTAGAGGGTTGTGGAAGGCGTTTTTAAATAAAACCTTGATTGATAGAGACATCCTACACTGACCCCTAGTGGTCAGCTCGTAGAACTGGAGGACCCAGTGTCAGAAACATCTGGAGTCTCTTCACTTTACAAAATCAGATCCAACTCAACAATGTTGGATCTGATTCTAGGAATTCAAATAGTTAACTCTGGGATCACCATAGCAACCAGGTCTGTGACAAAAACAACAAAAATATCAATAACAGATTAATTATTTAAAATTACAAAAGCAAATTAAATAAATAAACTAATATGACTAAATAACTGACTAAATAAATAAATTATAGGTTTCCTGAATTCATGAAGACAAATATGGAGAATAAAAGAAACATAAATAAATAAAAAAATAAATAAAAATACCTTTTACTTCCCTTTCAGGTTTTCTATACTAATGAGGGTTTGTGTTATGAAACAGTTTCATTAATAAAATCCGACCAAATCTCGCTGCCCCACCTTTGTGTCCTGTCTGCAGCTGGAGGTGTTGTTGCTAGGTGACAGGGAGATAAGGCTGAATAGGTTGAACTTTGCTCTCTGTGTCAGTTTCCCTCTCACAGGTTGAGTCTCACCTGCTGATCCAGGAAGTGAAGCCGTGGTCCACCACCGAGTCATCAGCTGCCCCAGTAAGTCCTTCCAGCTGTGGATGGATCAGAAAACAAGTTTCATTTAGATTCAGAGAGAATAAATAATCAGTGGTTTTTGTGTCTGAGATCTTAGACCTGTGATGTAACTTCCTTCTTCACGAGCATTTTTTAAAAATATGAACAAATGATGTTTTATTTGAACATATTTACAGGAGTATTAATTTATTGTTGTATAAATGTCTTGTATCAGTCAGGTTAGCGACACTAACATGGATGTTTGCTGGAATTTCCTGCTCAGCCTTTTCATCATCTGGACCCGCCCATACGGAGGTCAGTATTTATTTATGCGTGTGTGTTCTGTGCTTAATTCGGTAAACGTTACGTTTAACAAACATATAAAGATGACATGAGTAACATCAGTTTATGTTTGTCTGATTTGGGTTGATAGCTGGTGCAAAACCAGGTAAAAGGGTGGAAATATGGAAGTTTTGTTTTTGATTCCCACTACAACATGAATATATGCTGATTTTATGACAGAATGTACTTTTTAGTTTCACTGATTCTCTCAGTTAAATTCCTGAATTTTCCTTCAGCCAGATCGAATCTGATCAGTTGACTGATTCACTATTTATTTATTTATTTATTTAGTCTTTATTTAGCCAGGAAGGTCCCACTGAGATTAAACACCTCATTTCCAAGGGAGTCCTGGCCAAGAGGCAGAAAAAGTTACAGTTACAAAGTTACAGTTACACAGACATTTTATATACTGTTACAGAAGGCAGTTACAACACAGGGAATCCGTCTCAAGGGTTAGGGTTAGGGTTAGTAGGTCTGGTTTTAAATGTATTCAAGGAGATAAACTGGGTTAATTTCCAGTTTTCCTGCAGCCTGGTCCATGCAGAAGGAGCAGAGAGAACGAAAGCCCTTTAGCCCAGATGAGTGCGAGCAAACAGAACACAAAGTATCAGCTGATCGTTTGTACGCAGACTGTGAGAAGTTACACTTCTCTGTGAGATTAAGGCCCTGTCCACACGTAGCCGGGGATCTGCCAAAAAGTAGATATTTTTCTACGTTTTGGCCTGTCATCCACACGAAAACGGAGTTTTTTCACACGAAAACGGATCTTTTTAAAAACTCCGGCCAAAGTGAAGATCCGCGTTTTCTCCGTTTTGGGTGTCTGCGTGTGGACAGACAAAACCGGAGTTTTAAGGTCCGCAACGTCACTTTCCGCGACAAAAAATGCTGACATCACGTGTGTGACCTGTGTTTACACTAGCCGACAGCATGGATGCCCTCAGAGCTGCGCTCGCTTTATCAATTGTCCAAGCGCTTTTTGCTTGTTTGTTTTTGCAAGCGGAATTACTGCTCCTTGCGGAAGACCACAGACGAAGGACGAGGTTAAGAATGGGGGAAGTACTGCCGCCTACAGGTCTGGCATGTCCTTAACAACGTATTTATCCGGGTACGTGTGGACAGAGTTTCTTTATAAAACGAGGTGGTGTGGATGCAAGTTTTTGGAGGGGCGGATATTCGTTTAACAAAAAACCCGGCTACGTGTGGACTAGGCTTAAGTTACAGATGTAGGTGGGTAGTAATCCAAGCATGGCCTTATAAATGAAGGTGTACCAATGTTCCAACCTCCTGGTGGACAAAGAAGGCCATCCCACTGGAGAACACAACTCACCATGATGGGTCAGTGGTCTACAGTTAGTGATAAACCTCAGCGAGGCATGATGCACCACATCAGTCTTACCAAGACACTGTGCTGAGGCATTCATGTACAAAAGGTCTCCATAATCCAGATTAGACTAGTCGTTTTTTGGTCTCCAGTGGAGCAATCACAGCAAACCTTCGGTCTTTATTCAGGCCTCTGAGTGCTGGGATCTTTATACTTCCTGTTTGATATTTTCTGTCAAAACAAATCTTCAATTAGTTATGACTATGACTTTATCCAGCAGCAAAATTATTTCATTCTATAGTTCTTTATCAAACAGTGTATGCTGAGACAAAAATGCAAATCATGAGTCAAACACATAAGATATAAATATTTATTAGACATGATAAAACAATTTACGGCCCATTTTACTTTAAAAGGAAAAGTTAGTTATTTTACATACATATACATATATATATTAAAGCAGGAAATGCAGCCAGATTTGGACTAATTTTTCTGATATTGCAATTCAAAGGAAGAGTGTGGAATATAGAAAGCATTAAGTCTATTTTCAAGCAGGCTCTACAAATTTAATTGTATGATTATCATAGCTTTTCTGTTCCCGTAAATAATTGTGTCTAAAAATATTTGACTCAGAGTAAATTTTTGTGATTTAAATTTAGTTTTGTTTCTCTGTTTTATGTTGGATAGTTAGAAGTTATTTAAAGAGATACTTTTTCATATTTTTAAATCCTTTTCTTGTGCCATTTTGTGATAAAATGACCCTTTAGGGTTAATGAAAAGTCACTCAGACCCCGCCCCCTCTGTAGCCAGAATGTCACACTTGCAACTTCAGAGTTGTGGGCCGCTGTTTAGCTAACATACTTGGTGCTGCAGTCTGCTTCTAGCAGGTTTCCTGCATGTTTTAGGTCATGAACACATCTGATGTTTGATTTAGTGACGAATCCCTTCTAAAGACGGCTGGAGAGATGTTTCACACAGAGTGTAAAAGGTTGGACTTGGAGTTGGCTTTTCTAACTCAGCTTTATTTTCCGGTATCTGCAGGTGCACACTTTTTACAAAAGTCCCCCCCCCACCTCCATACGGCTAACGTACAAAGCTTCTGTTGTAAAATATAACAGGACGCGATTAACCTAACGTCCAAACTGTGTTGCATTTATTTAATGTAAGTTAAATAAATTGCAATGTACACTACAGTGTATCACTCACCCCTTCACACACACATTCACTACACTGTAGCCACAGCTGCCCTGGGGCGCACGGACAGAGACGAGGCTGCCGAGCACAGGTGCCACTGGTCCCTCTGACCATTACCAGCAGGCAAGGTGGGTTAAGTGTCTTGCTCAAGGACACAACAGCAGTATTCTCTGTCCAGAGTTGGGATCAAACCTGCAACCTTCCGATTATCGGACAACCCGCTCAACCTCTTGAGCTACTGCTGCCCAAGTGTACCATACAATCAAAAGACTGCCATGAAAGATACCGTCTTGCAATGGGCATGTTAGAGTCTTTCATTTGGTGCAACCATTTCAGTGCCCAATGATCCATTTTCAGGGTGAAATATCACCCCAGGAGATATCACAGTGTAGCATACCAAAGGTCAACAATTTGGTTTCCTTTTGCCACTGTAAGGTTCAGAGGTCATCACACGGAAGTGTCCAGGTTGTTTCATCTTCCTGGAATATTGTGTGACACATCTTAACTGTCTGGTCACCAAACCAGAAAACACACTGCTCTATGACCTTGTTACCAAGAAGGCAAGCCATAATAAAGTCCTTTTCCTGACCCTTATCTGAGCTGCACAACCAAGGTCCCATGTAGAAGACGAGACTTTTACTCTCTGAATACAATTACTTTTAGTTGGTCTCATAAAATGATTCCTTTTAACCTACAAGTTTACAATCATAAAATGAATTTAATTGTTTTTCCTAAACTAATGATACATGACAAGATATGAATAATGAGATATGGTGTGGTGGATGTGAGGTGTTGTGATGGAAGCTAGATGTTGTAGCAACCTTTCTTTGTATCTGAGAGAAATTGTGAAGTCTGGGTTGCAACAGAATTTGTGGTTTATAACTAGAGTTGTTTATTTATAAACCTCATCAGACACTGAACCAATCCACGTGTTGATCTCCCGATCCCTCCTACCCTCACTCGTGAACAAGACCCCGAGATACTTAAACTCCTCCACTTGAGGTAGGACCTTTCTCCCGACCCGGAGTTTGCAAGCTACCCTTTTCAGGTCGAGAACCATGGTCTCAGATTTGGAGGTGCTGATCCTCATCCCAGCCGCTTCACACTCGGCCACGAACCTACCCAGCAAGAGCTGAAGGTCAGAGCTGGATGAAGCTAGGAGGACCACATCATCCGCAAAAAGCAGAGATGAGATTCTCCTGCCACCGAACTCGACACACTCCACACCACGGCTACACCTAGAAATTCTGTTCATAAAGGTAATGAACAGAACCGGTGACAAAGGGCAGCCCTGGTGGAGTCCAACCCTCACCGGGAACAGGTTTGACTTACTACCGGCTATGCGGACCAAACTCACGCTCCTCTGTCAAAGGGACTGGATGGCCCTTAACAGAACGCCACCCACCCCATACTCCTGGAGCGTCCCCCACAGGGTGCCTCTGGGGACACGGTCATAAGCCTTCTCCATATCCACAAAACACATGTGGATTGGTTGGGCAAACTCCCATGCCCCCTCCATCACCCTTGCAAGGGTATAGAGCTGGTCCACAGTTCAAGGGTCAGGACAAAAACCACATTGCTTCTCCTCAATCTGAGATTCAACTATCGATCGGACCCTCCTCTCCAGTATCTAGGAGTAGACCTTTCCAGGGAGGCTGAGGAGTGTGATCCCCCTATAGTTGGAACACACCCTCAGGTCACCCTTCTTAAAGATGGGGACCACCACCACCCCAGTCTGCCACTCCACAGGAACTGCCCCCGATGACCACGCAATGTTGCAGAGACGTGTCAACCATGACAGCCCTACAACATCCATAGCCTTGAGATACCCAGGAAGAATCTCATCCGCCCCCGGGGCTCCGCCACTGTGTAGTTGTTTGACTACCTCAGCAACTTCTACCCCCGAGGTTGGACAGTCCATCCCCAGGTCTCCCGGCTCTGATTCCTCCTCGAAATGCGCGTAGGTGGGATTGAGGAGCTCCTCAAAGTATTCCTTCCACCGCCCGACAATAGTCCCAGGTGACGTCAGCAGCTCCCCATCCCCACTGTAAACAGTGTGAGTGAGTTGCCTTCTTCCTTTCCAGAAACGCCGGACAGTTTGCCAGAACCTCTTCGGCGCTGATCGATAGTCTTTCTCCATGGCCTCACCAAACTCCTCCCATGCCCAAGATTTTGCCTCGGCAACTGCCACTGCTGCACCCCGCTTGGCTATCCGGTACCTGTCTGCTGCCTCCGGAGACCCATAGACCAGCCATGCCCTGTAGGCCTCCTTCTTCAGCCTGACGGCTCCTCGAACCCCTGGTGTCCACCAGCAGGTACGGGGGTTGTCACTATGACTGGCACCGGCCACCTTGCAACCACAGCTAGCAACAGCCGCCTCAACAATCGCAGAGTGGAACAAGGCCCACTCGGAGTCAATGTCCCCCACTGCTCTCGGGACGCAGTCAAAGCTCTGCCAGAGGTAGGAGTTGAAGACCGTCTTGACAGGTTCTTCTGCCAGGCGTTCCCAGCAGACCCTACTATGCGTTTGGGTCTGCCAGGTCTACGCGGCATCTTACCCTGCAATCTGATCCAACTCACCACCAGGTGGTGATCAGTTGACAGTTCCGCTCCTCTTTTCACTCGTGTCCAAAACAGACGGCCGCAGGTCAGATGATACGACTACAAAGTCTATCATCGACCTGTGACCTAGGCTGCCCTGGTACCAAGTGTACCGATGGGCATCCTTATGTTCGAACATGGTGTTCGTTATGGCCAAACTGCGGCTTGCACAGAAGTCCAATAACGAAGCACCACTCAAGTTCAGATCAGGCGGGCCTTTCCTCCCAGTCACACCCCTCCAGGTCAAGCTGTCATTGCCCACGTGAGCATTGAATTCCCCCAGCAGGACAATGGAGTCCCCTGATGGAGCACTATCTAGCACTCGTCCCAGGGACTCCAAAAAGGGTGGGTACTCTGAACTGATATTTGGCCCATAAGCACAAACAACAGTCAGGACCTGTTCCCCAACCCAAAGGTGCAGGGAAGCTACCCTCTCGTCCCCCGGGTTAAACCCCAACACACAGGCAGAGAGTCTTGGGGCTAACAAAAAGCCAACCCCAGCCCTCCGTCTCTCACCCGGAGCAACTCCAGCAAAGGAGAGTGTCCAACCCCTCTCAAGGACTTGGGTTCCAGAGCCAATGCTATGTGTCTAGGTGAGTCCAACTATATCTAGCCGGTACCTCTCAACCTCTGTCACAAGCTCCTGCTCCTTCCCCGCCAGAGAGGTGATGTTCCAAAACAGGAAATTGATGTTAACTTTTGACCTCATTTTCCACCTGCGAACGAGTGAAAGGTAGAGCTAGTGGTAAAATTGATCGGTTTTTGTTGCCCAAATTTCCACAGGTTCAGTCAGAAATGAATGAATCTTTGGAAGTGATCTCAGACCCACAAAAACCTATGGATCTGGATGAAGGGAGTCAACCCTCAACTGCTGCAGCAGTCGAGGGTTTTGCCGCTGGAAATGCTAACACTAACATTAGCTAAACTTGCAACACTATAGATGGTTTTCTGTGTGGCTGTATGTGTTTATGATTTCATGGAAAAGTCAGTGATTGTTCATATGTTTATGATGTATATTAATGATTGTTTCAGGTGTTGTTGAGGTTGTGTGCATGCATGTGTATCTGCTAGTGTTGAAGGTGTTTTAGAGAACAATAGGTAAGCATGACCACTTCCTTCATTGCACCCTCAACAAAAAGGCTAGCTCCTTCATAGCACCTGCAGAAAAAAATTTCTGGAGCCGCCACTGCTCCGTTTGTTCTTTTTCAACACCTAAATAATAAAATACAGATTATAGTGTTATTTTATTCAAAGTAGTAAACTTTATTGTCCACATGGGGAAGCAGGATTTGCAGCACAGTAGCAGTCAGGCTCTCATTAAAGGAAAAACACATAAAATAGACAGCAACAGAGGAGAACACTGGCACATTACCCACTGGGCTTGACCCAGCCAGCTGGATGACCAGCATCCACAGTTGGGGTTGAATACCAGTTAATAAAGAAAAGATGCCTGATCATATTCTTCTGCCTGTAGAGATGGTTTCTGTTCTGTCCAGCTGTCACACAGGAGCTTAAGCTGGAACCGATGAACTCATATGTGCTTCGAGACTCAGATGTTGGATTCAGAGCCATGGTTCAGGGGTCTTGGGTGATCATGACATGGTTCGTCAAGGAGACTCAGGTCCTTACAGTCCGTGCTCCCGCTGAAGTCATCCCATCATCGGACCTGTATTCTGCCAGGATCTGCTCTACTGAGGGCCCGAACTGTGTTGACTTCACCATGCATAACGTCACACGTGACCAGGCTGGTCCAGTCACCTGCAACGTACAGGGACCCTACAAGCCTCAGACAGCACAGCTGCATGTACAAGGTGAGCTCAACACCACCTGTCCCTGTTCAGGGACGTTTCGCATGTGTGTTCATTCCTACTCCCATTTTTACTTGGATTTGTTCTTAGGTTTCTTTCTGATCTGAGTCACATACTCACTAACTAATAGGCACAATTAGTCCTTTGTTAGTACCTACTCAGTGTAGCACAGTTTGGTCCGGTTCCAAGGCATTTCCACCAGGGGTGATTCTAGCATCAGAGGTTTAGGGGTGCTGAGTGCCCAGAGAGTTCTGCCAGGCAAAATAAAATGGAGCAGTTCTTCAGCAGTTTCTGATATCAACAAGCAGGTAAACTGGTAACACACACACACACACACACACACACACACACACACACACACACACACACACACACACACACACACACACACACATGCGCGCACAGCAAGGGCACGGGGTGAGGTGGGGGATTGGAAAACAGTAGGTGTGAGCAGAAGCGCTCTCGGAAATTCTTGCCTGATGTGAACAGAGGAGGAGTGGGCAAAGCGCAAATTTTGTGAGTGATTCACTTCACTGCGCTTCGCAGCTGGTGTGTTCAGGGCGTAACGCAGGAGATTGGTGTAGGACAGTGATCCCCAACCAGGGGTCCGCCGACCCCTAGTGGTCCATGAAAGCATTACAGGGGTTATGCGGAAAAATGAGCTGGGTCCAGCTATCCGAGGGGCATTTTCGTAGCCCAAGCAGAACCCCCCCCCTAATGGGGGTTACTGTAGCTTTTCTCTAACCAATCAGAATGGGCATCAAAATACCTTATTTTCCCTTACAAGTTCGTCAAAATAAAAGTCTACACTAATTGAACATATTGCACTGCCACAGCAAAATAAAAGTTGCCACACCTATACAATACATTTTTGTTGGACAGATAGATGAGCAGAGAAAATATCTTATTTTGAAATATCGGCGGTGAAGTAACATTTCAGGAGTGAGTAAAAAGAAGGGAGCGTTCCCGTTTACAAACCAAAACGCCCCCGCGTCTGGCCGGATGATGTTGGGAAGAATAAATATTGAATTACCCAGATGATGACAGCGATCGCTGTGCCCTGGTAGAGAAAAAACATTGGGCTGGGGTGTGTAACGCTTGATGAATACACAAATAAAGTTGTTACCAGAGCAACTTGATGCACGTCTTTGTTTGGCAGTAGGAAAAGTTAATGAGTCGACATAAACTCAGATTCTGAATTGTTTGATAGCCCCACCCACTCTTAGTCGTCACCATCGACATAAATATACTGGACATCTCCTTTCCATAGGCTCCAATATCACGTTTTTGAGGCCAAATGGGAGGTGGCCACCACCGCCATTTTGACCGTGTCACAGGTTCCGTCAAGCCCAGACAATTCCACAAAAGGGAAGAGAGGAGGAGCTGAGGGTGGGGCTGTAAGGCTGGTATCAACTGACGACACCTTGTCGAACTAGATACAAGCTAACCTGAAGCTAACCCTGGCTAACCCAAAGCTAACGCGGAGGTGGGAGCTAAGCTAACGGAGGTAGCAACCTAGCTAATCAGGGCAGGAGAGAGACACAATCAGGGAGGCAGGGGCAGACCGTGACAGAAATTTGAAATAAGTACTCAAAGTCATTTTAGGAGTCACCTAACAGAAGCACCCCCTTGATTTTAAAAATGATATACAGACAATGTTATTGTCGGTTATAGAAACTATACTAATGTCTCTGAGTTTAACCCTATTTGTGTTGAACTTGTCAGAGAGCGGAACAGTCAGCATTCCAGGTGGGAATGTGACAGCGATCCAGGACCAGCTGGTGGAGTTCCAGTGTGTAACAACCTCCTGGTTCCCGGTACCTTCTGTCAGCTGGAGCCAAAACGATCATGCTGTGAACAGCAGCCTCTACAACACCAGCAGCACAGCTGAGGGAGAGGTCTTTACCTCCACCAGTACGCTCAAAATCCAGGCAGTCAGCAACACTCAAGTTGAATGCATCGCCACCCTTCCAGCTCTAAAAACCCCCAAATCCAGCTTTGTCTTCATGCAGATTGGTGAGAAAGTGTTCAACAACATGTGTTTGGCTATTTTTACCACCCAAAAGTATGCATATTTGTGTTAGTTTCTGGATAATAGTCTATTTATTCATTATAGTATTCAACACTAATTTCTAATCCTAATGAACTGGTGCTAATGGTTGTCTGTCTGTATGCTGCCCAGTGTGTACTCCACCACCACTCATCTAGTTCAATTTATATTAACAACAATCTAACTCATCTGGGGTGTGGGCGGCCAACTCAGAAGACTGAGTTTCAATGGAAATCACGAGCCACCTGCAGTCTGAGAGCCTGTTCATCATCTGGGTCATGACGATCTCCAACAGAAGAATGAGCTTAGTTGAGATGTTGAGGATGTGCTCCCATCATGGTGTTGAGTCTGATATTCAGTACCAGCAGCAGTAGGGAGGACTGGAATCTGGTATTTACCTAAACTGTCTACCTGGTCCTGTTCTTATCGGGGACCACCTTCTGTGCTGCCATGTGGGTCTCTACTGTCTATAAACACTCCAAATGTTAAAAAACTTGTTCTTCTGTATTCTGCCAGTGTTTTGTTTAAGAATTATTTGCTTAAAACAAGCTATATCAAAAATTCCCTATTTGTGATGTTACAAATGGGGACCACTACCACCATCTGTTCAGGCTGGAGGAGCAGCAACTCTACTCCCAGCTCCTCTCAGATATCTGAGCTCCTCACCCCACAGCAGCCAATCAGGGAATAGGTGGGCATGGCCAGCAACAGCTTGTTTCCTTAAAGTGACAGAGCCCTGAAATGGCTCATTCTGGACTTTGTTAGTTAATGACTTGATCTGTGATAATCAGATCTCTTTGCTCTCTCTCACAGAATCCTGGTTGCAGCAAGAAGACTATGTTAGTTTAAATGAGTCCACTCCTTCTAATTATTTAAATCATCATATTGCTCGAAGTACAGGGCTAGGAGGAGGAGTAGCAACAATTTTTCATTCAGACCTAATAATCAATCCCTTACCAATTAATAGTTACAGTTCTTTTGAACATCTTATTCTTACGCCTGATTCATGCTTCTCCGTCTGCGTCAGTGCGGAGACACGCAACGTCCATGCGGGCCTACTGGAGGGCTCTGCAAGGACGGACGGAGTCGGGCTCTTTTCTAAACATCCGTCAGTCGAGACGGACAACGCAAGCTTGTGATTGGTCAGGACACTGCTGTTGTCTACACCGCCTCCATTGCGCCCTCAAAAACATAAAGAGAGCCGAGGATAACTAGCGGCAGACATGGAGAAGCTTGAAGAATACCTCGCGAAAAAACTCTAAAAATATGAACGTTTAATTCCACTGTGACTGGAGGAGTGAAAAGATGCGCAGCAAGCGTTTTATTTGTGGACGGAAATGACAGGAAATGTGGATTTAGAGGTGGCGAGCACATGACAAGGTGGAAAAGAATGAGAGACAAAATTGTCTGTGTTAAAAAGTCTCTTATATACAAAAAACACAATATAAACACATTATCTTGGACCGATACATGACAGGATACCACAGAAAAGCGCTCTGCCCTCTGTTGTCCTGCCGGGGAATTGCTTTGCAACACTCTCTAGGAGACGGAGAAGTATGAGAGCAAAATGATTCTGTCAATCCATGCGTGTCTGTCCCTTGTGGAGCTGACGGAGAAGCATGAATCAGGCTTAAATTTTCCTAATCCAGATTGCAAAACTGTAAAAGCACTCTTGTTTGTAGTTTTATATCGTCCACCAGGCCCTTATTCTGAGTTTTTGGATCAGATCTCTGATTTCTTTTCTGATTTGGTGCTAAATACTGATAAGGTGATTGTAGTGGGGGTTTTAACATTCATGTGGACATTGAAAGTGATAACCTCAAAGTAGCTTTAAGTAATATCTTAGACTCAATTGGTTTTACCCAAAGAATACATAGATCCACCCACTCCTGCCATCCTACATTGGACCTTGTGCTGACTTATGGCATAGAGTGTGAGGAAAAAACAATATTTCCACATAATCCAGTCCTCTCGGAGCACTTTCTGATAACCTTTGAGTTTTTTATAACTGAGTTCTCGAGACATGAAAGTAAATTTCACTATAGTCTGTTTCTATCTGACAACGTTGTTGCATCTTTTAAATCAACTGTTCCATCTTCACGGTCTTCAGCATCTCAGAGGAACATATCAGAGGGCAATATTTTCATTTCTAGCCCTTCACAAATTGATGCCTTAGTTCATAATGTTACTTCTTCTTTACGTGTGGCATTAGATAATGTTGCCCCTTTAAAAAAGAAGGTAATTAGGGACAGGAAGTTGGTTCCCTGGTTTAATTCTCATTTACGAGCTTTAAAACAAAACTGTAGAAAATTGGAGAGAACATGGCGCTCTACGAGCTTCATTTCCCACCTCCGACCCGTCCACGTCCCTAGGGAACTTTGAGTTGGACTGGGTGAGGTGGTGGTGAAGTCACTGAGGTGGTCAAACAACTTCTCGGTGGCAAGGAGATCCACCCAAAGTTCCTTAAGGCTCTGGATGTTGTGGTGCTGTGTTGGTTGGTGCGACTCCAACCAGCACAGCACCACAATATGTGGACATCGGGGGCAGTTCCACTGGATTGGCAGACTCTGCTGGTGGTGAAAACCTACGACTCCTGTCTGCAATCGATCAATGAAAATACACCTTTGGGACGCAGCAGCAGCAAAACTCCGCCTCTCTGAGTTTTGGTTCCAACTAATGTTTAAAATGCAGATTATAAACTACACATCATTTTTTTGTTAATAGCCTAATTTAAACAGGAGCTATACTAAAATAATTAAACTACCTTTTATAGACCGTCGACTGAAATGTGAAAACCATGATTCTGTGATGTGTGAGAGGAGATGAGAAACAAACACTTCGCTGTTGGTGGAAATCTCACATTTTCAACTGATAAGAATGGATTCAGTAGCATTTTGTTGCAGAGCGATCTGTGACAGATTGCTACCTCTCTTTACTTTAGCAGGTTTTTATGTATAAAGGAGGAGGAGAAGAATGTCCATCAGACGGATTGGCTGTTTAGCTGGAAGATGGGAAAAGGAGAGTCGCAGTCGGAGTCTGAGGCCAAAGCGAGGGTTTTGAAAATGATCCTTCCTCTTTGAGGAAGATTAGCTGGGTCAAGAGCTGACTTTAAAAATAAGTGCTGACTGTGCTTTATAAAACGTTTTCAGCTTTGTTTTGGTTAGCCATCTGTTTAGTGATGTATGCTTCGGGAGGAGCACTCCTGCCATTGTGTGTCCAGCTGGAGCGACATGTCGTGCAGTCTGGCTCAGTGAAACCTTGGCGGTAGAGAAAAGAGTAGAATGCCTTCCCCGGGTCAGGGACGAGGTCCTGCCCCAAGTGGAAAAGTTTAAGTATATCAGGGTCTTGTTCACGAGTCAGGGAAAGCTGGAGCAGGAGATCAATAAGCGGATTGGTGCTGCATCTGCAGTGATGCGGGCGTTGTCATGGTGAAGAGAGAGCTGAGCCGGAAGGCAACGCTCTCGATTTACCAGTCGATCTACGTTCCTACCCTCACCTATGGTCATGAGCTTAGGGTAGTGACTGAAAGAATGAGATCGCAAATATAAAATTAGTTTTAAAATCTAAGATACTGAGACATAAAGTTGGTATGTGGAGTTCTCCAGTAAAGATGGGACTCTGTAAAGCTTATTGCACTCTAAGTTGCACTGGCCATTTCTAGAGGATGCTCAGAGAAAGCATCAGAAACTCTTGAGTAACAATGGAATGAGGCTGCTGCTCAACATGCAGAGATGGAGCAGTGCCAGCCAGATGTTTGCTAGTGTTGGTGTACCCACGTCAGGCCAACTTTGGGCAATCTCATGTGCAGCTCTTTGTGAAGGGTAAAGGACTCTACAAATGATATAATGGATCTCTGACTGACCCTAGCTGTGGAATCATTGGCTTTTAAATGTAAAGTTGTTACTCGGGATATCTTTATTGTTATTATTTCCATTTGTTTTCCTCTTTTGCCATGGATCCACGCGTCTTTAATGAAGTCAAAAACCAAAGCACAAACAGGACAGCTCCTTATGAGTGTTTAATGTAATAATCAGAACTTTCTTCCTGTAACAGCTCCCAAGCCCACTGATTGGACGGTGCTGATAGCTGTGGTCGTGTCATTTGGAGGTTGTGCTCTGCTGGTTTTGTTTGTCGTTGGAATCATCTTCTGTTACAGACGCAGAAAAGAAAAAAGTAAGGCCCTCATATTGGTAATCCTAGATGACACTTGACTGTATAATGTCACAGCAATATTTAGATTAAAGGTCCTTTTATAGAGGTTCATTGCTTCTTGACATGATATTCTAAACTAATTTGTATTTTTATTCATCCTTAGTGCCAATTTACCAAAATGAAATGAAGTAAGAAGCCACTCAGCTTGCTTTCACATTAAAAGACAAAAGTTTCTCCATGCTGTAACATTTTGTTTTCTTATATTTCTTCAACAGGAGAGTCACGACCGAGAGCCAGTCTAGTCCCAGAGCAGATGAACAGAGAAACGGCCATGTCAACCCGTCGTATGTGCCAGAAGATCACACCAGTATGTTACACCAGTTTTAGTTCCATCTGTACTGTAGTCATCCATCCATCTGTTCACACATCTATTCATGATAATAATCTTAATACATTTGATTGGAAGTGTCTTTCTAAAAACTAAAGGTCACTGTACAGCAGGGTCCTCATTTATAACGGCCCCAGCGGGAAAGGGGTGCTTTTGGATGAATGTCGGACCGGGGGGTTGTGCTGCTGCTGTTTGGATCGCTGGCTGTGGTGCACATAACACACAAGCTTACAATATAAAGAAGGACAGCACCTGTCCCTTCCCCTCCAGCTCGGCTGTGCGACGGGGGAGGGTGGGGGTGGGGTGTGTGTGTGTGTGTGTGTGTGTGTGTGTGTGTGGGGGGGGGGTCTTTAATGCCCTCACGTTGCTGCTGGCTGTTCATTACACCAGCTCTCTATGTGACAGCACACCTCTCTTGCCCATCGTCCCGGGAGGGGGGGACATATTGAACTTGTTGAGGACCACTGCTGTACAGTAAAAGGAAATGAAACATTCAAGCAAGCACAATACCAGTAGGATATACCATCCATCCATTTTTTCTGCTTATCCGGAGTCTGGTCACGGGGGCAGCAGCCTAAGTTGAGAGGCCCAGACTTCCCTCCCCCCAGCCACTTGGGCCAGTTCTTCCAGGGGAATCCCAAGGTGTTCCCTGGCCAGCCGAGAGACATAGTCCCTCCACCGTGTCCTGGGTCTGCCTTTATGCCTCTTCCCGGTTGGAAAATTTCACCAGGTAGGCGTCCAGGAGGCATCCTAAGCGGATGCTCTAGCTGCCTCTACTGGGTGACGGAGACCGCAAGCTTGTGATTGGTTAGGGTGCAGCTTCATGTAAATTTGTCACCAGCACCGCCAGTGGCCCGTTAAAAAGTAAAAAAATATTTAAGGAAGGACCCAGAACAGATTGAATGGAAAAAGTTCGAAGATATGAACATTTGTTCACCGTGACTGAAAGAGTACAAAAAATGGAGCAAACATGGACGGAAATGACAGGAAACGCGGGTTTAGAGGTGGCGACCGCATGAAGAGGTGGTGGAGAATGAATGAAATATATAAAGACATTAGTAAATACATTATCGTGGATCGGATGCATGAGGGTTAGGATCAGACTTTATATGTGAGGACAAAGATTTTGTTCTCAACCCAGAATTTAACTGGTAGCCGATGAAGCTACTGGATAACGGGGATGATGTGACCAGTAGAGGGTGTTTTAGTGATGATACGAGCAGCGGAGTTTTGGACGAGTTGGGAGTTTAAGCAGAGACTTCTGTGGAAGACCAAACAGGAGTGAGTTACAATAATTCCAAGAAGTGACCAAGCTGTTGACTAAAATGGTGGTGGTGTGATTAGAAAGAGATGGATGTAGGTGGTTAATATTTGGCAAATGGTAGTAAGTTGAGTGAGTGACAGAAGTGAGAATGGTAGGACAGGGTGCTGTCCAGAATAACTGCAACGTGGACAAGGCCTGCTTAATTAGTGTGTAACCCATGACACCATGACCAGGAGAAAGCATTTATCTTCTGACTTACCGGGGCTGTAACTCCCAAGGTCTTCCCGCAGGAGACGAGACTTTACTCTTGTAACAAAATAACTCTTATTTTGTTTTATAAAAGGACTTTCTAACTTTACAAGTTATTTACAATCATACTCTGTTTGTCTAAAGTTTTCTAATAATGCCTGACCGCTTCACAGTAATGAATGAATCAACATAATTGTTTATTCTGGAAATAATGCTTTCTTTCAGATCTTAAATACACCAAACGAGTCTACTTGTTGAATTTGATAATGATTTGTTATTAGGATAGTCACATATTGTATTGTATATTGTTACTGTATTGAGAAAGACTGTTTAACAGATTGACTTCACATTAAGTGGAATGGGCCTCTTCTTAGTGGGAAGGAAGGGGAAGGAGTGGTGTCTGAGATTCTTGGTAAACACCCATATTTAACTTGTTAAATTTGATTTGCCAAAATTAGTTAACAACCAGTTTTATAAAAGAGATATCACTTCCTCAATTCATTAGTTCTGCTATCTGCTCAGCCCGCTCAAGGTGGAACTAGGAGCTTTGAATACCACAGAAGTCAATTCCATCAGTAGTCTGTCCGTACCGACTTCTCCGACCCCTGGATCACTGGGAGCCGTCACCACAAGGGTTCGTAGCTCCTGCACACTGGCGTGGGATGGTTTTATTAATGACTGGTAGTTTGTTAAACCAAACAGACATCACAAGTTTCTAAGACACTTAATCAGGGTATGTTAACCTAACATCTAAGCTCACATTCCATCATTTCATTTATTGTCTCATTTATCTTGTTTCAATCATCATTCATCATCATTATTATTCTGTCATTATTGATTATAGAAATATAGTATTACATTGAGTCTATAAACTACATTTTTGTCTCTGTGTCAAATAATTATGAAGTGTTTGTTGTTTCCCTGGCGTACCCAAATTACCTAGTTTCATCATCAATGGAATAATAAAGGGTCAATAATATTGATAATCCATATTTTAATGGGATATTAAATTTTATTGAATACCTTTACATTCTATCAACAATTTATTAAAAGTAACCACGCACAAAACGTTACAACACCGAGGCTCTTCATCAGATCTAGGCCTGTGAAAGTATTTTCCTATTGGCCTTTATCTGTGGCCTTCCCTAGTGCTGATGTTGTGCCCATGAGAAGCACTTTAGTTTTTCATTCATTATAAAACCATCCATCCATTCCCTCATCCCTCCATCCAACCATCAATCCATCCATCTGTTCATTCACCCATCATGCATTATTCAACTATCTGTTCTAGAGCCCTGCATGGGCCTAGAATCTGAGCCCGTGTCCGGCCCGGCCCGAGGGGGTGGAGCCCCAGCCCAACCCGGTCCGAAAAGGTTTTCAGGATTCTCTGGCCCGACCCGAGCCTGAGCCCGACTTTTTTTTAACCAACTAAATGAAAACAAAGTGCGTCAATCCTGACCAATGTGTTAAAAGACGTGCAGGATCCGATCAATTTATTTTTCCCTCGTTTACCGTCACAGAGATAACGGCGCACTGGCTCTGGTGTTAATCAAGTTAAATTATATCTCTTTCCAACAATTTTCACAAGAAAACAAAACAGTCAAAAGCAGGGCTTGTGTTGTGTTGACCGGATAGTTCCCGTATTTGACGGTTTGTTTTGACAGCGAAAGAATAGAAAGAATTACCCCGACGCATGCAGACGAACTGACATTTTATTCGTTACACACATCGCAGATGTAGCTAAATCACCCAAGAAAAGATTCCCATCTGAACATCTGAGCTGCTCAGCGCAGCTCGCTGTCAGCGCATATGTGCAAAGCGAGCTGAAGTTGTGGAGATTGGCTTGGAGCGCATCGCAGAACCAGAGCGCATGCGGGAAGATTCCTCCCACTGAAGCGAGTGTTTTCCAAACCCTGTCTCTCAGAGAGACTTGTCACTTAGAAAATGTTCCCTGAGCATGAAACTTTGGCTGAATAGTGCTTGTTCCTGTCTCCAATATGGCGACACATCCAGGAGCCGTCTGAGGAGAAGCCCAGAATCTCTTCAGCTCAGAAAGCGCCTATGATTACGCACAAGCGTGACCCGTCAACCCGGTCTCACAGTAAGACCGGGTTGGACCTGTTTAGGTTTACGCAGACAATCCCCTAGTGTTATTATTGGTGTTTATATAAATAATATGAGGGAAACATCCATATATATACTGGCCTGAGTGTGTCTGTCCAGTGAAAGTATATATATATATATAGAGTAAATCCTCTAATATTGGCCTGTATTTAATTAACTGCCGGGTATCATATTTTGGCCGATGTCGGAGTCGGCGGAGGTGAATAGTGGCCGGTATTTTATTGTGGCCAGGTGGAATGTGGTAACAAGCAAGTACGGGGGGCGGTTGTGTCATCCATCTCACTTTTGATTTGCCAGTGATGGACCGCGAAGGTAACTTTAACCGTGCGGAGATGAAGAGGAGGTGAAAATTTGATATCAAGTTCAAAGAGAACGTGCTGATTATGCTGCAGAACACTGGGGAGCAGTAGCAGGGGTTGTATGAACTAGTCGACTTCACTATAGTGACTTTGCATGCCTGTCATCGACTAGTTGCTGTCACGTGATAATGACCGGCAAGATGCAGCCCTCGGAAAAGACAGCAGCCTGCTGTCAGCAGGTGACAAGCTCCTGCGCATCGTTCATGTCGGCTCATTTCCTTTAATGTTTTCTGTCTTTTATTTGCGCCTGAAGCTTTTCGCTGCTGTGGAGTGGGGCGCATCACCTTGTCCTCCGGTGACGCACCGATCACTGATGCGGCCGCCAAGCAGCGAGCACTCTGCTGTTTTTGCGGTCGGTAGATCTGCGCCCTGAGCTCGGCCACAGTAACATTATCAAATCAGGTGTCGCCACCTCAAAAACTAATTTAACATGCAATCGTTCATGTCAGCTAATTTCCTTTAATGTTTTCTGTCTTTTATTTGCGCCTGATGCGTTTCACTGCTGTGGAGCGGGGCATATCACCTTGTCCTCCGGTGACTCACCGATCACTGATGCAGCCGGCAAGCAGCGAGCACTCCGCTGTTTTTGCGGTCGGTAGATCTTTTAGAACTGCAGTACAACGGTAACTCATAAGGTGAATATATATGAACCCAGGTAGCAGTTTTTCTTTAGGATTGAGAGGAGATGCAGGAAGATTATAAACAGACAGGACAGAAAAATAGTCAAATAAAAACAAGTTAGTTTTTGTACCTGGTGGTAGCAACAAACAGACACCACTGAAGGTAATCAGAAGTGAGGAACAGATAATGAAATAATTATTTAAATGTTTAGAGCAGTAGGAACTCCGAGTGGCTGCAGTGAGTTTGCGGCCACTGCGCAGGGGGAGAGGGCAGAAACTACCGTTGTTAAAAGAAATTTATTTAACTTCGAAAATGTGGATGCAATTTTAATTGTCAAAAACTCCAGCGAACCATTTTGCTCAAATAGAAATTGAGGCCTGCCTCTAATTCTGGTCCTCCTTCCAATAAAAGCCTGGAGCTTGATGAGCTTCAGTCAAATACAGGCCCGGGCCTGTATTAGAGGATTTACTGTATATAAAGTCATGTTAGTCAGAGATGTGTGCATCTGCAAAAGGCTTCTGCTGTTGTTGAGGCTGTTCATTTAATTTGTGTCTACTAAGTTGTAAACCTAAATGACACTAATGATGCAGTCATTCAGCAAAAGGGAGAGACCCCCCCCCCCCCCCCCCCACACACACACACACACACTTTTGTACAGTATGCTCTGCTTGTGGTGTGATTCTGCTGACCCAGACAGTCTGGTACCAGGTTCAGGTGATGATGGTGTCTGGTCAATCTCATCTAATGTGCAGGAGGCTGGTTTAACAGAATTCAATATAATTTCAGTTTATGCAACATAAGTACAGATTATAGCAGCTGAACACAGATATTTGTGTTTTAGAGGAAAGAATCAGGACACATGTGGAGCTTTAACATAGTTGTTTCACACGTTTACATCAGGAGACGCCCAGTCTGACTCACTTTTAGTGTTTAGTGTAAATCGGTGATGGCCTGGGATGGTTTCAAAATTCCCGGCCTGAGTTATTGTCCCAGTCCGCCCCTGTATCCATCTATCATCCATCCGTCATCCATCCATCTGTTCATGCATCCATCAATGCAATATTCAGCACGTGTTCAATAATTGTGCATTACCGGATGGACATTAGTATGTCTGTGTCCCTTGTTCTGCATAGTTCTGGAAACACGAGTTTCCTTTTTGTTGATTTTAGATTGGTTACAATAATAGCTTACTGCCTTTGTGTGTGGCATGTTTAGACAACATAATGAGAAATGTTTACCTGTAATCTTGTTATTTTTCTTCTTCCTTCTCCTTAAATGTTTGTGCTGCTATAGGGAATTTCCCCACTGTGGGATTAAAAAACTCAATTCTATTCTGTCCGCCCTGACTGCAGCAGACACTTTCGTCTATTATGTCTCATTATGTTTACTAAACATGCTACACTATTAACACATGAATATGAATTACATGAGCCCCCCCCCCCCCCCCCCCCCCCACACACACACACACACACAAACACACCACATAACTAATGCAGTCTTGGTTTTGTGTCTTTGTCCTTTGTCCACAGGAGTAACTCCAAATCTTTTCCTAAGTGTCCAAAACAACTTGACGGTATGTCTGAGACGCTGGATTGCACCACACCATCAGCTTACATCCAAATGCATGAAGTGGGATTAAGACAGATATGCTGCAAAAAATGTGCACAAGTTTAAAGAAAACCTAACATTTTAAATAAAGTACAAGTAGACAGTAATGTAAAAAAAATCTTATTAAAATGGAAATTGGAAATATTTCCATAACCTGGTTTGGGATTGTGCTTCTTCTCTTTAGAGGTTTGGGTTTTCATTCTTCTAACATGCCCCTGGTTATGTTCCAATCTGACTAAAGTGTTAATCCACCTGTCTCAGATTAGGGAGTTAGGAACTCTACTCCGCATGTGGAACACGTGGCCAAGAATGTTTTACCTTTGATTTTCAGAAGATCGGACGTGTTATGAAGATCCAGACAGAAAACATGGACAGTAACACCATCAGCACTGCCTCTGACTCCAGCACTGTGAAGCACAGACATGCCACCATCGTATAAGCTCCATGTGAAGGTCTTCAAACCTGCAAACCGGGTCAGGGTCATCAAGTCCAGAGACGACTGAACTACAGCGGAGCTGAAGTTTAAAGACACCACGGAACATTCCACATGTTGTGCTTTCCTGTGAATATCTACAAAAGAAAAATGGTAAACTTGTACGGTTCTACAACCCCCAAGGCGCTTCACAACACAGTCATTCACACATGTAGCTACAGCTGCCCTGAGGCGCTCTGACAGAGGCGTGGCTGCTGATTACAGACTCCCTCTGACCACCACCAGCAGGCAAGTGCCTTGCTCAAGGACACAACAACAGCATCCTCTGTCTGGAGTCGGGATGGAACCTGTCTGGATTTCAAAGTTATTGATACCATAACAACTGTGATTGATAATAATTTTGAATGTTTAATGTTTAACAATTGAAATTATTAAGGAAAAAAAGAAAAATATACTAATTAGTTGTGTTTATAGATCCCCAGGCTCTAATATAGTCATTTTTAAGGATTGGTTGGAAGAGGCTTTTTCAAAAATTAATCAAAAAGTTGTTTATATTTGTGGGGATTTCAATATCAACCTGCTCAACCCAAAGAAACATAACATGACAGAAGAATTTATTAGCACAATGTACAGCATGAGCTTATATCCTAAAATTACATAACATGCCAGAATTGAGACACACTGTGCTACTTTAATTGATAATACATTTACCAATGATATTGAAAACAATGCAAGAAGTGGATTTTTAATTAGTGATATCATTGACCACCTGCCAATCTTTGTAGTTTCTGAGGATAACTATCAGAGATATCAGCAAAAGAAAATTTTAATTCATAAAAGGATAAAGTCACAGGAAGCGATTAGAGCTCTGAGGGAGGATTTGGGGGCACAAAACTGGAACAGCGTGTAGAGAAACTGAAGTTGACAAGGCATATGATACATTTTTAACAATATTTAATACAATTTATAATCAGAACTGTCCAGTTATTCTGATGAATGTAAAGCAAAAACAAATAGATCAACCATGGATGAGTAAAGGACTAAAGAACGCTTGTAAAAAGAAAAATAAATTGTATAAAGATTTCTTAAAGCAAAGAACAGAAGAGGCAGAATCTAAATATAAAAAATAAAAAAATAAGTTAAGAAATATTATTAGAAAAAGTAGGAAGGAATACTATAGTAAAAGGATAGTTATATATAAAAACAATATAAAAAGAATATGGGACACACTAAACAATATTATTTAAAAAAATCAGTCAAGACAGCCTAATCACCCAGAGTATTATTTGATAATAATAGTAAGATAGAAAATATGGGGATTTAATAACTTTTTTGTTAATATTGGGTCGAACGTGGCAAAACAAATACCGGATACTTTGTCAATGGACAACAGTACTAATAATTTGATCGAGCAAAATCCCTGTTCTATGTTCCTCACAGCAGTGGAAGAAATGGAGATCATAAATTTAGTAAATAAATGCGAAAGTAAAATATCAACTGATTATAATGATATCGATAGCGAAACAATGAAAAATGTTATTGGGGGTATTGTAAAACCACTTACTTATATTTGTAATTTATCATTTCTTACTGGAACATTTCCAAACCAGATGAAAATAGCTAAAGTGGTGCCACTGTTCAAGACTGGAGATAAACATAGCTTCACTAATTACAGGCCTGTTTCATTACTATCACAATTCTCAAAAATACTAGAAAAATTGTTTGGTAAAAGATTGGATTTATTTTTGGATAAATGTATGATATTATCAGATAGTCAGTATGGCTTTAGATCTAATAGATCAACTTCATTAGCATTAATGGACACAGTTGAGGAAATCACAAATGCAATAGATCGTAAACATTTTGCTGTGGGAATTTTTTTGGATCTTCAGAAGACCTTTGACACAATTGATCATAACATTTTAATTAACAAATTAGAACGGTACGGGATTAGATACGAAAAAAGTAACTTTAAATATTCAACCAAAAAAGAGGCGAGCTGAAGAAAACCTAGGGAAAACTGAAGAAACGTGAGCAACGTGAAGAAATCACAGCGAGATCCGTTACTGTCTGTGTGTGTGCGTGGATGAACCGAACGGACTGAGCTCCCGGCCGGCTGCAGCTTTGTGTGTAGGGTGTTGGTCCTGAAAGACCAAGACAGGTTCGGAGCGATTGGAGAAAAACATGTCTGCTTCTGAGTTGATGTTGGAATCAAAAAACCAGTCAAAATAAGTTTCACCGCTGCAGAGGGAGAACACACAACTCTCATGCAAGGACCCCGACTTGCTCCAGCAGCTGCTAGAAGTGTTCTGATTTCTCAGTTTGAGACGGCTAGATTTATTCACTCAAGCAGGGAGGGGTCACATGTGTGTACGAGGTTAAGTTTGAACAATTCTCTAAACAGCAGACTTGCAGCCTTGAGATATGGTTAAACAGGATGGCTACTATCTCAACAGAGAACAGGAACCTATTCACGCTGTGTGCAGAAAAACACCCAAGAGGAGGGGTGAGCAGCAGATAACAGGAACATCTGGAGTGTCTAATGAACTGCAGAGTCAGATTCTCATCACACACATTACCAATGATTATATGTTCTCTTGTGTTCATTTAGCAGTAAGTATTATTAACAAGGGAGGGGCGGGCGCTCTATGTTACTGGCCAATCACAGAGCGTGAAGACAGTCAGTTACCCAATGAGGATTTTCCTTCAGCACGATCACAGATATTTACGAGTTTTACTCGTTTCATGCTCGTATTCGACAAAAATGCTTTATCCGTACCGGATACTCGTCTGAAACGAGTATCCAGCTACTGACGTTGTTCAATTCTTGACATTACAAATAATATATAAAGCTAATGACAAACTACTCCCTGGTAATACACAAAAGTATTTCTTATATAGAGATAAACAATATAATTTGAGAGAGGAATGGAATTTAAAATGCCCGTCTGTGCGAACAACAGTAAAAAGTCAGTGCATCTCTATATGTGGGGTAAAATTATGGAATGGATTAAATAGTGATTTAAAGCAATGTCCAAGTATGACCCAATTTAGAAAGTGGTACAAAAATATGGTCTTCATGAGGTACAGGGAGGAAGAGGGATTTTGACTCAAAAAGATCCAATGAGTGGTGTGAGGGTGTAAGTGTACAAAAGAAAATGGGGTGTGTTGTAAGTATGTGTAGTAGTATGGAGCTAGGATTGGGACAATATTCAGCGTAACTTGTACCAAGTTTTGTAACTTCGAACATGTGTCATCACATGTAACTTTGGATTCATAACTTGTAACTTTGGATTCGTAACTTGTAACTTTAGTTTTCTAACTTGTACTTCTCAATTCGTACTTGTATTTCTTGTTTTGTAACAGGAACGTTGTATTTTGTACATGTATTTTTTATTTTGTAAAATCAAACTTTTATTTTGTACATTTACTACTCATTTTGTAACATCAAACATTCATTCAGAAACGTGAAACTTTCGTTTTGTAACTAGCAGACTTCCAAAATAATAAAAAATCTTTGTACAAGTTTGAAATCAAAACTCTCAAAACACACATTTCATTCTACAGGTACAAACCTCAAATCTACAGTGTTACAAATCTTTTTGTCTCGATTCTAGCGTCAGTGGGAGGAACTTGGGTGGAACTAATGAGAGCACGAGTCTTAGCTACCAATCACGTTTCTCGAATTCCTGTCCAATCATTGGGAGAGGAGGGCAGGGTTCTGTCAGAACAGTAGAGAGTTACGACACTCCTTGAACTCGCCGACTCGCGGCCACGTGGTTCACGGAGCTCCCAAACATCACAGCGCCGTAAGTCAGTTTGAACGGCGTATGGTGGTACTAATCCCAAAAATTTATTATAATCAAATTTCCCTTGGCGATTCGTGGTAATTATTGAATAATATTATATATTATATTATGTATTATGTCCTAACTCCTTCACAAAGTAGCCTGTTTATATTTTTCCGAGCACTTGTAGGAAGACAAACACCCGTGACTGTTCTACATTACAGGGACACGACAGTCCTAACACACTGTAGAACACATTTAGACCACATACATTACTATAATACATTATAGCAATAAATTTGATGTAATAATGCAACACACTGCTCTAATATAAGCATATTTAATAACTTAAAGTCCTACAAGAAGCCCTAAACTCGAGTTGTAACATTCATTTTAAAGTGTTATTGAAAGCTAGAATTCTGCTCCAGCTTACCTTGAAGAAAATATGTAGCTGTTTATGCTTTGAATGATGACCTATTATGTTGAGTAGAATACATCATTACAATCATTACTTTATATTTTTATGTGAAGACAGTACATGCATTTATAACCCAGTTTATCTGGCTTCTATAGCAACTAATTTAAAAGAAAATTTCAATAAAACTGTATGGTTCATCACAGTAGATAAAAAGTGTTATTTGAGAAAAAATGAACACCAACCTTGTACAAAATGTATAATAGCATTTTTAATAAAGCATTTTACCAACATTATGTTTAGTCATTACATGTGCACAAATAAGCTGAATCAATAAATCTGAGCAATGTACTCAAGACCTAATGAAACTCTTTTGAATAACTTTTTGATTATCTAAATAAAATGTGTCCGTGGGTTAAAATTTGAAATGACTAATTTTAGGGTTGGATAAAGTTTTGAAATGTAATTTTACATCTCTATATTTTTGGTTTAGTTTAGTATTTCTATATGTACAAAAATAGTATTTTAATAATCCCTTTATAGGTTGATTATCTTACCATGGTTGGCTGCGCTGCATATAGCAATCGGTCTGAGGGAGGAATCGGAATTATGGCTTCCCCAAAGATGCAGAGAGAAGAAGAAAATGGTTGGCTCAAGTCAGCAGGAGCAACCTCACCATGACCAGAGATCACAATAACAAAAAGCTGTGTGCAGTGAGTTTAACATGCACTCTCAAATGTTTTCTATCAAGGCTCTACATGTTCTGCTCTCAACTGCACAAGGCTGCAATTAAACTGTTAAATGTGGCAGGAAATAAACTAATACACCACTCTACATGCACATTTTGAGGAGGGACAGTTTACTAAGACTAGGCAAGGCAAGGTGAGACTCAGGGCTGATGTTGTGTTTGTTCATCGCCCTGAACCAAGGAGGAGGAAGCATCCCGCAGTGAATTACAGCAGAACCACTGCATGTTGATCCACTGACCAGTAACCACACATATTGTACTCAAGTAAACTGTGGTACAAATCTTTTGAAATATTAGACATTTGAATTTATTTTATTTTAAAATTATTCTAACAGTGCCATTCTAATTTCAGAGAATGAGGAAAGCAGCAGCAGCAGTGAGGCAAATGAGATGAGGGAAAGTGAGCGGGGACAACAATACAACAGGAGCAAGCTATTACTGCGTCAACTTGAAGAAATATACAATCAACATTGTTCAACTAAACAATCACATGATAATAAATCATAGTGCATTTAGTGGCAACGACAGCCTTAAGACATGTGTTGAAAATGCCCAAGCCCATACTTTTGAGAGCACCATGTGAGCACCTGTGTGTGTACACACGCTTGTATATGTAAGGTTTCTCTATAAAAGTGTCCAATAGAGAGTGTGAGGGACCACTGAATGGAATTTCTGTTATATTATTTTTTTACAAATTCGGGCCGTCCTACTGTGACCATTTTTGACATGGACACCACATCGGCGTCGGACCAATGTTTGTTGGTATTCACAACATCATTTAAAATGCAAACAGAAAGTGATGGTTTCAGGAACTTAGTTCCTAGAACTATGCAGTCGGAAAGCGCCTATTCTTGATTGGTATTACACCACAGGGCATAGTGCCTTACATTTCAAATACATGGGGAGGAAAAGTAAGTGACATAACAGAAAATTATGCCTTTTTGGACACATACTTCCTGGTGATCTAGTTCTTGCAGATCGTGGCTTTTACATTCAGGCCACTTTAGGTTGCATAATGGCTCAAGCAAAAATCCCAGCCTCCATTCGTAGAAAGGCCCAGTTAGCTCCTGTTGTCTTGGAAACCACAAGGACAATTGCCCACGTCAGGATTCACGTTGAACGTGTGATTGGTAGCATGCACTATTTTAGACTGCTAATTGATTTCTTGATGTGCAAACATAATGATGGTTATTGTATCATTGATAAGATTGGACTTGTCTGTTGTGCTCTTGTGAACCTTTGTCCATCAGTTGTTGTTTTTGAGTAAAGTGTATTTTTGTATGCACCGTCAATAAAAATATCAACCAGTCCATACGAGAATATAGCCTATTATTATTAATAATAGACTATTAAGTATATACACCAAACTAAGGCAGTCTTTGTTCAGTCATGGTTATTGTGTTGTAGAAGAGAACACACAGCATAACACTTTCATCAGAACAAAGATTTATTACAGCAAAACAACAGTTTTATTTCCACTCGGGTTTCTTTCTCTTTTTTGCTTGAAGCTGAGGCTGTTTTTGGCACTTTGGGCAATACCATTTCCCTTTGGTGCAAGCTTAACATCAATAAAGGAGCAGTTACACCTCTCAATAGGACATGTGGCATTATCACACAGAATCCTTCTCCCAAACTCAACCAGGCCACAGAAAAAACAGGTGTTTCCTTGGCCACTGGTACTTGCAACACAATCAAATTCATCTGAGACAGAATTTCCAGGTTTTGAGGACACATTGGCCACGGTAGATGAAAGCCTTGTTTAAAACTTGCCAACTAACTCCATCATAAAGGCTGTGTCAAACATATGCAAGCTTTTCTAGCATTATGCGTCCCACAACTCTGCATCTGGTACAATTAGCTCCACATGCAAATCCTTTTCTGTCCAAACGACAAAACAAGCAGATTACAGTTTGCACCTGGTAGAAGGACTGATGGTTCTGGTTAAGTGTCAGTTTCCCTTCATCATCTTTCTTCAGAAAGGAAACAGTGTCTATCTTGTCACTCACCACACAAAATGGACATCTCACTTCAGTTACACTGAGACCACAACAATCACAAGAAACAAGACCATCAGGGGAAGCACCCAAGAAAGGAACACTTGGATTTATGAAGAAACCTGTGTCCATGAGATTTCTTATGCGTATCTATGAAGACTTCACATGAAATTTCTCATGATTACATCACCATGTCGTGGCTTTTGATGTGAACTTGTATGACTCTGGATAGCACACTCCTTCGATGGAACTCTGAGCTGGCTGGTTTTGATCAGTGCAACGTACAGTTTTCATTTTAGATGCTGTAATTCATCCAGCACGAAATCAAAACCACAGTTTAGAAGATGTTTATAAAGAAATGCACTAAAATGCAAAAATAATGACTACACATGTCTACAACACTATTAGACACTCAAGTATCAGCAAAAAAGTAGATTTTGGTGTGACATGCTCTTTAGTGATCAGAAAAGAGGGTTGATGACAGGAAATGAGAGACAGAGACTCAACAAATGATAACTCGTAACTGCTCTAGAGGTAATCTGGGGAGTGTTAAAGGCTTGTTAAATAATTTGGTGCTTTGTCAGAACACTAGAAGGGACTGACTGAAGAAATGACACTGAACTGAGAGGTGTCTGGTCTGATCTGGTCAGCTCTGTTCAGCGCTGCCAGTAGCAGATTTGGATTAAGCTAATGAGCTAGAGGAGTAATCTCCAAGGAGGGTTACAGAAGCACTTTGTCAGTCCTCCGAAGGGTAGAGGGTTGAAGATGACTATCCACAGAAATTTGATCACCTTGTGCAGATACACAGCTCTTTTCTCTATCAAGGTTTTGATTTTAGTGCCCTCGAGTTCACTGGTTTACAGCCAAGGAGTTTCCAACAGCAAGGTAATGGACATCACCGTACGGCAGGGAGAGACGGTTTTCCTCAGGTGAGGTGGATTTTAATTCTGCTGCTTGAAGGTTTTTGAAACCAAACAACTCTATTCAGTGGATCCAGTATAAAAAACTAGAGCAGTCAAACTGATTGTAAAATGAAAGCGAGTGAAGGAAATGTGGCCGATTAGAACCTGAAGCCATTTTAATCTGCATGTTGAGTAGAGACCATTTGTGTGTACACACACACACACACACACACACACACACACACACACACACACACACACACATATGCCTTCATACATACACACACACTCTTCCCTCCTTTATCCATCTTATTTTTGGGTAGACTTATGAAGAGACACTGATGTGAGCATCCGGGGAGGTATCACATGTCATCGGTTTGCATGGTGAGGTTTTATTGCTAGTAGTGGTTTATTAGAGGATTTAAAAACATATTTACCCTTGAAAAATGTACTCATGTGGCTGGGGAAGGTGTTGTGCTGTTCGCGGGTATACCAACGAGCACAGAAATTTAAACTTGTGGCTATGAGAGCAACGTTCAAAACAAGCACCTCAGAGTAGGAGCGAGAGCCTCTGGAAGCGTCGGTGTTGTTTGCACCACCTCTCCAGAGATGAGGAACCCAGGACATGGCTGACAAATGTTTACTGAAAATCACTACAAACTATATCTGTGTGTTCCTTTCATTTTGTTGTGAAACAACCCGGAGGAACACCTGCATCCTGCTTTGTTGTTGGAGACAAACCCCCGGAGAAGCGACACTGAGCAGAAAAGCGATTTGACAGCAGTCTCACAAGAACAACAGGTGTCATTTCATGTGTCCACCTTTCTGAATAGTTATGTAAAACTCAAAAAGGTTTTAGTTGACAGATTTTTGTTTTTAGTTTTACAAAGAAGTAAACAGAGTATTAGTCTTTAACAAGTTATTTTATACGTGAGATGTGTACTCTGAGCTACTGGAGTGAGTTTCAGACAAACATCATTTATTTCAGGGCTATGGGACACAGTCTTCGCTGCCCCAGATGTTGTCCAGTAAAACAACCCCCAGACTGGCATCTCCTCTTACTTTATTGATAATAATCATTATAGTGTAAATAATTTACACTGATGCATTGAGGTTTGGTTCTTGATCCTATTATTTAATCTGTATATGCTAGGGTAACCATATTTCCATTTTCAAAAAAGAGGACAGGAGATCTATGCCTACTGATGACATCACACTAGGGCCGGGCGGTATGGCCTAAAATCAATATCACGATATATTGAGGATTTAACCTCTAATGATAAATGGACGATAACTACAGGTATGCACAGAAACAAAAGTTGTCCACTAGATGGGGCTGTCACGTGTATCACGTTGAGTCACATTTTTACGTGACTCAAGGTGGTACAGCTTCTTAAAGGGACATGAATGCTGCCAACCTACACACATCTTTTAATTTTTTATTATCAAATTTATTGACATGGGAAAAACGATCTCGATAAGAATCAGAAATTTTGATATGATACATTTTCGATTTTGTTGCCCAGCTCTACGTCACTATGGCAACACCACGCAAATCACGTTGGGACCCATTTTTCCCCCAGGTAAAGAGCTAAAATTAATATCAAATTCTGCCAACAAAAAAGCTCTAAAACAATTCTTTTGTAAATATGTTGCATATTTATTGCAAAATCTATTTTTTCTGCTGCTTTAGTGCTGCAACAACATTATATTAATAAGAAATTATTAGACCTTTTGTTTTAACCCACGTTGCCTGCTGGTGGTGGTCGGAGGGACCGGTGGCGCCAGTGCTCGGCAGCCTCACCTCTGTCAGTGTGCCCCAGGGCAGCTGTGGCTACATCGTAGCTCATCACTATCAGCGTGTGATTGTGTGTGTGAACGGTTGAATGACTGATTGTGTTGTAAAGGACCTTGAGGGGTTCCAGGACTCTAGAAGGTGCTATATCAAATACAGGCCATTTACCATTTACTACAGCATCGGTAAGCTTCCTGTGCACAGATTATTAAAGATGCTTGTTTCAGCTGTGAGATTAGATGATAGGGTCAATGATTAAAAAAAAGTTTGTCATTGAAACTTTCAGAGATTCCACAAATAATGCTTTCAAACAGTTTGGAAACTGACAGATTTGTGTGAGTTTAGAAAAGAAGCAGAAGAGACGGCGTGTCTGACAATTTTGTTTTTCATCGAACAATTTTAGAACATGTCAGTGACGTCCGAGGTGTTTTTACCTGTTGGTTTCAATCGAGACTTCACCCAGGTTTCCCAGCAAACAATAAGAGGGGGAAGTAGGGATATGACATTTCAGACACATCGCTTATAGTTCTAATCATTTACTTCCTCTATAAACACTGAGAGCTGTATGTTCCAGCAGCAGGGAAGCGCTGAGCTGATCTGCTGAGCAGAATGCTGATGTTGCAGCTGGAACACACAAGCTACATTTACATGCAACAAATCTCCCCTATCCAATTCAAATTTTATTTATTTATTTATTTATTTATTTATTTATACAGCACCTTTTTACCACCAGTCAAGGTGGCCCAAAGTGCTGAACACTCAAGCATAGTAAACATGTTAAAATAGATAAAACCATACGATCGTAAAACAAACAGACAGCGTGTTATAAAGTCATCCAATCAAAACAATGATGGTCAAACATAAAAAACAATGGACTGAATCAACCTGATGACAGAGTGTGAAAATGCAGAACCAACTTGGATTTAAAACTCTGCATCGAAGTGGACCGCCTGCCAGCCGGAAGTTGGTTCCAGAATTTAGGCACATTCGCAGAAAATGTCCAGTGCCTTCTTGTTCTTGGAACCACCAAAATGTCGTATTCAGATGACCCAAGGGCTCTGGCTGGAGTGTATTTAGATACCATCGAGGAAATGTAACCCGGTGCTGTTCCTGGCAGAAACTTATAGACAAGGACCGGTAGCTTTATGTAGAATGTAGCGTGAGAAAGCCATGTTATTGCGGTCGGCTGACCAGAAACTGCTTATCTTCCCCCACACCTGATTTAAGACTCGTGGTGATCGGGCTTTTGAAGTGGTTGCACCCTCTCTCTGGAACCAGTTCCCACAATCAAACAGTCCCCATCCCTTGCAGTCTTTAAGAGCAAGTTGAAGACTCATTTTATAGGATGGCTTTCTCCTAAAGCTTTTGGTTTCTGGTTTTTATTCTTTGTTTTGCTTTCTTTTAACTACTTAATTTTCTTTTATCTAAATTTGATCTAATTTTCTATTTTATTGTTCTCACAAACGTTCTTATTTTGTTTGAATGTTTTTATGACTTGCTATCACTTTTTTTAATCTCTGTTGCTTCTCCTGTCCAAGTGCCTTGGGCCCCCTTTGAGGGTGGTGGAAAGCACTATATAAATAAAGCATGATGATGATGATGAAATGCCAAAGGTCATGACACTGTCCACAGCCCTTTCCACTAGCCGAGAAGCTGTGTGCTTCTCTAAACCAAAACAAAGGCTCTGTTCATTAACCATCTCTAGCCTTGGCCCTCGGGGAGAGCGTCGTAACAAAGTCCCTCTCCTGTTTATGTGTGCCTGCAAGTCACAAGGTCTCCTGTAGAAAACGGGACTTTTTAACTTTATCACCTTTTTTTTAACCTTTAACCAATCATTGTAACCTTATTTACAATGACTGTCTCACTTTACAGAATAATTACAATCATAGACAATACATGTTTTACTTAAAGTGATTTTAATAAGACTTGATTGACAGTAACAATGGATCAAAATAACTGTTTATTGTTGGAATGCATTATTTCAGCTCTTAACTACACCAAACAAATCTACATGCTCTTTTAATAATCAATTTGCTATCAGTTTATGTCACAAAACCTTTTTGGATATTAACAATGACTGTCATATTTATTTCACATAATAATTGAAATAGTCCATTAAGGGGTTTCTCAGAAAATATCTAAGCTTAAGCGACGCGTCGATGACGTCAACAACTCATTGTCAATAATTGTTTATGTAAAATCCGGTAGTCGAACCACCACGCCCACTTGTTGCATCTCCAGAGTAGGATCCTACCTGGTTTTCCTCTAGCTCACTCTCTTCTGTGGCTTCACAAAGTACAAAAGATGATAAGGGGGTCTTGTTCTGTGTGAAAGCGAAGCAGTACAAGTGACAATGCTGCAGGATTTCATAATTTATCTTCTCAGCAGCAGCACTGCAGTTGCTCTCCATGTCCAACATATGTGTGTAAGCCAGGTCCTTAATCAACTTAAAGTTGCGCACATTTTTCCGCTAAGTTTTATTTCATAAATCCCAAAGTTTGCGTGGAAAGTTGCGTACGCAATTTTCCGATCCCGTTTTGTGCGTAAGCAAGCTTGATGAATGAGGCCCCGGATCTTTCTAACCGTCCGTAAACAGCTGTAAATAAGAACCCTGTTTCAACCCCATAAAATCCTGAAAGGCAGTGGGCATCTGGCTTCCCAATTATTTTAACGTCTTGGTTGATGGTTTGATGAAGTGCAGGTGTGTCAGAGAAAAGCTGCTGCGCATCACCACGCTGTCCTCCAGAGGCCATCCTGTAGATTCAGGGAATAAACAGAAACGTGAATCTGAACAGTTCAGAACCCAGGCCCCTGACAGCATGTGTGAGGAGAATATACTGTAAGTATGTGAGAGTAACAGAATGAATTATTGCGTACACGGCCCCACGTATTATTTAGTAGAACAGGCTGGTCCCTTAAAATCTTTGCTTGGCTACAAAAAGTTCATTTGGTCAAACAAGTATGAATCAAACTGTTTATTTTTGTTATTCCTTTGCCTGTTCTGTATATTCTTGAATGTTAGAGCTGCATCTTGAACCTTTTTTTTTTCATTGCAGATGTGAACAGGGAGATAAGGTGACACACACAGCATGGCTGAACCGGTCCAGTATACTGTATGCAGGAGAAGACAAGTGGTCCGTGGATCCCAGGGTAAGCCTGGTGACTCTTAATCAGGAGCAGTTCACAATCAAGATTGAAAATGTGGACATGACCGATGAAGGCCAGTATGTGTGTGCAGTTCAGACAAGCAGCCAACCAAAGACAACCACAGTTCAACTTCTTGTCCAAGGTATGTAACGATTAAACCAAAAGTCTGCTACCTGCAGATCTTGCTGGATTGGGGTTTCCAGTCCTTCTGAAGTGGCTCCCTGTTTGTTTGGCCAAATAAACGTTCTTTGGAAAAATACTTTTCCCATCCAGTATTGTAGACAGTCATTAAACCCTTTCCCTACTGTCTTTATAACAGAGAATGGTTCTTCAAGCCATGTGAGGTGATTTCTTGCTTTTGCAAGTGTTCTCTATCTTTATTTGACGTATCTGTCCTTACACTCAACTTGTGAAAAAGGTCTGGCATGATTAAAGAACAACATGATCACTTTGTAACGTGCAAAAGTCACAAGCAATAGTGAGCTGTTGCTATGAAGCTAAACAGATTCAACCTGCTTTACTTTTCCAGCATGATCTCTCCATGTTGTTTTGTCCCAAACATTAGAAGGCTTTGTATACACACCACCTCAGTGGCCTAGTGGTTCCACTGATGGTTCCATCCAGATGATGTGGTTCCACCTTGTCTCCTGAGATTGATCAAAGTGTGCTGGACATTATTAATGGTAGCTTGACCTTGGCTGAAGTTCCTCATGCCTTTAAACATGCTGTAGTGCAGTTGTGCAGCCAGTCTTGAAAAAACCTGGTCTTGATCCCACTAATTTCTCTAATCTCCGACCAATTTCCAAGTTACCATTTTTATCTAAGGTACTTGAGAAGGTCGTGTATGAACAGTAAGTACTACATCTTAATGACCATCAAGTAATGGACATTTTTCAGTCTGGTTTTAGACAACAGCACAGCACTGAAACTGCTCATGTTCGTGTGTTTAATGACATCTTTCTGGCCTTGGATTCAGGGTTCCATGTGGTTCTGGTACTTCTGGATCTATCTGCAGCCTTTGATACGATCGATCATAACATCTTGATCTCTAGACTACACACTTGGGCTGGCATCTCAGGTTTGGCCCTAGACTGGTTTAGGTCTTACTTTTCTAACAGGTCCCTCAGGGTCATGCTGGATCACTATTCATCCCAGTCACTCTCCCTTCCCTGGTGGGGGGTTCCTCAAGGTTCCAGCCTCGGCCGTTACTGTTCTGCCTCTATATTCTCCCCTTGGGAGCCATTTTCAGACAGCATGCTGTTTCATACCATCTATACGCAGACGACTATTTAATCTATTTTTCACTTAAACCCACTGACTCCACTAAACTTCTGTTTGATTATCATCACGATGTCAAGCAATGGCTGGCTGATAGCTTCCTCCATCTGAATGACTCTAAAACAGAGGTAATCGTTTTTAGTCCCGACAATGTTAGAGCAACCCAGCAACCTGACCTCCACTATCTGTCTCCTATTGTCACTTCTGCTATTTCCAACCTTGGAATAAAAATAGACCCGGTTCTGAAGGTGGATGCTCATGTCAATAGCACAGTCAGGTCCTGCTTTTACCACCTCAGGCAAATTTCTAAACTAAAGCCCATCCTGTGAGTCCGTCTTCTAAAATCTGTGGTTCATGCCTTCATCACTACCCGGCTTGATTATTCCAACTGTACGGCATCAGTAAAGCTGCTCTGTCTAGACTCCAGCTTGTCCAGAATTCAGCAACAAGGTTCCTGACTGGAGCTGACAGAAGACAGCACATTACACCCATTCTTAAATCACTACACTGGTTGCCCATTCAGTTCAGGATCAATTTCAATATTCTGCTTCTTGCATTCAAATCTTTGAACAGTCAGGCACCTCCTTATCTGTGTGAACTCCTCCATTACTACCACCCTCCTCGTGGTCTTAGGTCTGAAGATCAGCTCCTTCTAACTGTCCCTAAGACACGTCTGAAGACCTGTTTGGAAAGGGCTTTTTCTGTCAGTGCTCCAACATTGTAGAAGTCATTACCTCTTCAGGTTAGGCAAGCACCCTCTATTGCTGTTTTTAAATCACGCCTGAAAACCCACTACTTCTCCCTGGCCTTCAACTCCCAAACCATAAAGCATTAACTCATCCTTAGTTTTTCCACCTAGTTTGTTCAATTTTAAATTTGTGTTTTTATATTCTGGTTTTACTTGTTCTGTTGGTTTTAGTTTGTTGTTCTTTCAACTCTTTTATATTTTTTACTTCATATGATATACGCAACTATTTTAGCTTGTGTTTTTTATTTATTTGTTTTTATGTGCAGCGCTTTGGTTGATTGTAATGCCGTGTTAAAAGTGCTCTACAAATAAAGTGGTATGGTACAGTGAATTTCTGCAGTAATGTTATGCTTGCTGGGTTTTTATCCAGTACACAATAAGTCATTGTGAAATTTCTCACCACTTTAAATTCTTGTTTTTCTTTTGGCAGTAGCGATTATATTACTGTGACTTACTACAGTAGAACATGATCTGCTGTGAATTTATACAGTATTGTATTTATTACAATGATTTATACAATTATTTCACATCACTGTAAAGTCTTGTTTTGTTTTTTACAGTAGTGATGATATTAGTGTGACTTGCTACAGTAGAACTTGGTATGCTGTGAACTTTTAAAGTATTGCATGTATTACCATAATTTATGCAGTAATTTCACACTACTGTAATTTCTTTCTCTGTTTTTGACAGTAATGATTATATTACTGTGACTTGCAACAGCAGAATTTCGTATGCTGTGAATTTGTAAAGTATTGCATGTATTACCATAATTTATGCAGTATTTTCATACTACTGTAAATTTTTGCTTTGTTTCTTACAGTAGTGATTATATTACTGTGCCTTACTACAGTAGAAGTTGGTCTGCTGTGAATTTTTACAGTATTACATGTATTACTGTGATTTATACAGTACTGCAACAGTTACTGTCAATTACACAGTATTTTAATTTAAATACATTCACAGTGAGTTACTTTACAGAAACACAGTAAATTACTGTGTAATTCACAGTCATTTTTTACAGTGTAGTGTACGGCAGCCTCGCCTCTGTCAGTGCGCCCTAGGGCAGCTGTGGCTACATTGTAGCTCATCACCACCAGTATGTGAACGACTGATTGTGTTGAAAAGCACCTTGGGGGGTTCCAGAACTATAGAAGGCACTATACCAAATACAAATACAGGCCAATGTCCTTCTCGTAATGCTGCTTAGCTCTTGGGAGAGACATTCAGGCCAAGCGGCTCGGACCGGGGTCCAACCCAGAAACCAGCTTCCTTGGCCCTCTGGGGATTTTTAAAAGCTCTGCATGAGGGGTTCTGAACTGGTTCTGACCCAGACCTGGCTGAGTACAGATGCAATAAGCAACAAATAAGATGGAAACGGCATCAAAAGGAACCAACTGCACCAGGAGCAGCAGCCCGGGAACTCCCACATGGCACCAGGAGGCACGAGAAACACCCAGGCAGCCACAGCCAACTGCCTCTGCCAGGGCAGTTGGCCCCCACAGAGGAGGAAGAATCTTAAATGTTGCCTGATAATACATGGGGAGACAGTGCAGAGAGAACAGGGGTAATGTGATTCCTTCTTCCAGTCGCAGTCAATTTCTGGCAGCACATTTATGTACAAGTTGAAGCCGTGTAACTGCAGCCTGACTCCACCACCAGCTGTCATGCATACAATAGTCAAGGTGGCACATGATAAAGAGTGGCTGCATGACCATGATTATTTGGGCCAGGTGACCTTTTTGCACATTTCTACTATTCATGCCAAGGGCTAAGTCAAGGACTGTGCGTGAAAATAAGACTACTTTTACTAACACGGTTAATAACCGCTTTATAATCTTATTTCTTTCTTCTCAGTGCCACCAAAAATCATCAACTTTTCAAGAGACATTGTGGTCAACGAAGGCTCTAATGTCACACTGATGTGTCAAGCCAGTGGGAAACCAGCGCCTTCCTTCAACTGGAATTTCATCTCAAATTCAGGTAACTTTTGGATCTGCAAAAAAAGTATACTGGTGTCACTACTAACATCACTGTTTCAAAAAGGCTAAATATTCTTAAATGTCATTACATTTTTGTGTTTTGAGTAAAATGATGTGCCAGTGGGATAAGTTAAAGCTGAATAAATCTTACATTAGAGTCATGTAGTGACTGAAGCTGTTGTTAAAGCAACAGGTAAAAAGCTTCTAAAAGAGTGAATGCTGTTAAAGAGCTAATTCACAGGGATCGGTGACTCTGAGTACAGGCTGGTCTCTCATAAACCATCGAAGATAGAAGATAGACGGAGAACTGCTCGGGCAGAAAAAGCCACACAGATTAATGTCACATTGTTAATTAACATTCATGGACTCACCCATCTTGGCTTGGGGGGGGAGGTAAAATGTTGCAAAGCAGTCAGTGGTAGTGTTGCTGTTATCCAATCAGAGGCAAGATGTCAGAATATTAGGAAGTAAGACTTCAGATCCTGTTCAGTCCAACTCTGATCTGGCTTACTGCTAGTTCCTGAAACAGGAGCACCAGATCTTTCTTCCCCACAGAGATTGACTCACAAAGTTAAAGTTAAAGTCCCATTAGCTGTCACACACACTGATGTGTGTGCGACATTTGTTCTCCGCACTTGACCCATCCCCTGGGGGAGTGGTGAGCTGCAGACACAGCCGCGCTCGGGAACCATTTGGTGGTTTAACCCCCCAATCCAACCCCGTAATGCTGAGCGTCAAGCAGGGAGGCATTGGGTCCCATTTGTTTCTAAGTCTTTGGTATGACCCGACCAAGTTCATCTGAATTAGAGCCCTCTAAACAAACATGTGAGCTTGGTCTGTAAGCAGGGCTGGCATCGTTTGCTGCTGTCGAGAGGCTAACTAAACACAGTTAAACCCTGATTTCAAGTCCCAAAGTAAATCCAATGAGTTTGTGTCCTTTTCAGTGAGAAAATCATAAACATCAGATCAGCCATTCATTCCTCCACATTGACCACCACAACTGGACCTCAGCTACAGCCACACAGCAACAATCTGGCTAGAATATCAACTTTCATGATAGCGATAATGATAAATGACCCACACTTGTATAGAGCCTTTCAGAGTCAGAGGACTCCAAAGACAGTAAAGTGTATCATTCATCCATTCATACACTGATGGTGATGACATAATTAATGCAGCCCTTTTGTTTTATGAGTCTATTCATATGTCTTGCCTCTAGTTGTAGGCCTTTATCTGCTTCTAAACGCTGTTTATATGGTCTCCAGTTTTACTGAGTTTTTAGTAGGTTCATACAACACTTCTCTGTAAAACAATGTCTAGATCTGTGTCTGTTTCTTGTTTGTACATTTTTATTTGTACAGCAATTTGGTCAGCTGCCATTCTGTTTATGAATGTGCTGTAGAAATAAAACTGGTATGGTAAATATTAATTTCATATTCAACAAACAGATAAAGACATGGTTAAAAGGGTTAAAAATATTTCTAACCTGAGTCTTTGTCTTTGTCCCTCTGGAGCCAAGCTGAGAAATACCTCCATTGTATCCTTCTTATCTCCAAAGACCATAACTTCAGTCTTGTCTTTGTTTAATTGGAGGAAGTTTGACTCCATCCAGTCATTAATTTGTTCCAAACACTGACAGAGTGAGTCTAGGGGACCACAGTCACTAGGTGATATAGCTAGGTAGATCTGGGTGTCATCTGCATAGCTATGATGGGTAATGTTGTTATTGTGTATGACCTGGCCCAGGGGGAGCATGTAAAGGTTGAAGAGCAGTGGTCCGAGAACTGAGCCTTCGGGGACCCCACATGTCATAGTGACCAGCTTTGATTTGTGTTCACCAATGGAAACAACATAACTCCTGTCTGCAAGTTATGATCAGAACCAACTATGGACTGTGCCTGAAAGTCCCACCCAGGTTATGGGCCTGTCAAGAAGGATATTGTGGTCTACAGTATCAACAGCTGCACTGAGCTCTAGCATCACTAAACAGATGTTTAACCTGAATCTGAATTAGTACAGATATTATTTAAAACTTTAATCAGTGAAGTCTCCGTGCTGTGGTGTTGTCTAAAGCCTGACTGAAAAACATCCAGGAGGTTGTTTGTCTCCAAGAAGTAGTTCAGCTGGATCATAATAGCTTTTTCAATAACATTCCCAATGAAGAGCAGATTAGAAATCGGTTTGTAGTTATTCATCACTGAGAGATCTAGTTTACTTTTCTTCAGAAGAGGCTCAACAGCAGCAGTTACAATACCTGACATTAAGGTGCAGTTAACAGTTTTCAGTATATCAGCTTTCATGCAATGAAAGACATTGTTAAAGAAGTTAGTTGGTAGCATGTGAAAACAACAGTTAGCTGAGTTAAAGCTCTTAACTATGTCCTCTAGTGTTTTGGCAATAATTGTACTGAAAACTGGCATTCTAGCCAGAGTTGTGTGGCTGTAGCAGTGGCCTGGTTGTGTTGGTTGACATGGAGGAGTGAATGGCTAATCTGATGTTTAAGATTTTCTCTTGGAAAGAAAAATGATGCAAACTCATTAGACTTAGAATGGGACATGACATCAGGAGCCAACTGTGTTGGTTGATTAGTTAGCCTCTGGACAGTGGCAAACAGAACACGAGAACTGTTACTGTTGTCATTGATCACTTCAGAGAAAAAGGCTTGTCTCGCCTTATTTAATCCACAGTTACAAGTACACAGCTGCTGTCTGTAGGACTGATGGTGATCAAGAAGGTTACTTTTCATCCATTCATGCTCAGCTTTGCGGCATTCTCTCTTTTGGTTTGTAACTGATTTAGTGAACCTCCATGGAGCTTTTTGTTTGCCAGAGATGATTTTTAGCTTTTCTGGAGCAATGGCGTCAATGACCTGTAGAGTTTTGCTGTTGAAGTGATTCAGAAGGGAATCAACACAGCTGCTTGTTAGACTTGTTGACATTTTCATAAGTTTACTAAAAACTGATGCAGCGTTATCACTTAAATACCTTTTCTGAGTTATGATGGGTAACGAGTCAAACTGATACCTCAGAGAAAACAGAACGGTCAGAGAGGCCAACTTCCTTAACAACGTCTGATACATCAACATCTTTGGTTAAGATTGAAGTGTGTGCCCTTGAGTGTGTGTTGGAACATGAATATGCTGAACAAGGTCAAATAGTTCAAGCCCTCCGAGGAATTGTACTGCAGCATTATCATTTGCGTGACTGTTAAGACCTCATGCCTTTCAGCTGTTTAGAAATAGCCTATTCTTCATTTCTGAGCAGAGCTGTGAGGTCAGAACCCTGGACAGCTCCACTCCTCTATTCTGTTCCTGAGCGGCAGTGTCATTTCAGCACCATGGACAGCTCATCCTCAGGGTATCTGCAGGTTTAAGGGAGCCAAATTTAAGACTTTTTAAGACCTTTTTTAAGGCCACTTTGTCCAAATTTAAGCTACTTTTGAAATTAAATTTAAGCTTTAATTTCTAGCTATTGCCTGGAACCGCGCAAAAGTGGGATTAACCATCCAGTTACCATCGACTTGCACTTCCCCATGGCGCAAGCTCCCACTAGCTTAACCAGCTAATGTGCTCATCTAAAAATAGTCCCCTTTCACAACCAACTGAACGTGTACGGTTCTGCTTATGCCAATATCATGCACAAAAAATGCTGAATACTAACTAGAAATTCACAAAGTTTAATAGAAACAAAATGATTTTGTTTATTGGGTCTTTGGTAATTTAAGACCTTTGGAAACTGTATTTAAGGATTATTTGTCATTTTTAAGGATTTTTAAGGCCTTAAATTTGGAAAAGCAAATTTAAGACTTTTTAAGGACCCGCGGATACCCTGATCCTGCTGCTGCTCACAGTTGCGGTGCATCACACTGAAGAGGATGGCAGAATAAAGGATCAATGCAGAAGCGAGGGGAGACTGGAGCGCAAGAGAGTGAGAGAAAAGAGATAAAGGAGCTGGAAGGAGAGCAACTGAGCTGAGACAGATAGAAGAGCTGAATGCTGTGAGGAGAGATGGATGGATCCCTGAACTGAATCTGACGTTTTCCTCAGCGTGCGTGGGTAACCTTTGACAGGATCTCAGATTGATGAGTATAACTGGTTTCAATTAAGCAACAACTTGGGTTTCTAAGAGAGAAGTCATTTGGTGGTTGTTGCTCCAAATCTCCTCTTGTTGATCTCCTTTTTGGTTTAGACTGAGCTAAAGACCTACTGATCTTTTAGGTTAAGCAAAAGAGCTCTTGTTTTCTTTCCTCTTTCTTTGTTTTTATGGAAGTTTCCATTTAAAGCTTGGTAGTGTTGAATTAGCCCTGGACTCTCTCTGGGACTCTTTCAGTTCTGGTTATTTGGTGTTGTGTGTGTTGTGTAAATGTACCTGACTATGTCATGTTTTTATTTACTTTAATTTGAAGTGCTTTTACCTTGAAAGGCACTATACAAATAAAGCTTTACCTACTTTTATCAAGAACCCCCCTGTCCTGCATGTTTTCCATGTCTCTGATATCTGCATTGCCTCCTCAGGATGACATCAAGTGCTGCAGAAGCCTGTTAATCACTCATTCATTTAGATCAAGTGTGTCGCAGCAGGGAAACATCTAAAACATGTAGAACAGCATTGTGCTGAGGACCAGGGTTAAGAAACACAACATGAAAGAAAACCAGAGCAGGACCGCAGCTGAGAGAGGGCCTGAAGCTTTGATCATATTCAATGCAGAATAGATGCAATCTAATTTCACATAGATCAGAAATCATTGAGTCCAATCATAGCATTTAGACTAGCTCTGGCGTGGGCGCAGAGCTCCAGAAAGTTTCCACATGGACCTGAACCCTACATGAGGGCTATTAAAGTAAAACAATTTACCTGAGCCAGAAATGAGACATGGTTCAGTGTTTTTTTTATTTTATTTTTTAAACCGTGTCCTGTCTGGCTGTGAAGCAAACAGAATTGATGTCTGAGTGCTGGTAACAAGCCTTACAGATTTACCCTCAGGTGGAGCATCAAAGCGTCT